CTGAACATTATCCTTTTCAAAGGACTACAATCCCTGAAAATTTCAGCTCATTGACACTTATAGTTCCTGAGATAAAATCGTGCTAAGCAATTGTGGTGATTTATCAATTTTTCAATTTTTCTGAGTGCGTTTTTTCATAGTTTTTGGCTTCAAATCTGAGAATAATTTAGTTTATGGAGTTCAGGGTATCACGAGGGACCATTAGGACACAAAATCTCGACAAAAAAAAATTTGAAATTTCATCGTTTTAGTAAGAAGGTACCCCCCTTATGATTTTTTTGGAAAATTTTGAAAAGTCATAACTTTTTTTCTATTATAGATAGAAAGCTGAATCTTTCACTGAACATTATCCTTTTCAAAGGACTACAATCCCTGAAAATTTCAGCTCATTGACACTTATAGTTCCTGAGATAAAATCGTGCTAAGCAATTGTGGTGATTTATCAATTTTTCAATTTTTCTGAGTGCGTTTTTTCATAGTTTTTGGCTTCAAATCTGAGAATAATTTAGTTTATGGAGTTCAGGGTATCACGAGGGACCATTAGGACACAAAATCTCGACAAAAAAAAATTTGAAATTTCATCGTTTTAGTAAGAAGGTACCCCCCTTATGATTTTTTTGGAAAATTTTGAAAAGTCATAACTTTTTTTCTATTATAGATAGAAAGCTGAATCTTTCACTGAACATTATCCTTTTCAAAGGACTACAATCCCTGAAAATTTCAGCTCATTGACACTTATAGTTCCTGAGATAAAATCGTGCTAAGCAATTGTGGTGATTTATCAATTTTTCTATTTTTCTGAGTGCCTTTTTCATAGATTTTGGCTTCAAATCTGAGAATAATTTAGTTTATGGAGTTCAGGGTATCACGAGGGACCATTAGGACACAAAATCTCGACAAAAAAAAATTTGAAATTTCATCGTTTTAGTAAGAAGGTACCCCCCTTATGATTTTTTTGGAAAATTTTGAAAAGTCATAACTTTTTTTCTATTATAGATAGAAAGCTGAATCTTTCACTGAACATTATCCTTTTCAAAGGACTACAATCCCTGAAAATTTCAGCTCATTGACACTTATAGTTCCTGAGATAAAATCGTGCTAAGCAATTGTGATTTATCAATTTTTCTGAGTGCCTTTTTTCATAGATTTTGGCTTAAAATCTGAGAATAATTTAGTTTATGGAGTTCAGGGTATCACGAGGGACCATTAGGACACAAAATCTCGACAAAAAAAAATTTGAAATTTCATCGTTTTAGTAAGAAGGTACTTACCCCTTATGATTTTTTTGGAAAATTTTGAAAAGTCATAACTTTTTTCTATTATAGATAGAAAGCTGAATCTTTCACTGAACATTATCCTTTTCAAAGGACTACAATCCCTGAAAATTTCAGCTCATTTGCACTTATAGTTCCTGAGATAAAATTCTGTCAAGCAATTTGGGGTGATTTATCAATTTTTCAATTTTTCTGAGTGCATTTTTCATAGATTTTGGCTTAAAATCTGAGAATAATTTAGTTTATGGAGTTCAGGGTATCCCGAGGGACCATTAGAACACAAAATCTCGACAAGAAAAAATTTGAAATTTCATCGTTTTAGTAAGAAGGTACCCCCCTTATGATTTTTTTGGAAAATTTTGAAAAGTCATAACTTTTTTTCTATTATAGATAGAAAGCTGAATCTTTCACTGAACATTATCCTTTTCAAAGGACTACAATCCCTGAAAATTTCAGCTCATTGACACTTATAGTTCCTGAAATAAAATCGTGCTAAGCAATTGTGGTGATTTATCAATTTTTCAATTTTTCTGAGTGCGTTTTTTCATAGTTTTTGGCTTCAAATCTGAGAATAATTTAGTTTATGGAGTTCAGGGTATCACGAGGGACCATTAGGACACAAAATCTCGACAAAAAAAAATTTGAAATTTCATCGTTTTAGTAAGAAGGTACCCCCCTTATGATTTTTTTGGAAAATTTTGAAAAGTCATAACTTTTTTTCTATTATAGATAGAAAGCTGAATCTTTCACTGAACATTATCCTTTTCAAAGGACTACAATCCCTGAAAATTTCAGCTCATTGACACTTATAGTTCCTGAAATAAAATCGTGCTAAGCAATTGTGGTGATTTATCAATTTTTCAATTTTTCTGAGTGCGTTTTTTCATAGTTTTTGGCTTCAAATCTGAGAATAATTTAGTTTATGGAGTTCAGGGTATCCCGAGGGACCATTAGAACACAAAATCTCGACAAGAAAAAATTTGAAATTTCATCGTTTTAGTAAGAAGGTACCCCCCTTATGATTTTTTTGGAAAATTTTGAAAAGTCATAACTTTTTTTCTATTATAGATAGAAAGCTGAATCTTTCACTGAACATTATCCTTTTCAAAGGACTACAATCCCTGAAAATTTCAGCTCATTGACACTTATAGTTCCTGAAATAAAATCGTGCTAAGCAATTGTGGTGATTTATCAATTTTTCAATTTTTCTGAGTGCATTTTTCATAGATTTTGGCTTAAAATCTGAGAATAATTTAGTTTATGGAGTTCAGGGTATCACGAGGGACCATTAGGACACAAAATCTCGACAAAAAAAAATTTGAAATTTCATCGTTTTAGTAAGAAGGTACCCCCCTTATGATTTTTTTGGAAAATTTTGAAAAGTCATAACTTTTTTTCTATTATAGATAGAAAGCTGAATCTTTCACTGAACATTATCCTTTTCAAAGGACTACAATCCCTGAAAATTTCAGCTCATTGACACTTATAGTTCCTGAAATAAAATCGTGCTAAGCAATTGTGGTGATTTATCAATTTTTCAATTTTTCTGAGTGCGTTTTTTCATAGTTTTTGGCTTCAAATCTGAGAATAATTTAGTTTATGGAGTTCAGGGTATCCCGAGGGACCATTAGAACACAAAATCTCGACAAGAAAAAATTTGAAATTTCATCGTTTTAGTAAGAAGGTACCCCCCTTATGATTTTTTTGGAAAATTTTGAAAAGTCATAACTTTTTTTCTATTATAGATAGAAAGCTGAATCTTTCACTGAACATTATCCTTTTCAAAGGACTACAATCCCTGAAAATTTCAGCTCATTGACACTTATAGTTCCTGAAATAAAATCGTGCTAAGCAATTGTGGTGATTTATCAATTTTTCAATTTTTCTGAGTGCATTTTTCATAGATTTTGGCTTAAAATCTGAGAATAATTTAGTTTATGGAGTTCAGGGTATCCCGAGGGACCATTAGGACACAAAATCTCGACAAGAAAAAATTTGAAATTTCATCGTTTTAGTAAGAAGGTACCCCCCTTATGATTTTTTTGGAAAATTTTGAAAAGTCATAACTTTTTTTCTATTATAGATAGAAAGCTGAATCTTTCACTGAACATTATCCTTTTCAAAGGACTACAATCCCTGAAAATTTCAGCTCATTTGCACTTATAGTTCCTGAGATAAAATTCTGTCAAGCAATTTGGGGTGATTTATCAATTTTTCAATTTTTCTGAGTGCATTTTTCATAGATTTTGGCTTAAAATCTGAGAATAATTTAGTTTATGGAGTTCAGGGTATCCCGAGGGACCATTAGGACACAAAATCTCGACAAGAAAAAATTTGAAATTTCATCGTTTTAGTAAGAAGGTACCCCCCTTATGATTTTTTTGGAAAATTTTGAAAAGTCATAACTTTTTTTCTATTATAGATAGAAAGCTGAATCTTTCACTGAACATTATCCTTTTCAAAGGACTACAATCCCTGAAAATTTCAGCTCATTGACACTTATAGTTCCTGAGATAAAATCGTGCTAAGCAATTGTGATTTATCAATTTTTCTGAGTGCCTTTTTTCATAGATTTTGGCTTAAAATCTGAGAATAATTTAGTTTATGGAGTTCAGGGTATCACGAGGGACCATTAGGACACAAAATCTCGGCAAAAAAAAATTTGAAATTTCATCGTTTTAGTAAGAAGGTACCCCTTATGATTTTTTTGGAAAATTTTGAAAAGTCATAACTTTTTTCTATTATAGATAGAAAGCTGAATCTTTCACTGAAAATTATCCTTTTCAAAGGACTACAATCCCTGAAAATTTCAGCTCATTTGCACTTATAGTTCCTGAGATAAAATTCTGTCAAGCAATTTGGGGTGATTTATCAATTTTTCAATTTTTCTGAGTGCATTTTTCATAGATTTTGGCTTAAAATCTGAGAATAATTTAGTTTATGGAGTTCAGGGTATCACGAGGGACCATTAGGACACAAAATCTCGACAAGAAAAAAATTGAAATTTCATCGTTTTAGTAAAAAGGTACCCCCCTTATGATTTTTTTGGAAAACTTTGAAAAGTCATAACTTTTTTTCTATTATAGATAGAAAGCTGAATCTTTCACTGAAAATTATCCTTTTCAAAGGACTACAATCCCTGAAAATTTCAGCTCATTGACACTTATAGTTCCTGAGATAAAATCGTGCTAAGCAATTGTGGTGATTTATCAATTTTTCAATTTTTCTGAGTGCCTTTTTTCATAGATTTTGGCTTCAAATCTGAGAATAATTTAGTTTATGGAGTTCAGGGTATCACGAGGGACCATAAGGACACAAAATCTTACGATTTAGATTTTGGAAAGGTCATAACTTTTTTTCTATTATAGATAGAAAGCTGAAACTTTCACTGAATTTTATCCCAATCAAGGGACTACAATCCTTGAAAATTTCAGCTCATTTGCACTTATAGTTCCTGAGATAAAATCGTGTTAAGCAATTTGGGGCAATTTATAAATTTTTCAATTTTTCTGAGTGCCATTTTTCATAGATTTCAGCTTCAAATCTGAGAATAATTTAGTGTATGGACTTTGGGGGATGTTGATTGACCATTAGGAATAGGATACAAAATCTCGACAAAAAAAAAAAAAATTGAAATTTTATGGTTTTAGTAAGAAGGTACCTACCTTATGATTTAGATTTTGGAAAACTTTCAAAGGTCAGAACTTTTTTTGTATCATAGATAGAAAACTGAAATTTTCAGTAAAATTTCAGCTCCAAATCTCAGAACATTTTAGTTAGGTATAGATAATTTTAATAAATGCATTTATTATAACTTCATAATACAATATTCCTTAATTTAAATCCAATTGTCTAGAAACTATAAATAAATTCAATAAATCATTTAAATGACTATGTTTAGCTTTAAGCTTTATCATTATTGACTTAAGATAACTGATAAGAATACATTTTTCAATGACTTTATGTGACTCAATAATAATAATAATAATAATTCCAGAAACACTCTTCTTCAAATATGGAGGTTGACATCATCGAGACCACCACAATGTCCTACAGCTTTGAAAAAACTGAAGCCTCGAAATGGAACAGCACCCTACACCAAGTCTCATTGGAGGACTTAAAAATGGATTCAAACTTTTTGATGTTGCTATTCTCACTGATATTTGCAGTCCTATGGGTCGTTTACATTACTTATTATAACTCTAGAATATTGGGATACGTCATTACCAAAGTAGCGAACAAATTTATTAGCGAGGGTTATTTTAGAATTGGTAACAATTATATTGATTAAAAATGTTGCCTATTCTACATTATATTTTGTTATAGGTTCCTTAAGTCTTAACGCTCTATCTGGGAAAATAATGTTTAGAGATTTTGTTTATATTACGCATGATTATACTCTTAGAATCCAGGACGGGTATCTGATATTTAGATGGTGGCGCTCGTATGTTCCCAGAGATGTTAGCGAAGACTTGTCTCATTCCGATACAAGATTGTCTGTGATGTTGAATGGGTTTGAATTGCATGTTTATAACAGGTTAGTGTTTTTTTTTTTTTTTGTATAATAAATATAATGATGAATATTTTTTTGTAGGTCAAATTTGTACTACAGCTTGGAAAAAACATTTGGTTTGATTTCTAGTATTTTTCCAAATAATAATAAGGATAATCAGGCAGCAGAAGATGTTGAAAAGTAAGTTTTGAATGGTTTTAACTGTGAAACTTTATTGAGTTTATTAGTATAAGTGTCAAGTTACATAAATAAAACTAAAAAATAATGTGGATTATAACAAATTATCAAGAAAATGAAACAAATTTCTCATCCACTATCTAAAGAAAAACTAGTTATTTTTAATATACTTTTCACCAACTTGGGTAGTTAAGTTTTTCATAATATTTTTTGCAGTAGGGCCATACAAAGAATTCCACATAAATTGTTCAATATATTCATTCAAAAAAGGGGACCCCTCGACACATAACTGAATCAAAAACCTTCTTAAACGTGAACAATATTTTCCAACATAATTCCTGCGAAACCTAAAATCTGGAAACTTGTGACCATGAATGTGCCGTGCATAGCCTACAGTTCTACGATACTTGTAGCCTATCCAAGAAACCTTTGAGCCTGGCTTCAGGATTTTTTGAATTATCAGTGGTACTTCTCCAGGTGTTTTATTGTATATTTGTTGAACGTAGCCCTTTTTAGTTGTGGTATCATACATGCTAATAACCAATTTTTGTTTTACTTCATTATTTTTGGTGCGGAGTCTTATGAGGAGGATTTTGTCTATTTGGACCACATGACCTGGTCCTCCTAAAATATATATTATGTAATTATTATGTAAGCATTACATAGAAAAACATTCTTCAAGCTTTCATACATGATAATGTTTTGCCACATAAACTGTGATAATAAGGTTTGTACAGTTGTCTATAAATTCTTACCTAATTGAAGTAGTTTTTTATTTTGTGAAAGTTTCCATCTGATAACACCTCTGAAACTCCTAAATTGTTCCACTACAATGTTTTTCTTCATTCCCATGCTTTGAGCTGCTGACTCTGTGTTAATTTCACAGGCCCACATCCACATTAAATGGAGAATATTTGAAACGGGCATTTTAGCTGATTCAAAGAAACTTCCATCCAAAACTGAAAATGTATTTTTACAGTTTGGGCAGTAGAATGTGGTATTTATTATGGTATTGTTGGAATCGGTTTGTAGAAAACAAGTTTGCCGGCAGTTTTTACAAGGGAAGTTGCTTTTTAACATGCCTAAATTTTGCAAATATTCTACAAGGTTTTTACTTGTTGTAATCTTGTACAAATCACCAAAACTATTGATTTCCATTATTGTGTATATCTAGCTGTTGAAATAACTTAATAAACAATGAAAATATTCAAATTAAACCGGATAAAAGTAGTGTTATGGTAGAGACAGCTGTTTATGTTTGGGGTTTAGCAAGCAATGTTGCCACGAGTTGCAGGAAATCAAATCCACAACTTTTGAATTTCTTCCAATTTCCTGGGATTCCCTTCTTAATACTAGCTCAAATTCATCCAATCATTCTCCATTACCAGATTTCCACCAACTTTAATTATTAAATTCTTTTTTTACCAAATTTTTGTATACTTCTATACTATCAATAAATATACAGTATACAGTGTGTCCACTTATGTTCGCAGCATATGGGAAACTTTCTTATTATCAATTTTACGAAAAAAATTTATTCTTTATAAAAGTTTCTGCTTCTTGAAAAAATAATATTAAAGTATTAAAACTTGAAATAGCATGTAGTACAGGATGGCCAAAAAAATAGAAAAATATACAGGGTGTTTCCTAAGTAAGGTTCGTAAGTTTTGGATGTGATTCCGTACAATATTTCGAGAAAAAAAGTTCCCATAAACATGTGCTCGGAAATGCGTACTTTCTGAGGTACAGGGTGTCAAAGTTTTAGAAAAAATCGTTTTTTTAGCTCAAAAATCCCTTTTCCAGTTTTTTTTTTTGAAATTTGGTAGGTTTATTTGTGATAACGAAGGGTATCTTTTGACTTTAATCTGACTTGCTTGATCTGAAAAAAATATCAAAGCGTTAAAAAAATAGTGACGTGCCATTTTTTTTCTATTTTTACCAAAAGACCCTGTATATTTTTCCATTTTCTGACCATCCTGTACATGCTATTTAAAGTTTTAATAGTTTAATACCATTTTTTCAAGAAGCAGAAACTTTTATAAAGAATAACATTTTTTCGTAAAATTGATAATAAAAAAGTTTCCCATATGCTACGAACTTAAGTGGACACACTGTATAATATTCCTATACTTTACAATAAAACTTACACACCAAAACATTCTATAATTACATAGGTACATGATCTTAAAAACTAAAGAGGGACAAGCAACACCAGATAACACCCTGTGCAACTATGGACCACTATGACAACACCCTGCATCTCTTCAGAAGGCAGATTTTGAGTTTTGATTTAAATGTCAATAGTGAAGTACAATTTTCTAGGCACTCTGGCAAATTATTAATGCCTCTAAAGAAAACTGAATTTTGGCACATCTTTTTTTTTTTTAAGTGCAATGAAAAAGTCATTCGATTGCCTTGTATTATATGAATGTATTTCACGATTATATACCAATTTGTTTACCAGATAAGACGGAGCACAGCCAATCTTAATTTTAAAAACAAAGACCAATACTTAGTATGCAAAATATTCTAGAACTGGTAGTCAGTGCAAGCACTGATGCATTAATATAATGGGTGTGTATCTAGAGCAACACAATATCAATCTCATTGCCCTATTCTGAAGCTTCTGTAATCTACTCAACTCATTCTTGCTCAGCATGTACAGAATGGTAGCACAATAATTTAAATGAGGCAGAATAATAGTGTTATATACTGTAAGCTTTGACCAGAAAGAAAGGTAGCCTGAACACCTGAACAGATAATTAATGGAGTTACTTAATTTGGATATAACAAAATTCGCATTGTCCCTAAAATTCAATCTCTCATCAACTATAACACCCAGATACTTAATCTTTTTCACCTGCTGTATCTTACAACCCCCTATTTCAATAGAAAAATTGTTCAATTCAAATGAGGATTTTATTCTTTCCGTACTTATTAACATAAATTGAGTATTATATATAAGTGTATTCGTAGATTCTATTAATTTTATCAACTAACAGCATGAAACTCTCCCCTGAAGCATAGACCAAGGTATCATCCGCAAACAAGTGAATTTCAACATCTGCGATATTCACAACATCGTTAATATATAACACAAAAAGCATTGGGCCCAAAATACTTCCTTGTGGAACACCATGGCCGTTTACAGCTTCCTCAGAAAATATCCCATTAATTTTCACTTTTTGCCTTCTATTTTGCATATAATTACCAAACCAGTTTAACACATTTCCTCTCAGTCCAATGATATTTAATTTATTTACCAATATTTCTAGATCTATAGTTTTAAATAAATTAATCATTTGCTAATAATGCAGAAACTCATGCAATATATACTGACTTCAGTGAAGCCTTTGATAAGGTAAACCACAACATCCTTCTTTCAAAGCTTTCAAGTTTTGGCGTTTCTGGACATTAACTTTCATGGATGAAATCTTATCTTACCAACAGAATGCAACAAGTCAAGATCGATGGCTATCTTTCTTCTCTTTTCCATGCATCCTCTGGGGTACCCCAAGGTTCTCACATGGGCCTCCTTCTATTCAGCTTATTTATCAACGATTTAGGATCGTTGCTCTCCTCAATTTTTTTACTTTTTGCTGATGACTTGAAGTTGTATCGTCAGGTGACGTCAGCTCAAGACATACTTATTTTGCAAAATGATCTTAACATCGTTTATGATTGGTGTCAGCTTAATTACATGTCCCTCAACATCGATAAGTGTTGTATAAGATTCAGTAGACACGTCCATAGTGTTCCCTTGCAGTATTAAAGTGAGACAAGTGAGTGAACCTGTGTGGAAGGAATGCGGGTATAACCCTCCTGATTGGCCCGAGAATAAATATACATACCTATACGCGGGTCGTCGCGTGAGGGTTAATGCAATTTTCGCAATGCACCACGTCGGGGACCCGTCGTCGCGTCGTATAGTATAGGTTTTCGTCTTCCCCTCTGCTACTTCATACGTTACCAAGGTTCACTCACTTATCGCACTTTAACTGTCAATATTTGAAAACACTAAATCTATTATACTATCGCCATGTGAAGAGGCTCTTGTAATTTCAAGGACTTTCTAATGCAATCCCAATTCCTCTGAGCTCAGCCTATTAGAATAAGTATCATTTAATAACCAGTTAATATTGAAATCGCCCATAATTATAACAGGCGTTGCGATATCACAGACATCATTGCAACCAATCCTCAAAAAATCTAGAAAAATGGAATCACTGCTACTTGGTGAATGATATAGCCTGACCACTCTAAATATTTTACCATTCATCTCAATTTTCACATTCAATAATTTTTTTCAAACGTTTTTTCCTCAACCTAAATCATACATACGTCACTCTTAATGTACATCTGAACACCTCCCGTATGCCTACTACTACTAACTGTCCACCCTAAAACATTCATTCCCTTCCACATACACCTCCGAGTTGTGTATTTCATTTGTTAGGTAAGTTTCTGCTATGCAAACAAGCTTTGGCATTTTACTCAAAATTAGTGCATGTATCTTGTCAAAGTGTGCTAAGGTGCTACCCGCGTTAAAGTAAAGAATGTCGCATTTTTTTCTATGTACTACTTGTTTAAATTTGTCCGCACTGGACGTGGAAAATTTTTAGTTAAAAATATTAGGTTTTTATTTACAGTGAAATGGTTATTTTCAGCAATACTTCTTCAAATGAGTTTCCAATTATTTTCCCTAGTATTAACCATATTATTTTTATTATTGATATCGATGTAAGAAACATTTCCTTCCGCATATCCATTCAGCTTACAAATATATTTTTCCAGCTTAAAATTGAAATTTCTAATGTATTTGTTGTTCTTACTCGAAGAGTCAATTATGGGGACGGAAACAAACATTAAATTAGTGTGTGTACAAAATTTAACCTTTGCATTGATTTCCTTGAACAGAGGATATTTATGTTGGTTATAAAAATCGTTAAAACCAGCAATCACTATAACATGGTCCCTAATACTATGATCCTCTACCAAGTCAACAATATCATTGATACATGATACAGTTGGCATATGAAGCTCCCGGTTTAATAATTGTTTGAACATTGAAATTAGAGAAATATTTTTTCAATTGCATATTGATCACATAAAATCAACACCCGATTTTTTACCTCTGATGAATCAGGCATCGATTTCCCGTTCCTTGCTTACCCCTCCATCATCATCAAAGTTGCTGTGCTGCATATCAGTTTCGCTGCTCGATTTAGTGGGAGTGGAAGAATTACCATTAAGTCCGTCCCCATCAATCGGACACATTTTAGATTTAAGATCCTTGAGTTCACCAATCAAATATTTGTTTACCTCAGTTAATATTTCTAATGAGATTTTCATACTATTAATGACATCCATTAGTTCATTTTTCTCTTTTTCACAGTCATTCAACTGCCTTAAAGTTTTCTGAATTTCCAATTCCAACTCATCCCTATACTTGGAGGAAAGTTTTCTAAGTTTCTCTTTAAGTTCTTCATTTAATGCACCTAGTTTTTCAATTGTCCTCATATGCTCCTGTTCCGCAAATGATACAGAGCCCTTTTTGATTCTAGTTATATAATTATTCTTCTCATCCAGTTCAGTTTTCAATTATCATTCTTAAATCTCCTACAACATCATCACCATCGTACGTTTTGTCAGCACATGCTTTTGAACACCATATTAAGTTATTCCGGACTTCCACATGACCCTTATTTTTTCTTGACCAGCAACTTTTATGGAAAACACCTTTGCACACTAGGCAATGCCAATTTGGTTGTTCTCTGGCTACAACAATAAAACATGGAAATTCCTTCTTGGTAAGCAAAAACTAGAGAATTTCCTGATTTGCCTCGGCAAAAAATCAGTACTTTTAACACCCACAAAAAAGAGAAAAAAAAAGTATATATTCAAATTCTTGGTACACTTTTATGAGATATTGAAAGGTATTTGACCTTTAATATTTTTTGTTGAAGTATAATCTTACTATAAAGAATATCAATTTAATTAATGTTTTTTCAATTTATAGATATCCAAAAGAGAAATTTGATGTTAAATTTTATATTCATTAAAAACATCATTTCTATGCAAAATATCGAAAATTGCAGAGACACGATACACAACACGACAATCTCGAACACACCATTAGATAATGTTCACACTATCAGATAATTTATTATGTTATTATTTATTTACTTATTTTTCTAAATGCAATCAAGAGTCAAGAATAGTTAAAATTTTCATTATTACCGGCTCTTGATCCATTTCTGTGAGTATTCAATAGTCTAAATTTTGGTTGATGGTTCCATAATTTTTCCCAAATACAATCAAGAAGGAATAATTCAAATTTTCATTATTATCGGCTCTTGATTCGTTGGATTGTACTTTTGAGAGCAAAAAAGTTCCAAAAACTGTCCCAGAAAGCTTCGAACATAAAATAAAAACAAGAGCAGATAGATAGTAGTGCAAATTTTCTGTGTACTGATTTGACATGGCATTGTTATTCAAGTACAGATATGAAAATGTACATTTTTCTAAAAAATCCCAAATAACAGTGCCAAGTTTCTACAGCACTCCAACTCCAGTAATATTATCATTAAAGTACTCACTAATAGGTAGATACTATAATGTGCTTTAGCTTGCAATAACAATTTCACATAGTATTTCCTAGTATTCTGTATATTCCTATATGACAATTGGAGGTAATTGTAAATCTTAGGGGTCTCATATATTACAGATTGTTTAGTGAGAGTAGGTACCCTTTTTGGTATTGGTAATCTTAGAGATCCTTCATTTCGACCATATTGATTACACAAATAAGGTTAAATTCTATACCTTTTGTGTATCATTGTCACCATTTCCAATATAAAAATGCAGAAGAAAGTCAGTAATTTTTCCCTTACAAAAAAGGTCTGCAATGCTCTTGAGGTTTCACTCCACACAAGTATCTTAGACAACATTTTTGTAATACAAAAACAGAGTGGATATGACACTGAGCACTAAAGCCCCAAAAGGGAATACCATACCTGATGTTAGACTCTATCAAGAAGCAGTAAACATTTTTCGCCATGGAAATGACCCAAGCTGTTTGATACAATTCTCACTGCATAACATGCAGATGAAAGTTTTTTATTCAACTGTAATATATGTTCTGAAAACTTTAATTTGGTGTCAATATGTAAGCCCAGAAACTTTGCAATTGGTCTATTTTCAATAATGATATGATAACACCATTATTTCACCAGTCCTATATCCGCTGATACCCTGTTATTCAATGTGTTTGTGTCTATTTCCTTCCACAAGATTGTTGTGTCGTCGACAAACAGTGTAAAACGACCACTAATTCCAATAGATACAATGTCGTTAATATATATCAAAAACAAGAGTGGGCCAAGTACTGAACCCTGTGGCCACTCCATAAATCAATACCAAGTGCATTAGATTTAGTTGCACCACACTTCACTACCTCTGATTCCTTTCTGAAAGGTATATGATTTGAACCAAACCCTCGGAATTCATACACATAAAGTTTCCGCAGCAGCAATTCGCGATCCCTATACTAGAGAGAAGTTCAAAGTTTTATGAAAACTTCTATCTTGATTTATTCTTTTTAGAAACGAAAACGAAGATCAAACCCAATCAAAAAAGAAAACCAAAAAACAACGCCCCGAGGCGGCTATGGCTCGCACTTGGAGAGACCTTATTCCAGTGATCAAATGTGATGTCGTATCCAGTAGGTTGGTTTTTGGAAACCGACTGGTACCGACAACTTTAAGCATTACCTTTGAAGAAAGCCATTTCGTTTATTCTACCAAACCGGCCGTTTGTACTTTGGACCGATTTATGCATTTCGTCAAATGCAAAGCTGAGAATGTTAAAGTTAGACTTGCACCTAGTTTGAAATATACTGGTAAGAATTATCACTGTTTTAGCAAACAATTTTAAAACTGTATTTTCATGTGTTTTTCAACATTGGCTGAAACCTTCCAGCCTTTTTACTTGAATATTCAAGCATTCAGATCCATATTTTTGAATTTATATTTCTGCTTTTAAGATTTTTCTTCATTACAAGAACATCATACCCTGTCCATCAAGTTGTTTTACATCAGAAATGTCGCATACTTTAATATGTTGTTCCACTTGCACAAAATCAGTTTCATTACTAACTTCACACCTAATTATTTTTCCAGGTATGTTAGATGAACCACCAAGATACATGGGTGAAGGCTTTGTCCTAATGTCCTCAAACGACTTGGAACTCTATTTCTACATGGACGAACCTGGTTCGGTACCGGAAGAACCTGTTTTGATTACTCTTGCAAATGGAGATATTGGTACGTAATTGCCTATATTTAGATGTTATATTTCAATAATTTATTTCAGTGGAATCGAGTCCACCTCAATGGGGCATAGACATCAAATGTGGCAAAGGTACCAACTTCAGTTACGGCCCTTGGGCTGATCGTCAAAGAGAACATCTCTACAATTTTTTTTATCCTCAAGATTATATATCAATGGAAGTAAGTAATGAGCCAATGGTAATGCAATAATTTACAATTTCTTCTAGGTAACTAAACCACCTAAACCTGGCGATAAAAGAGTGATGCACTCGTTCGATATAAGACTTGTAATGCAAAATGATTCTACTATTGATATATTGTTTACCAAAGACAAAGAAACCAATGCGGTTCATATTAATGTTGGTGCTGGCAGTTATTTAGAGGTAATTTAAGCTCCAGCAAAATATATATCTGAACCTTAATTATTAAACAAAATAGGTTACAATACCATGGATTACAAAACAAGCGGGCTACAGTACAAAAATAAACGGCCAGCTACTGCATCTAGAAGCAACTACAAGCCTACAATTTCGCGAACTTGTAGAAAGCGAAACCCTAGAATTTTGCATTTTGTGTCACTACCCGTTAGTCTGGAACGAACATCAGCTCTGGGAAGTTAATCTTACTGGCTGCAAAGCGACTGTCAACTTGATATTTTTCCATAAATGGTTTTTTACTGGTAAATATTTTCCATTTAAAATAATAATAGGACTAATTATAGAGGATTGTAGATCTTATAAATGATTGGGCCTCAAAAGCAAGGCCGGATTTGATGCATTTTGTGCCATATACGTGGAGATTCGGGCTCACTTTGAAACATTGTGAACTTGTAACTATGATAAATCAATATAACTGGATAGATTGCAGCAGTGCTGGCCAAAGAAATAGGTAATTAATCTTTCAGGTTGCATTTTTTTTATATTCTATTATTTATTGTAATATGCAGGTTGGAAAATACTCAAGTTTCTTTGTGTGCTCATTTTTTGCACATGTCATTTGATTTGCCTTTTGATGAGTTTCTGCCAGAGACTGTTCCAATAAATTTGGCCATTCAGGTAAGAAATTGTAAGAATTTTAAAGCCTGGTAATGAGAAGTATTTTTTTTTCAGGGTGAAAGTATAGATTTGAGCCTATTTATACCTGAATTCCATTCTAGTCGAATTATCATACAATCCTTGGAAAAACACGCAAAAGTTTTATCGAAAGACGGCTCTACAACTAAAAAGACTGAAATAATACCAAAGTGGCGTAATGTTTGCCAAAATTCAGCCGGCTGGGTTGATTTTTGGTGGATACCTATAGGTACATTAAGTTATTATATCAATAATTTTATTTAATTTGTTTTCTAGGAGCAATTAACATTTCATACATCTATCATCCTTCTCCTCCCTTGGGCCCTCAGCCTCAAGCCGATATTTCCACACCTGTGAAAGAGGAAATACTTTTATCTCCAATGAGATTTCCGCATCATAGAAAGAAACGTAAAAGGTATTTTAGTTTGATGGAAAATTAACTACTGTTACTAATGAAGTTGTTTCAGATCACTTGACCGCAATCAGAAGTTTGATCCCACTACACTGAAACCAGATATTGTGAGTGTGGAATTGGAAATTGGGCCTTCTGTTGTTTTGTTATATGGGACTGCTTTGAAAAACTTTATGAATTTTAAAGTAAGTTTTTAGGTATACACACATACAGGGTGTTATAAATTTGTAAGTGAGCGTAAGGATCTTGGTAACCATACGGGATACAGGGTTGGTTAAATTGCATTGGTTCGGAAATTTTTAGTTTATTGAAATTGTTCAACTTTTGGGGAATTATTGCTCAGAAAGTATTCGAGCTATCAAACTCAATTTAGCACAGATTTATAGAGAATTTAATGTTTTTTCTAGGAAAACATATTTGGAGAAGACCAAACATTCACAGATATGCAACAAATGCAAACAACCGAAAGCGGTTCGAGCGCTGAGCTAAAATCAGAAGACAGTAGCGCCAACATTCCATTAGAACTCCGAGAAGATTTTGATCACAGATATTATCGACCATTAGAAGTAGACGTTTCAATTATCATGCACGATGTTCAGGGACATTTATTAAAAGTAATCTTAAATTCAATATCAGTACATCATTTAAGAATTATTTTATTTCAGAATTGCACAGAAAAAGACCCACCTTGCCCAGTAATTTTAGTCGAACGGTTCGGATTCGAAATGAAAAAAGGATACGATCAAACTGAGCTTCAACTACTACTCAGTCCCGCTGTTTTATTAGTTTCTGATAACGTAGTCAGACCCCCTAAAGATAAACACTTGAATCAAGGAAAAATGACTTTGAGTTCTTTGCAAGTAAGAAGTTTGTTAATGCCACAAAAACATTCAATAAAAAATTGCTGAATTTTAGATTCGCGGTCACGCAATGTTCTCTGATGTGGGCCAAACCTTAGACCAAGATACCATCGAATACGCCTGGCTGGTTGAAATCCAGTTGGGTAAATTAAGCGGTAAATTAACCACGCCTCAAATGTATTCCATATTGGCCAGTTTGGAGACGCTTTTGCTTCTCATTATCGACGACGAAAACGAATTAAACTCGCCTAAAGATGATGTTCTCATGACCCAACCTGTTGTCAAGAAAAAGGAACCGAGTACGCAGAATGTACACGTACAACATGTCCAACAAGGTAAGAACTTTCTCGTATTTACTATACATTTAATTATGATTTTTTTAGCAATCCAACACTTGTTGCAACCAAAAAACAGTGGTGCCAGCCTAATGTCAAAAAATCCAGGCTTTAACTCGAGCCAAACTAAAACCGATCAGAAAAATAAGAAAAAAGATACTGAAGAAAAGCTACGCACTTCTATGAGATTACCAGTGCCTTCTCAAGAAGAAACCGTTTCGGCTAATAATGCCACCAATGCTGGTACTCATGTATCGTATTCTGAGCATAAACTCAAATACAAGTTGGTTAGAGTGGCGGTAGACGCTATCGATTTTTGGTTGGTTGAAAGCGGAGCCGCTTTACAATTATGGGTAGCAGATTATTTGATTTTTGGTATATTGATTATAATGATTGATTTTTAGCTTTCTCCAGTACGTTTAGCAAGCTGCAATCTGCACGGCAAGCAAGTCAGTTCCGGGTTGTCTTGCATTATTTATAGTATGTCGTTGAGACAGTTGGTTTGGCATCCACATAAATACAACCATAGCAAGTGAGTATCATTTCTTTCCTATGGTTATAAAAATGCATATTTATGAAAGGAATTCTCCATCTTTTTATGTGTATCTGTGTTTTGGAGGTGTCAGTCACACTATAGCCAAGGTTGATCTATTGTACCCCTCCTTCTGCTGCTAAGTTCGAGTTTCCTGCTCCAGTCCTAGGTCATTTAGGAATTTTAAAATATCTAGCGGTTCCTGTATAAGGGCACTTCCCAAGATCTTGCCACCTTCTTCTTACCCCAACTTCTGTAGGTGTTTCATAGGTCTGAAATGTCCCGAGAGAAACCCGGTTAGTCTTGCGACTTTTATTCAAGTCTGCTTCTATCCAGGCGAATATTTCTCAAGTTTGGGAGTTTCGTTCTTTTTGTAACTGTTACCAGTGTGGCAATGTTGTTAGATGTCAAATTTAAAATTATCAGGATTTGAGAACAAAATTATCAGATTCCAAGAAAAATTACCTATCAGAAAAAGTTTCTGTCAACTTTTTTGACTTTTTCTCTCTATTTCCATTTTTTGGGTCCTAGCTGGGACTCTGGCAATTGTAGCTCTCAATAAGAGCTTCAAAAAAGGTTATTCAAGAATTCGAGCCCAAGGGCTTCGTTTTCAAGATAATCGGCTTTGAAGCTTTTGCAAAATTTGAGACAAAGTTTTAACTTTGAGCCTCAATATCTTCAAAAGTATTTAAGATATAGAATTGAGTCTTATTTTATCTTGAAGACAATTTAATTCTGATTCGGATTATATAATTTTACATTGTATTTGTTACAATAATAACCGAGTAATCAGCAACTTTGTGAAAGAATGTCAGATTATTGAACTTTTTTGAGCCCAAAAATTGCAAAAATCGTTTTTATTGGCTTTAAATCCCAAAAAGGAAAGTTGCGAAAATGCTTTTCTACTAATTTTAACCTCTTCTTTCGATTGGTGAAGTCAAAAATTCGAAAAACTGAAAATTTGAAAATTCGAACTTTTCCAAAGGGGTATGGAAATTTGATTTCCAAATATTTCGAAGGGCCATATTTTGGAAACCAGTGAAGTTATTGGCATGAATCTTTTGCCCAATTGTAGCTTTTAATAAGGGCTACAAAAAAGGTTATTCAAGACTCCGAGCCCAAGGGCTTAGTTTTCAAGATTATCCGCCTGGAAGCTTTTGCAAAATTTGAGGTAAAGTTTCAACTTTGAGCCTCAATATCTTCAGAAGTATTCAAGATATAGAATTGAGTCTTATTTTATCTTGAAGATAATTTAATTCTGATTCGGATTATATAATTTTACATTATATTTGTTACAATAATAACCGAGTAATCAGCAACTTTGTGAAAGAATGTCAGATTATTGAACTTTTTTGAGCCCAAAAATTGCAAAAATCGTTTTTATTTTTTAACAAGGCTTTAAAACTCAAAAAGGAAAGTTGCGAAAATGCTTTTTCTACTAATTTCAACCTCTTCTTTCGATTGGTGAAGTCAAAAATTCGAAAAACTGAAAATTTAAAAATTCGAACTTTTCCAAAGGGGTATGCATGGAAATTTGGTTTCCAAATATTTCAAAGGGCCATATTTTGGAAACCAATGAAGTTATTGGCATGAATCTTTTGCCCATTTGTAGCTTTTAAAAAGGGCTACAAAAAAGGTTATTTAAGACTCCGAGCCCAAGGGCTTCGTTTTCAAGATTATCCGTCTGGAAGCTTTTGCAAAATTTGAGGTAAAGTTTCAACTTTGAGCCTCAATATCTTCAGAAGTATTTAAGATATAGAATTGAGTCTCATTTTATCTTGAAGATAATTTAATTCTGATTCAGAATATATAATTTTACATTGTATTTGTTTCAATAATAACCGAGTAATCAGCAACTTTGTGAAAGAATATCAGATTATTGAACTTTTTTTGAGCCCAAAAATTGCAAAAATCGTTTTTATTTTTTAACAAGGCTTTAAAACTCAAAAAGGAAAGTTGCGAAAATGCTTTTTCTACTAATTTCAACCTCTTCTTTCGATTGGTGAAGTCAAAAATTCGAAAAACTGAAAATTTAAAAATTCGAACTTTTCCAAAGGGGTATGCATGGAAATTTGGTTTCCAAATATTTCAAAGGGCCATATTTTGGAAACCAATGAAGTTATTGGCATGAATCTTTTGCCCATTTGTAGCTTTTAAAAAGGGCTACAAAAAAGGTTATTTAAGACTCCGAGCCCAAGGGCTTCGTTTTCAAGATTATCCGTCTGGAAGCTTTTGCAAAATTTGAGGTAAAGTTTCAACTTTGAGCCTCAATATCTTCAGAAGTATTTAAGATATAGAATTGAGTCTCATTTTATCTTGAAGATAATTTAATTCTGATTCAGAATATATAATTTTACATTGTATTTGTTACAATAATAACCGAGTAATCAGCAACTTTGTGAAAGAATGTCAGATTATTGAACTTTTTTTGAGCCCAAAAATTGCAAAAATCGTTTTTATTTTTTTACGAGGTTTAAAACTCTAAAAACAAAGTTGCAAAAATGCTTTTCCACTTATTTTGATCTCCTCTTTTGATTGGTAAAGTGAAACATTGCAAAATCCAAAAATTTAAAAATTCGATTTTTTCCAAAGGTGTATGCAAAACCAGTAAAGTTATTGACATGAAACTTTGGCTCAATCTGGGACTAGTGTTTGGTGCTCGCACCAGTACGTCAAAACCAACAACCACCTTCAATTTTCTAATAAATTTTTAATTTTTAACTAGAAATTTGAAAAATCTATATTAAAATTGTATTTTCAATAAATTATGGTAGATTAACTTGTCATTATCGATTATTGAAACGTAGTCAAAATTATGGTAGAATTCGATAATTTTCGGGTCATTGGCAACACTGCAGTGTGGTGTTTGCTGAGTTTAGATGCAGCCCCACTGTCTGACACCATTCCTTCATAATTTGTCGTGCTTTTCCTATAAGGTCATAGGATGTAATGGCGTCTTTTTTAAAACACTTGTTCTGATTTGGTTATTTACAACTACCTCAGCTGTTTTAAGCAAGAACAACGTGGACTATGATAACAATTCATTTTGTACACTGTACATAAACTAGCTTCCAAATATTTTTGGTATTACTAAAGATTCTTTGTGTACCCCTATTTTACATTGTAGACAAAACATGGACCTGCAAGACTTCTGGCTTGAAGTAGGCGCTATAAATCTCGGTCCGCTGGTAATAGAGTCAGCAATATCCACCGACAGCAAAGATCAGCACCTATATCAGACCCAGCAAAAGTTTCTGAAAATGCACGACGACAAATTGAAAAAATTATGGTTTTTGTGGCCAGATTTGAATAAAACATCCGGAAAATGCGGCTGTACAGGTGGCTGCATGTTTTTCGGCAGCAACCGGAACGGTGCCAGGTTTTTTAAGCCTTGCAAAAAGGATTTGGAGGAGGGATTGAATATTGCTGCATTCAGGTAAGATTTTGTAAGTTGTTAATTTCATGTTTGTAATATACTTTTTTAAAGGATTAATGAGCCTGGTCGCGATCCTGGCTATGGACAAAGCATTTTGCACGAGAATGCTTTAATATTCAGAACACCTCCTTACATTATCAATGAAATCACTCTTCAAGACACCCTTAACAGATCCTCTAGTAGAAGAAATGGCAGTAATTCTAAAGTTACTACATTAGAAAGGGAGAAATCTGTTGAAAAAGAAGGAGTACTTTATAATAGTCCTTCATCTTTAAGCGATGTTAGAAAAAATAGGAGGTTATCGTCTACTTCAATAAAGTAAGTCCTGTTAACTTACAAAAAATACAACTAAATTATTATTTTACAGAAGTTCTATTATAACAAAAGAAGTTCCTTACTCCCGTCTCATAGACGCAAGTCATGCAACTCTTCCCAGTAAATTAGACAGTGATTCTAAACTACATTCTGATAAATCTAAATTGAACGTAATAGAACCGTCTGATTTGTTACCAAAAAACAGCGTCTCAGATTCAAAATTAGCTGTAGACTATTTTACCACAACAAATGTAGACTTAAAAAGCGAAGTGTCTTCAGTTAAAAGCGACACTTTCTATGTAAAAAATGAAAATTCTTCTAAAAACGAAGTCCTGGTAACTCCCCAGTTTATGTCTAAAAGTTTTAACGCAAGCGAAAGCCATCATTCATTAGGCGGAATGATTTCTAATGAAGAAAGATTATTGAAAGAAGTACAAAGGACTACCTCGATGTCAAGCGAAAACCATTCCGAAGCCTTCTTTTCAGCCGATGAAGATGTTAATTTGGCCTCAAGAAGCTCAAGCCTGAGGAATTCTATTTTAAGCTCAGAAGCTTTCCCTAAGCATGAAAGCAGCAGCGTACCACCTCAGAGGTAGTATTGCTGCTCATATTTTAGCCTCAATTATAAGTGTAAATTTTAGGAAAAAATTCTCGAGTGAACTCAGTATAGTAACAGACCGAAACGGACTTCAAAATTCTTACAGGCCTATACAAGCCCCAGGATCCGCACCTGAAACAGGAAAAATGCGTCTCTCCACCCATAGAAGCGATCACGAAATTCATACTCCAGAACACAGAACTGTGCAAGGATTAGTTACCCCTTATCGACACCCGACTTATCGTTCTGTTAGTCCAAAAATAAACACACAAGAAAGTCAAGATAATACAATAAACGACGTTTTAAATGATAGTTCTGATAGTGTCAGTAATACTAGTTATGCCTCAGCGGTGGGCAGTCAAGAAGATTTTACTTTGGTTGATCTTCACAAGCAGGTAGCAATTGTGACTTATTTTTTATCGGATTAGCAGCAAGCTAATGTTTTTTATTTATTGTAGGTGAATAGACTGATTGTAGACTCTCCAATGTTAATGTCAAGCTATGTAACCCACTTGAGCCAGCTCAAATGCCAAAACTGGCAAAACAAAGGAAAAGAAGATCAATTTTCGGCTCCAATGTTTGAAAAGAATTCGGACGGAAAGCTTGTCTATGTTGGTCAGTTTGAGTTTGTTTCAACAAGAATATACTTAAAAGAATTATGCCATAATTTTTAGGTGGTAGGTTTGTTCCATACATGGAACCTTTAAGCGATGGAATAACTTCATTGAAAATGGTTTCGCGTTCGGATTCAGCTATTGGTAATCAAAATAAAACACCTACGTCGCCATTTGTTTATGTATGGGACAATGAAGAGATCGAAAACGATTCTGGTAATATATTCATAATTATTACTAGGATTATTTAATTTTGGTTTTTAGGTTCCTTTCCAGAAGAAGAACTTCTTAGTGGACAAAGCGATGCCGGTTGTTCCAGGACAATAATCATTGTGAAATTAAAGGGCGATCTTGATGTAATGATTAGTCCGCTTCTGTTGGAAAGTTTGCAGCGTTTTGTGGACTCGCTTACACCAACGGTGGCTAATTTGCATCCTTTGACCGTTGTGAATCATTTGCATGCTTCGTGTGTCGGACAGGTAGAATATTAACCATATTATTATATAAAATTGGAGGTACCTAATGCATGCTTATAAACAAGAAGCAGTATTTTTTATAGAAATATGAATCCTGCTACACATGGAACATTTTTTTCTTAGGTTGCATCTGCAAACATTTTAAAAACTACAGAAAATGTAGCAAAATTATGTCAGCCAGCCATAGCCGGAATAGAGCCAGTTACTGTTTATGAAGAAACTATAAAGAAGCAACTTCAAGCAGCCATATTTCTACCTAAAGTAAACCACAGCAATCCTAAATGATTTTTTTTTAAATACATTTATCTTTTTTAGGTCAATGTAACTCTTTTACAAGTGTCCATAGTAGAAGAAATAATTTCCTTTTCAGCTCTCGATAATATAAAAGACTTAACTTGTGTATCACTTTTTTCCGTTTGCTTTGACAATATCAATGCTAAATTCCATTCAGATCATCAGGTATAGTATGAATCCATACATAAATAACACACTAATGTGAATTATTTAAGGCAAAAGAAGTTCTAGAAAAATTCCTGCGACCTTCAGTGGTGAGGACCAAAAACAAAGGCGCCAATATAGCCAAGTTTCTAGGCTTACAAACTAACACCAACTCGGATGTAATACAGGGCGAGCCTGTTTTTATCGAGAGCTGCGAAAACCAACAATCCCAATTGGTGATTTGTCTTAATATTGGCAAAGCACACGCTCAGTTAAGACGTTTACGCAACGAATCCTCTATATTGGACGATGCCATCATTACAGCCATTCCTACTTATAAGTCAAAAGTATCTTTCACTCCTAACAAAGTTAAATCTATGTATAGAGGGTTGGAGTATTATTTGCAGCCAACTACAAAGGATAATAATGTGAGTAAATTGTATTTGGCTCTATAGGTTTTTGCAGTTGGCGCTGGTAATTTCAAGGGCATATTCGTGAGGCTTATAGGCAAAGCATTAATTGGATGAAAAATTGCAAAGTTACAAGGTTTTTAAAAATGGCAATTCCACTCATGTATAAATAATCCCATTTGAAATGTCAAAAATCGTAGTTTGCTAGCGGATAAATAGGAAGGAAGAGAAAATATAACTGGATAAAAAAATCGGATAAATTTTCTGTTGATGAAATCGTTACCGTAGTAACAATTGCATATAAAATTGGTTTTTGAATCATCTGTCAAATAATTGTCACAAAAATTCACAAGTTCTATCATTTTAGCTTATTAAAAGTGTATTTTTAAATAAAATTAAAAACATTTTCAACATGCAGCGATTTGGGACAATTAAAGATGAATTAATAGCGAAATAGAAAATTCAATTCCTGAGAACACAGAGTCTTCTTCTCTTTCTGTAGAGTCAAATTTTAAGGAGCAAAATATTTATTCTAATTGTACCTTCAATAACAATTCATTTTAAAAAGTATTTCCATATTTTATTTTGATTATGCATTCGTGGAATTGCCGTACTAAATACCATTCGAGCTCAGATTTTGAGCAGGATATTTTTTTGCTTGCTCTCTCATACTTACTTTCATGCAATTTATCTCGATCTGTTCCACAAAATCACTCGAGCTGCGCTCTCGTGATTTTGTCGGAGCAGCTCCCGTTAAATTTCCTAAAAGGAAGTATTCGAGACCAAGCCAAAAAATATCCGGCTAAATCTGAGCTCTTATGGTATTACCTACGAACATTTTCTTCTATAAGATTAAATACTTTATATTTTGATCATATCCAAAAACTACTTGAGGCGCAAATATGAGATTTTGTCGGTAGAAATAGAAACCAGATGATAATTTCATAGCTGACGAGGGGTAAACCACCTTGAAAAATGTGTGGGTGTTTCAGATTCGAGCCACATCTTTGGGATCTCGGAAACGGTAAGATATACAGGGTTGGTTAAATAGGAGCAAAGTTGCGTAATTTGATGCTTAACAAAATGCCGCTTTGATATTTAGGATATTCCAAATACTTTCGGAGATATCCGGAAAAAACCAAAATTTTGCAAAATTGTTTTTATTTTTTCCTAACTTTATTTGGAGTGATATTCCAAAATAAATGTCACTTCATCATTGCTACCTTTTCTCCCCTACAAGATGCTACCATCAAATTTGAAATCTGACGTTTTGTCTTTGGGCCAACATCATCAACTTCATTTTTTTAAATACGGACCCTTATTTTTTATTTTAGATTTCACAAGCTTCTGATGTCCCAAAACTAATGACGCATTGCACTTATTCAAAAAAATTATATTATTGGTACTTTTCATGAGAACCAAATGTGTTAGAGAGAGACAGAGAAGAGAATTTTGGTAGGAAATTACTGAAAAATAGAAAAAATATTTTTTCGAATAAATGCGATACGTCATAGGTTTTGGGACATCAGAAGCACTAAAAATCTGAAATAAAAAATCCAGGTTCGTATTTAAAAAAATAGAGTTGATGATGGTGGCCCAAAGACGAAACGTCAGATTATAAATTTGATGGTAGCATCTTGTAGGGAAGAAAAAATGGCTACAATAATGTGATATTTTTTTTGGAATATCACTTCAAATAAAGTCAGGAAAAAATAAAAACAATTTTGCAAAATTTCGGTTTTTTCCGAATATCTCCGGAAGTATTCGGAATATCCTAAATATTAAAGCGGAATTTTGTTAAGCATCAAATTACGCAACTTTGCCCCCATTTAACCAACCCTGTATATCTTACCGTTTCCGAGATCCCAATGATGTGGCTCGAATTTGAAACACCCTGTACAGGGTTATTGGTTATAAATGTCACCCCCCTCTATCTTTTTTATTTGACATTTTAGAAAAAAGGGTCCCAAATAAAAGTTTTATGGTTGAAATTAAGTTTTTTAAAAAACTCACTTTCACATATACAGGGTGTTTCAGAAAAGCTGGTCGTGCTCCAAATGTTATTTCAAATAGAACACCCTGTTTATTATTAGATATTCGGATTCTACATAAAATTCTGAGCAGATTTTATGTGATATACCCTATACCTAAGTTCAACTGTTTTGGAAATATTGACAGTTGAAAATTGACTTTTTTGCAATTTTGACAGGCTGTAAATCCTAAACGGTTAATTTTAGAGCAAAACCGATCTTACATTTTTATCTTAGATTTTTATAAACTATCAGTTGACACCAATATTTGACATCAACTTTGAATTTAATCCATGATTGAAAATTCCAATTAAATTTAATCTTCGGTTAAATTCAAGGTTGATGTCAAATTATAACTTGTGAAAATCTTAGAAAAAAATGTAGGATTGGTTTTGCTCAAAAGTTAACCGTTAAGGTTTTACAGCCTGTCAAATTTGCAAAAAAGTCAATTTTCAACTGTCAGTATTTCCAAAACAGTTGAACTTAGGTATAGGATATATCACATGATATCTGCTCAGAATTTCACTTGGAATCCGAATATTGAATAATATACAAGGTATTCAATTTAAAATAAGAAAGTTGGAGGACGACCAGCTTTTTTGAAACACCCTGTATATGCAAAAGTTAGTTTTTCAAAAAATGCAATTTCAACCATACATTTTTTATTTGGGACACTTTTTTCTAAAATGTCAAATAAAAAAGATAGAGGGGGGTGACATTTATAACCAATAACCCTGTAAATACATGCTATTTCAAGTTTCAATAGTTTGATATTATTTTTTCAAGAAGTAGAAACTTTTCTTAAGAATAACTTTTTTTGGTAAAATTGATAATAAAAAAGTTTCCCATGTGCTGCGAACTTAAGTGGACACAGTGTATATCATTCCCAATTGATTACCTGATTTTCTCGATGATTTCCTATTCCTACAATCATACAAGGGATCAAAACAAGAATATAAATCACTTGTCTATGGTGTGAATGGAATACAACTAATAAAACCCAACCATTTTATCACGTGATTACTTCCAGAAATGTCAACTTCCACTCATGAGAACTCGAGACTTAAAGGCAAATACACAACTGACCTGTACACTGTATCGTTATCGTTTAAAATGTAAATATGATATACGATTTCTGGATTAGAATGAGATGATATTCCCAGCGATTATCACATGATTCTCAGTGATTGCCAATGGATTCCTATGTGATTCCCATGGAGTCCTAGGAAATTCCTAGCGATTCCCAGGGACTCCCAAAGTGATTTCCATGTATTCAGGATTGATAACTATGTGATTCCCAAAAAAATGTACAATGATTTCCACTAGGGTCTTCCTTCCTGAATTCGGGGAGCAGTGTTCTCAAGAGTACGAGTGTTCTATCTGTTACTTATAATTATCATCTGAGATCTGAGTATCATTGAGAAAAACGGAACACTCGTGTTCCTAGGAACACTGCTCCCCTGTTTCAAGAATAAGGACCCAGTGGTTTACCCTTCGATAATTTTATAACTAACGAGGGATAAACCACCTTGAAAAATGTGAACACCAGAATCCCACTTTTAATGGCATATCACGATATCTTACTGGAATTCTACGGAATCTCACTGAAATCCCATGGAATATTACTGGAATTCACGGAATCCTACTTGAAATGAATTGAATTTTGAGTATAAAGTACATTGTATGAGTTCTCTGCTCATTTTTGAACCTCTGTAGCATTTAATTCTCACTAGAATCCCATATGATTGTAATAGTTCCAAGGTGGTTTACCCCGGAATAATTGATCACCTCACTTATTAGTTATTTTGTCTTTTGAATTTCAGATGTCTCAAATAGACGAATTGGGTATTGAAGACAAATTAGGTTTTATCATGTTTGAAGGTGGCCTGGAAGGTATATCATTGAAAATTGTTAAAAAATCCAAATTTGAACAGAGCGAAACCGCTCTAAATGGATCAGTGGACGTCCCCAGTGTCGATTCTATAAAATCTAACGAAAATTTAGGTAAACAAAATAATTAAAAATTATACAATTTACACACAAAAATTAGAGTCCCCAGGTAATACTCCCAGAACTGATCCGAACCGAGCATCGACAGCCACACCGAAAACTGAGAAAAAAAACATCGAAGAAGACAATCAGCAGCATAACGAATTGGAAAAGGATACCAGCAAAGATAGCGATAACGTGTCTTCTTGTATCATCGAATTGAAAGTTGTTTGGTTCAATTTTGCCGCTCCCCCTAGAGCACCTATTACAAGAAAAATCGACTATACACGGTAAGTGACCCATTCTCTTTTAACATATGATCATAAATGATAATTATTATAGCTTGGACTGGAACCTATTAAGCACAGCTTCCCCAGCAATCAACGCATGGATGAATCCTAGCAATCGTTTAGCAATACGAGTCGTTCATATGGTTAGGACCATGTACAAAAGATCCACTGCAACTGTAGCTTGTCTTATGGCTGAAGCTATGGAAGGACAACAAATACATACTCTACCTAAGGCATAATAATCTTGTGTTTAAAATATTGAAAATTATTAATAATTTATATGTTATAGAGTCGTTATGGAAAACTTACTCCACTGGCACAAACTTTACACGATGATCCCAGCTTGCAACTTTGTAGAATTTTAAGGAAATTTTATTCAGAATGTGATTCATCGTACATTGAGTCAAATTTAAGGGAATCAGAAATACCTGCCTTGTTTACCTTGCGTCAGGTACAGATTTGAATAGTTTTGAAATTCATTACATTAGATTTTTTTGTAGGGCGTCATAGTTTTAAGCCGTCAATGGAAAAATACTTTGTACACACCTTTGATGAGTCAAAATCCTGTAAAAGCTAGATTCAAGCCTATGAATGTTACAATAGCAGTTCCAGATATACAAGAGGTATATAATATTTTGTGTTAAGGATAATTATTGTGTGAAAAAATTTTACAAATCTGTTTTTATTTAGGTAAAATGTAGTCCCAATTCAGGCACAAAGGTTAACAATATCGACAGTAAGCTATATTTAAGTATTACGCAAAATCTTTGTGCCTATACAATGTTTCTAATTTATTTTACGCAACACTTACGCACTAACTCAACAAAATAATCATTTATTTTTGTACATTGAATTTGCAATGTCACTTTTGTTCACCAAACCTTTTTCACCTCTCTGTATCACTTTTGATCATTTTCCGGCCCGGAATAGGAGTCCTGCTTTACGGACGGCGAGGCTTCGGGCAACGAAGAGGCCGACATTACCGACGAGCACGCGAGGCTGCTCCACGCAGGCGTCATTTTGAGACCCAACGCACCGCATAGAAATTTGGGTAGGTTGAGGGGTGCTTGCTTTCCGCTTTACGACTTAGGAGGAAATAATACTTAACTTCTTGATCTAAAAGTTGTCTCTAGTAGAATTAGCTGTTTTGAAGTTTTCACTTCGAACAATAATATGTAATCTGCTTATTAGTGTACACAAAGTAATTATTATTAACATCCACTCGCATTATTGTTTCTTGTTATACTAAACACAATTGCATGCTTGCGTGTTTTGTCCTTTCAAAAACAAACCGTAGCGCAATATTAACTTATAAATACAATTTATAGTCCCTTGTATGACCTGCAACGATATGCCCTCCGTTCAGCCCTCGCCTAGGGCCGGTGGATATAATTCTGACAACGGTGTACAAACTTCTCAAGTTGCAGTAGTATCCGGAGGGGTTGAAAGTGTCTTGGCGTCTCCCAGTCCACCTGGTAAGTAAAGGTTTGGTTGCTAGAGATAAAGGAATGTGTTGGATTTTTAATGACCTGCGATTTGAAACTCTCTGAGTTGCTAGAGACGGAATTTAAACTAGAGAATCATGAAAATCTTATTCCCGGCGTTTCTAGATTGCTAAAATGCAATAGGAGAAAACTTTCAAATATCTAGTTTTTGTAAAAGCTGCAATGCAATAGAGAACTCTAAAGGTGTATCTACAACCTGTAACATTTAATGTAGATCTGTAGAAAATCTGCCAAAAAATTTCTGAATTGTCGTGGAATATGCAGAATTTCATGTAGAAACCATAAAGGCTGGGATTTCTGATTATTGTAACAGTGTATATCCTATTCACAATCCGATGTCCACAGGTATAGGTAAATTTATCACCTTTCCCTATCAAATAGCATTGATAGGTGATACATTTTACCTGTACTTGTGGACATCGGATTGTGAATGGATAATAAAGAAGTATGTAATGCTCTCTTGACTTGAATTCCGTCTGTTGCAACTCATAGCGCTAAATTTACTAAACATTTTCATAGGGCTAAAGTATATTGAAGCTTGTAGAGTATGTGTTTGTGTTTCTGTTAGCAATTTACTAGTAATAATTACATGTTGGTTTTTGTAACGCTTTTTTTTTTGTGTTAACCCATCCCATGTTTAGTACCTGTGAGAAAGCGGAAAAAGAGCGTAGCGTTGCCAGTCCAGCCTCCAAATAGTTGTAGGGCGAGTATCGTGTTGCCGCTTCTTATCAACGCTAACCCGTTCTTGGTTAAGCAGCGTATGAATGAGGATAATATTTGTAAGTCTCTTCGTAGCCCCAATTGCCTGAGAAAATATTATCTCGGTCCAATATTGAAAATTGTGTTTCTTTTAGGTTATGGCACTTTACGTGAAGATCGCACAAATGTAAATTTGGGCTCTGACCCTAGCGACGCCTACAGTCAATCTAGCCCTGAGCTACCCTCAAGCCCTACCCACAGAGCTATAGGACACGCCCACTCTAGTGAGGATTTATATAGTTGGATGGCTAAGCAGGAGACTGAAGAAAGAACTCAAGAAGGTTATTTCTAAGATTAATTCAAGAATTGGTCATAACCACAAACATTTTCAGGCACCGAGCAAAGCAAAGTCAATACTTTACATACAGAGTCTTCAGGAGAACCTGGCACCTTGCCTAGAGAGGATTTCGTACCACCTGAAATTCCTCTACAACCGATTCAGGAATCTGTACGGCTTTTGGACGCCAATCAGATTTTCCAACCACTTTTATCGGGCCTAGGCGTAATGCCCCAACAACTAAGATTCACAACCATGTCTGATTCAAGTACGAATTTAAATTTTAGTTTGATTTTATCCAACACTTTTCTTTTATGTATAGGTGCTGGAAATGACGTAACAACTCTAGACGCTCTAGGATCAAACCTTTGTCTAGTTGGAAATTTGGAAACCCTCAGGATAGATATTGTTGTATCAGAACATGGTAAAATAGAGAAAAAGAAAGGCAAAAACAAAGGCAAACGGGGATTATTGATTGGTGAGACAAATTTCCTATTTCTGATTGAGATAAACATCAAAAATTTCTTACAGAAATTAATGCTAATGATGAATCACCTTCATTTGTGTGCGAAAAAGTCATGGTAGAATTGGAAGTAGATAGAATGACAGATATGGCAGTAAATGATTTAATGAAAACCAGAAATGTTTTATACATTTCCAGAGGACAATTGAAAAATCATACTTCTACAGTAATCAATTTTACTATTGGGGTTAGATATATTCATCAAAGGGTGAATATGCCTTTGTTAAGGTAAAAAATAAACCACCAATAAAGTATTTGTATATTGTAACTTTTTCTTTAGATTGTTGCATCAAATAAGCAATATGTATCAAAACGTCAAAGATACCCAAAACGAATTACGAGAACAGCAACCACCTGCAGAGCTCAGAAGACCCAAAACCAGCTCTAGTACTAACAACGACCAAAAACACCACAGCTCCACTTCGGACCTTTTACATGACAATCCGTCAAACTTTTCCAATCAACTCACCTTGAAAATATCAGATCCCGGATCTTATACGTCACAAAATAAGCCTGTTATATCCCCAAGCCCAAGTTTAAGATCACGACCGCAAAGTTTTGCACAGAAATTGAGGTCTACAGGAAAAAATGTCAAGGGCTATATTAATTTGAGTGAAGGAGTCGGTACTCCCTTGAGTGTTAGCACTCCTAGTGGATCTGCTTTGGAAAGAATCACCGTTTCATCAGACAAAAGCACTGGAAAATGCTGGAAGACTATTTATTATTTGTTGGAATTGTATGCCAATATGCCTGACACAAAAACTATCAAACATAGGTAAGTTTTAGTCAATTTATTTTCATTATTTTCTAAATTTAAATAGATTTTCCGTTGGTACCAATGACATCTCTGAGCACTACAAAGGCAATCGCAAGTACGATATTCTAGCAGAAATGAAATCCACAGAAGATATAGAGAAAGCCGAAGGCACTCCACCTTTACCGTTGCACAGGGATTTTTACAGGGAAAGTACCCATTCAACTGCTCATGGTCACACTAAAATGGTTGTGTTTGGTGTGGCTAGAATTCATAGAACTAGGCTATTGGCAACATTGTCTGGTTTGAAACTGGAAGCTGAAATAACCAGTTTGCATAGTAGTTTGACGGTGAGTACAATATTCATCAAAAATATTCAGCTACAATGGATTTTAACTTGCAGGTGCGCAAAAAGTCCATTCCTCAGATGTTAGAATGCTCACTAACAGGCCAAGTTGGTCGTACTATGATTGTTTTACTTGAAGGTGTGGCTCCAAATCTACAAACTGTTGTTAAGGTACGTTGAATTAGTAGAAAATTGTTCGCAACTGAAATTAATATTTTCAGGTAACCATAGGAAAGTCTCAAGCACTGTATTCTTCAGTGACCAAACGACAAAAAGATAAAAACTCTGGGTTGCTTACTATTGGGGCTGTTAACATCGATATACCGCAACATCCAGTAGCTTTACATGGAATGGTCACTAGAGGTAACAAAACACAATCTATATCTTATTCACAATTTGTAGTCCAAAGGTACAGGTAAATTTATCACATTTCCCTATTAAATAGCATTGAAAGGTGATACATTTTACCTGTACCTTTGGACATCGGATTGTGAATATATAGATAATATACAGGGTGGAGCACGAAAAACTTCCCACCCAGGTTTTCTCAGGTGTTAGGTGATTAATTAAAAATCGCTCGAACACGTCAATTTTTGTGGGACACATTGGGTACATTCAGGCGGTGCCAGCGGTTAAGCTCAGCCACTCAGCAGGGACTTCATTCTCGAAACCGAGGAACAGCGTTCTCATGAGAACGATTGCTCTGTCAGTGTTATGGAAATATGAATACGGACGACAAAGAAAAAATCTTCGTTCTCATGAGAACCTCCCCTAGTTTCGAGAATAAAGTCCCAGCTGAGTGGCTGAACTTAGCCGCTGGCACCGCCTGAATGTACCCATTTTATTGGTATTTTCACCCCCTACCTGTCAATCCCTAAGTGGGGGTGACAGGTACCCCCAAAATTTCAAATGAAAAGGGGGGTCGAGTGATACGTCATTTGATAGCTATTTTCATTAAGATTATATCCCCGAAGTTTTAAGTTGCTACTATTTACCCTGTCAAAATGGAATGGCGGCTTGTCTAAGTTAGGAAAAATTAATCGAAAAATGCTGTGTGGTTTTTACCTGTTACCTATGTATAGGTGTGACAAAAAAAGAATTTATCTTAACTTTGACATGCCGCCATTTCGGCAGGGTAAATAGTAGCAACTTAAAACTTTGGGGATATAATCTTAATGATCAATCGACCCCTCTTTCCATTTGAAATTTTGGGAGTACCTGTTACCTCCATGTAGGGGTTGACAGGTAGAGGGTGAAGATACCAATAAAATATGGCCCCCAAAAAACCAAAATTGACGTGTCTGAGCGATTTTTGATTAACACCTAACACCTCTCTGGGTGGAAAGTTTTTCGTGCCCCACCCTGTATTCTATTCACAATCCGTAGTTCAAAGGTAAAGGTAAATTTATCACCTTTTCCTATCAAATAGCACTGAAAGGTGATAATTTGGGGGTTGTAAGAAACAGGGTGACACCAGTGGCGTACACTCGATCATCCTATGGATGGAGATTTATACTATACGAAAATATATAAAATTATATACCCCATATATTGACCCCCCCACTACAGGGGTTATGTGAAGAGATATCAAAAAATTGTAAATACAAAAGTTTTGGGGTTTTACATGAAATTTTTGAATCCAATGTCAAAAACTTTTTTATTTTTTCAGAAATGTCAAATTTTGACAGATGGTCAGTTCTATGTAGAACGGTAATTTCCAGTGGGCAACTTCCAGGGTGTCTCTAAAAGGTCTGTACAAAACCTTAGCACATATTCCTGAGGTAAAAATAAGTTGATTTAAAGCAACTTACCCCAATCCGAAATTGCTCCGTTTCCGAGATACAGGGTGGTAAATTTAAAAAATAAAAGTCGAATTTTTTGTATGTAATAATGTTAGGACACTTACGTAAACTTCAAAAAAAAATCGCGTCCCTAAAAATCCCCGGGTACCAATTTTTAAAGTAATTCGTTGAAAAATGTTCACGAATTTTGAAAAATTCAAATTTTATTTTTTAAATTTACCACCCTGTAGCTTGGGAACGGAGCAATTTCGGACATAGGTAAGTTTCTTTAATCGACTTATTTTGACCTGGAATTTATTTTAAGATTTTGTACAGCCTTTTCAGAGACACCCTGTATAATTAGATCACAATTATTCAAAAACTGTATGTACATGGGATTAGATTCATATTAACAGGGAAGGTTAAGGGGGTCGTCAGAATGAGGGTGACACCAGGGTCCTTATTCTTGAAACAGGAGCGCAGCGTTCCCGGGAGAACAAGTGTTCAGTCTTTCTCAATGATATGCAAATGATATTATAAGTAACAAAGACGGAACACTCATTCTCTTGGGAACGCTGCCTCCCTGTTTCAAGAATAAGGACCCTGGTGTCACCCTGTTTCTGACGACCCCCTTAACCTCCCCTGAAAGTATGATTCTAATCCGTGTGGCGTACACTCGATCGATGTATGAATGCACATTTATACGAAAATATACAAAATTATACAGGGTGGGGCACGAAAAACTTTCCACCCAGGTTTTCTCAGGTGTTAAGTGATTAATTAAAAATCGCTCGAACACGTTAATTTTTGTTTTTTGGGGGACACCTTTTATCGGTATTTTCACCCCCTACGGCCCCTACCTGTCATCCCCTATGTGGGCTTGACAGGTACCCCCCAAATTTCAAATGAAAAGGGGGATCGAGTGATACGTCATCTGAGCTATTTTATTTAAGATTATATCCCCGAAGTTTCAAGTTGCTATTATTTACCCTGTCAAAATGGCGGCTTATCAAAGTTAGGAAAAATCAATGGAAAAATGCTATGTGGTTTTACCTGTTACCTACGCATAGGTGTGACAGGTAATACAGTTTCAAGTCTGTTTTTTTTAAAGATAATTCCCCAAGTCAAAAATTTAGTAACTATGTTGGCAACAGAAGCCATTACTGCATGAAAGCATTGACAATTTTACATTGTATTGCCAACATAATGTCATTTTGACTTTTATCTTGAAAAAAAAACAGACTTTAGATTATCGAAAAAAAGCATTTATATCTTTGACATGCCGCCATTTCGGCAGGGTAAATAGTAGCAACTTAAAACTTCGGGGATATAATCTTAATGAAAATAGCTACCAAATGATATATATCACTCGACCCCTTTTTCCATTTGAAATTTTGAGGGTACCTGTTACCCCCACTTAGGGGCAAAAAACAAAAATTGACATGTCTGAGCGATTTTTGATTAAACACCTAATGTCTGAGAAACTCTGGGTGGGAAGCTTTTCGCGCCCCACCCTGTATAATCAGATGACAATTATTCCAAAACTGTACATGGGATTAAATTCATACTAACGGGGAAGGTTGAGGGGGTTGTCAGAAACAGGCTGATAGCAGTGGCGTATACGCGATTGACCAACTAATGCAGATTTATACGAAAATATACAAAATTTTATAACAGATGACAATTATTCAAAAACTGTACATGGGATTAGATTCATACTAACAAGAAATGATAAGGGGGTTGTCAGAAACAGGGTGACACCAGTGTTCTACACTCGATCGACGTATAAATTCACTTTTATACAAGTATATACAAATTTTAGGTAGTAAACAGTTGAGCTCAACTTTGCAAGAGCTCCGTGTACAAAGGACATCGAGCAGAATATCCAAAGGTGTCCAAGCCGATGAAGAGCAACAAAATTCCCCCAATCATCCACTAAAAGATACTCCGTTGATTGGACCGCCACCTGCCAAAACACCCCTTGGAGAAAAAAGTCTTTTACAGCCTCTAGTCATGCAATTTTCTGTTATTTTACAAGTAACTAAGATGTTTGTGTTAAATTATTTTTACATGCAATTTTTTTAGAGCTTAAGTATATCTGCAGCTTTGTTGCCATCATTACAAGCCCAATACAAAATGGATCAGGTTAATAGTACAGGATTCACAGGAAGTAAAGCTAAGTTTACCATTGATTTGCCACATCATAGTTTAAGTTTTACAACTAAATTGCCACAGGTTAGTTCTCTTGTGTGTGTATTTACTAAATAAAAATAATCACGCATTTTGATTCAGGGATATCAAACTGATAAAACCGAAGCTAATTTACCTTCTGAAGCAAGTATAGCTCTACCTGCTGTACACGTTGTCGCTGAATATATTCCTGAAAATGCTGCCAGTGGTTTAAGAAATCCTGAAGGCGTTGTTTTCAGGCAGGGTGGATATTTGAATGCCAATGCCGAAATTGGGGTATTTGAGCATAGTTTAACTACAGATTTGTTGAATCATTTGGTGTTTGTTCAGAAAGTCTTTATGAAGGTAAGTGAAGATTCCATTATAACATATAACCACCAGTATCACAAAACTGTCATTTGTTGACATATCTCAAAATGAATAATTGCAAAATAAACCGAAATCAAATAAACTATTATGTTCCTGAAAACTCAAACAACAATGATTTTCGGGTTGACCAAAACGTTGCCATTAACTTGTCAGATCTCAAGAAACTCCAATCTTTGGATTATCAACAAGAAACTGAACAATATCCCAGATCTGAGGAACTTTATCCTTGTGTAAACATGTATTATTGCCATACAGAGGACAGTGATCCTTTGAGTAAAGTTAATTCCCTACTAGCTCAACCAGAGTATCTTGAATCCATACGAAAAATAGAAAACGAACGTAGGATGTTTCCGCATGATGCCTATACAGAAAAAGATATTCAGACAAAATACCTACTAACAAAACCTATTAGTTTTATAATATTAGGAAAACCTGACATTGGCCAACAAGAACTCGGAAAGCTATTGGCAAATTATTGGGGTTGTGTCTATATAGAACCTCAAACTCTTATAGAACAAGAAATGGAATCTGGTTCAAGATCTGGCGAATGTATAGAGTTCAATTTACGAAGTGGCAGAGCCCTTGGCATCGATATTATTCTACGATTAGTCGCCAAACGAGTAAAATCTAAAAGTTGTTCACATAGAGGCTTTGTTTTGTGTGGACTACCTGTAATCCCGAATGATCTTTACGAAGAAGACCCTGTATCATCTCAATCGGCCATATTCACAGCTAAAGATATATTTGAGGAAATATTCGATTCGGCCATGGACCCTTTAACACCAAGACAGTCTAATCCTCCAGCATCAGCTTCTTCAAAATTTTCTGCCAAAGATGATGAACCAGTGAGCACATCATCTAGTGTAAAAACTGTTGTTGCAGAAGAAGCTGAAGATGTTAACAACATTGGAATGGACTATGGAAAACAATTAGATTTTCTTTTTAACTTATTAGAAGAACCTTATTTCGTGGCTTATATTCAATGTAGTGCAGCAGATGTTGTAATCAAACGCGATAGCTATCGATTCGATTTTTTAGCCAATCAACTAATTCACTTGCAAAATCAGCTAGAAGGCCTAAATGATGTAAAGCTAAAACCCTTAGTTAAATTGCCACTTGACTTTAAAGCCAATGTATCTTCGCAATTGGACAACTACCATTATGCCGCATTACATTTTGTCCAAAACAGAATCCTAGCTCATAATCCTGAATATTTTGTAAAACTTGATGGTCGTACGAGTGCTTTGAAAATGTTTGAAGTTCTTAAAGCCAAATTGAATATAATGAATGTTCAAAAAGTTTTAAACCCAAAAAGAATAGGTGCAGACAGTTTTGATGCATATTTTCAATCTGGAGACATTCTACCAGGCGAAGACACCACTGAAACCCAATTAAATCATGAAGAATGTTTCAAGCAAATGAAAACTTTAGGTGTACCCAGTTCTCAATTTCTATGGACTTGGAGCGAATGGAGCTATAAATGTCCTGTTTCAATGAGGGAAGGTGTTCTTAGAAAAGGTAACATCAAATATGCTTGTCAGTTTATGAACAAAATCTACTTTTTGGCAGACGAAATTGCCTATATGAAATTTTACAAAAACCCTAGGCCATATTTATTGCCTCCATTTCCAAGATCTACTTGTAAAATTATGATTTTTGGCCCTAAACATAGTGGAAAAACCGCTTTAGCTCATTGCCTGGCTTATTATTTGGGCGGTATGGTATTATCAGCTGATGAGCTAATGGAAAAATTCAGGATGCAACGAGAAAACGAGTATTTGGAAAAAATCAAACAAAAAGCCATCGCCGAGGGTTTAGCTTTATTGAACAACATGCGTGCGCTGGAAGTAAAAGAAAAAGAACAGGCTCGTATAGAAGCAATTAAAGAATGGGCTAAAAACGTTTTAAGATTAATAGAGGAAATGAGCAATGTTTTATTGGAAATCGAACGAGAAGAAAAAAAGGAAACATTTGGAATTTCCTCATTTCCAATGGCAATGAAAGTGCAAACGGCTGATATTCCAGAAGACTCTGAATTAGCGATAGCTTTGACGAAACTCAGGGAGGAACTGCAAGAACTCAACATACCGATTTACCGTCTAGATGCTCCAATGTGGAAAAGCTTTCTTACAGATCGCAGAAAAATACTACAATATTTACCGCCTGAGCTAGCAGGTAAATGCCAGGCGAAACCTGCTACAGTATTTGATGATTTTGTTCAGGAGTATGTCCAAAATGCCCTAGCTACAGCAGGAATACACGATATCGACATGTCCGGAGGAAGTATTACGGAAATGTTTCTGATTCACATTAAAATGGCCGAAAGGGAATATGAAAAATTGGGTCTAGGCCGTGGAGGATGGATCATAGATGGTATGATGAGTAATTTGAAGGTAGTTAAAGATTTTTTACCTAATTACATTGGAGATGAAGTGATTGTTCTCAAAGATACAACAAATTTCTTAGTTGATAATTATTCAGATCATAGATCCACATATTTTAGGGATTTTGCAATGTTTTTTAATAGTGTAGGATTGCCGGATGCCGCTCTCAGATGCCCTTCGGTAACTTCAACTGAAAAAGACAAAGAAGGAATGGCTAAAAGTATTTTACAAGAAATGTTAGATAGTGGAGAATTTTTAGGACGTTCTACTGATGATGAAGTTCAAATTGACCAACGAGTAGAGGAGTATAAAAGGCAACTGAGAAGTTTTACAAAAGATTGGGAGATTTTAGATGAATTTTATAAGGCCCATTATGTAACTCCTATGGAAATTGATGTTTCTAATAAAAGTTTGCCAGAGCTATTTCAGGAAGCTATTAAGACAATTGATACAAAATACAAATATTTGGCTAAACCACTAACAGAAGAAGATTTGGCTGAAGAAGTTGGCAAAATTGGACCAGAAACAATTATTGGTGAAACTCCTACTGTCGCAGTAAGCAAATCTGAAGAAACTCACTTGATTAGAAAATATGGAGATGTTAAGGATTATTGTCCTGTTACATTTTCTGAAAATTTTGTTTTATGGAAGGGCAAAGAGGACTTTACGTGTAAATTCAATGACAAAACTTATTTATTGGCCTCTGAACAAGACATGAAAAAATTTATTAATGATCCATATCAATATTTACCATTAGGATATCCTGGAGCGTTGCCACCACCAAGAATATGTGTCATAGGGGTTACAGGCAGTGGAAAAACGCAAATATCTAAATCACTTTCCACAAATTACGGTCTCGCTCATTTATCTTATGAAGATTTTTTGAAAAAATGTTTCAACATTGTTACAAAAGAAACATTAAAAGACTTGATGGCAAATTCTACAATCCAAGAACTTGTAGATTATTTAAACTCTAAAGCAGCTTTACCAGAGTATATTTATAAACAAATAAACAGTTTTTGGTTTGAAGAACCTTTCAAATCAAACGGATTTGTCTTTGATGGTTTTCCCAAAAACCAATACGATTTGGATTATATGGTTGCCAACAAATTGATACCAGATATAATTTTGTATCTTGAAGCAGGTGAGGTTTATTTGAGGACTAAATTTTTAGATCAATATTTGAAATCTTGGCAAGAAGCCATGGAACAAAAACGCCGAGAAAGCGAGCGTAAATATAGTAAAGTTTTGGAAATATGGAGAGAACAAAGGACTTCAAGATATAATGCTTTGATTGAAGAAAGGCGTGAGAAACGTTACGACCAGAAAATTGAAAATAAAGCGGGAGATGGTGATTCCTTGGTAAGTTTCAATTCAGTGGCTGAACAAGAAGACGTAGAAGAAGTCAATAAGATGTTAGACAAAGAATTACCTATTCCGATTGCTTATGATGAGCCAGAATTGAATGCTCAATCGTTTATTTCCAAAACAGAACCAATTATAGTTGATCTTATAAAGTCAGATATAAACGAGATACATCTTGTTGGAGCCAATTGTAAAAAGCATGGGATAAATTTTGTCCGAATTCCATTGAATTTGGATAATATGGATAAAACTGCTGTGGCTAGTTATTTGGCTGTAGGACCAATAAAGTTTCGAAATAGTTCATGCTTTGAGTCTTGCTATAATATCCCTCTAGAAACAGCTGACAAACTATTAAGCTCAGGATATATGTTTTTAAGTAAATTTGGAAAAACTTGCCCCGTGCAATATTACAAAAATGAAATTCCTATTCAAATGTTTCAAGTAGCTGAAGAAAATAATAATTTATATCCAATAATTCACAAAAATTATATTTATTTCATTGTGGGTTTTGAGGAAATGCAGCTATTTAAAAATGACCCTTTGAAATACATAAATCAAGAATTCAGATTTCCATTGATGAGATATAAATTGGCAGTAATAGGGCCTCCAAAGTGTGGTAAAACTACATTGGCTCGTAGAATTGAAAAAGAGCTGGGTTTTAAACTAATCACTAGAGGACAAGCTATAAGATATGTTATGAATAATTTATTTGAATCTACTTTGGCTAAAAACATGAAGTCTGTTTTATTAAAAGGTTGGGAATTGACAGACGAAATGGTTATACAATCTGTTGAAGCGGCAACTTTTGACTCAAAATCAGTTACTAGAGGAATTATTTTTGATGGATTTCCTAATAATTTAAATGAAACCAAACATTTAGCTGCAATTGATTTAATTCCTAATATTATAATTGACTTACAAGCAAATGAACAAGAAATTTTTGAATGTTTGTCATATGACGTCAATAACCCAAAGTATAGTTTTAGATTTATAAAACATTTACATGAAGAGTGGTTGAAAGATTCTCAACAACATAGAGATTGGTTTGACAAAGAATATCAAGCAATTACAAAAATCCCAATAGCAACATCTAATTGGTCAGTCTGGCACCAAACAAAATCATACCTGTTTAGTACATTTTTTGAAATCAACCATTACCATAAACACATAATAGACGATTGGCCTTTGAGGCTTGGAAATATGCTCATAACTCCCTTGGAATTTTTAGAAAGGCAAAGTAAATTTAAAGCTTATTGTCCTGTTTGTCTTCATCTTACAAAAAGCCTTGTCAATGGCGGAGAACCTTCTCCTGACAGAACAGGCCTAGTGCAATTTAGAAAACATTACTATTGGATTTGCGATTCGCATATGGAACAATTTCTGAAATGTCCAGAAATGTTTCTGCCTCCATATACCCAACACGGAATGCCTTCTATTTTACCAAAAAAATTTACATTTGAAACAATGCCTGATAACATCTATGAACACGGCACTTGTTCAGTATGTTCCAAAACTAGACGAATTATAACTAAAGGAAAGCTTAGTTTAGGAGCAAACTTTAATGAAAAGGCCTATTTATTTGACTCTATGAGTTGTTTGAAAGTGTTTCTCAAAAATCCCGATAAATATATTTTTGGAATCGAATTCAAGGCACCCGACTATTCAGATTTGAAATACGAAGACTTGCCATTGCTGGGCATGTTCGAGCAGTATTTGGCAAAAGATTTAGTCAAGGCTGTTTGCTATGTCGGAAAACGTCGGCCTATAATACCCGGCCTAGGAATTGCCACCTCGGCTCTAATAGGCATTGGCCTATTGATGAAAGTGAATAATGACAAACCAAGCCAATACCTGATGTACTACAAAGAAGGTTTTGAATTGTTTAATGAAAGACGCAAAAAGCTGTTGAAGTATCTCGAGTATATGAAGACTCATCGGAATCCGTATTTGTATTATGATGAGCCTTTGCCTAAGTTTGAGTTACCGCCGCCAGTGCCTGTGGATAAAACTGAAAGCTTGGTTACGCAGATTTCTAGGATTGTGGACGAGTGCATTGATGGAGTGGATTTCTTTTCACCTGAACATTCAAGTGAATCTCTTACGGATTAGTTGTTTTATATGTTAGTTGTGTAAAGATTATTTTATTAAAGACCATTGATTTGTCTTTGTAGTTTTCATTATTCTCAGTATTATTTCTAATGAATATCAGGTCATTATGTTGAAATTAAGGACTGTAAATTGGTAGTTTTTATCAGCACATCAGGCATTCCACAGGGGTCAAACCTGGGTCTACTTTTGTTTTTGTTCGCATTTAACAGGGTATTGTTGGGAGTAAGGAATGTTGAGTCACTTGGTTTTGCTGATGATTTGAAGTTGTTTTTTGAAGTTTCATCAATCACGGATTGTGCAGTGCTCCAGAGAGAGGTATCTGATATTGTCGCATTGTGTTCTGAGAATAGTTTCAAGTTGAACCTTGATAAGTCTGTATGCATGTCATTCACACGCAATAAAAATCCTGTCATTTATGATTATTTTGTAGGTAATGTAAAACTGAAAAGAGTGTCTGAGCAAAAAGATCTGGGAGTTATTTTTGATCCTGCTTTGTCTTTTTCGGGACATATTTTGTCAAAAATTTGTAGTGCTCAGAAGGTATCAGGTTTTATTACAAGAAACACAAAATGTTTTAGTATTAGTATTAGCTTATCTCACTTTGACAGTCTCGTTGTGCATCTTAGAATATGGCAGCGTAATATGGTCACCCCAATACCATAATTGGAGTGAAATTATAGAAAGTGTGCAGCGAAAATTCTTGAAATGTCTGTACTTCAGAAAGTTTGGAGTTTATCCCCAGCGTAGCTGTAGCAATGACTATTTGTTGGTTGTGTTCAGTAGACTGTGACTGAAGAAAAGACGGATAAGAATATTCTTATGCACTATGTATGAGGCTTTGACCAATAATATTGACTGTCCAGGTATTTTGGAACAGCTTTCTTTTGCTGTACATCGTTATAATTCAAGGAGTAAAAATGTCTTTTACTTGGCCTACTCTAGAACCAATCTTTATAAATGTTCTCCGATCTATAATTTGTGTGACCTTTATGCCTCAGATGTAGATATAGACATTATTAGTCTTAAGGCATTCAAAATGATAGTTGACAGGAAACTGCATTCATCCTAAATTGTATTTCTCTGTATGTTGTGATTAATCAACTTTGTTGATATTGTAAGTAGGTTTTAAGAGTATGTTAAATGTTATCTGTATTCTTGTATTATTACTATTATAGTCCAAGAGCCCAGAGCCGCCAGACACAACTTATTTTCTAAAGGACAGAAATATGTGGGATTGTGTAGCACTTATATGTACTATGAACGTATGTATACCCGCTAAGTTGGGTAGACGGCCAATTTACCGACACCAGGTGCGAAAGCTTAAAAAGTACTTTAACTTTTTTTCTAACGCTTGATTTTTATACATGTTATTGGGGAGACTATTTCATAACTACGTGTGCTCAGTCAGACCAATCGCACCGTCCAAACATCCCCCCAGACGCAATAATAGTTTTTCCGTGAGTGTGAGCGCGAGGGTACTATGCATGCGTTTGGGAGTGAGCGAGATATCTATTTCCCCCTTTTAAACTTACAGCCTACTTCAGGCTAGAGTAGAAAGGGGATTCGGTTTTTCCCATAATGGGAAAAATCGTTATTTACAAATAACAGTCAACTGGCCGTCTATCCAACTTAGCGAGTATACATACGTTCATAGTACCTATAAGTGCTACTCAATCCCACATATTCTGTCCTTTAGAAAATAAGTTGTGTCTGGCGGCTCTGGGCTCTTGGACTATTAAGTCAGTATCTATAATTGGCTCTGCTGTTGATACTTTGAATAAATTTATAAATAAAATTATATGTTTATTTTTAGGAAGTAAACGAAGTCGTCCAAAAAGTATACGGAGGCGAAAGACCAGTACCTCTATGGCTAGAAGACACTGAAGAACCATCAACATTAAACAGATTACTGTTTTCTTTAGTAATAAAAATACAAAGAATCCAACTTACAGCTACCACTGCAGGTAGTTCCGCCGTAAGACTAGAAACAGGTGCTGTAGTACTGGAACTATCCAACAGAGTCCAAAACGTATCCGGATCCAAACCCAGTGGTACTGCAGCGAGACTTTTTGGCAAAGCCCAAGTAGACTTGAACCTGTCCCTAGGACAAATTATTAGGAATGCTGTTTTTGAAGAGGCAGACATTGATTATCAACATGTGGCCTTTTTCAATACTCAAATAGTTTTGAGGAACGCTTTCCAAGATGAAATCGTTGAAGGCGAAGACAAAGAAGTGGTTTTAATTACCTTAAAAAGACCTCTAATCTACGTCCAACCAGCAGCAGTAGACAAAGCAATTCTGGTTTGGTTAAATTACAAAAACGCTTACGATTATTGGACTGATAAGAGGGCGAATTTAAATCGGGAAATTAAAGAGGAAAAATTCCAATTCGGGCAGTTAACTAGTCAGTTGGGCACTCCTCACTTGGGTACTTTGTTTCTACAGCTTACAGTTGAAGATATGGGAATTTGTTTACCTTTGAACCATTTGCCAATAACTTGGAATGTGAGGTCCGGCTACGAGGACAGTCGGGGAGCTGTTGTGGTTACTTTGGAAAATACAAGCATATCTGGTAAGTATTTTGACTATTTTGAGGCTAAAAAAAATTGACATTTTCATCTAAGACTAAATATGACATGTGTAAATTCCTGTATTGGAATTTAGGAGGATGCTTAGAACACTTGGTAGTTTGTTGTTTGTGGTTTGTAGGTTGGGTTAGAACTCTAATTGTATTTTATAGAATGTCTGCCGCATCTCTGTTTCTTCTTGTATTGGAGCCGTTATTATGTCGTCCGTTGTAGAACCTGAATAGCACTATAAGTGTGATAACAACAATTATAGTTACTAATGTAGCACTGAGGCTCGTGACTAGGAGGTGTTTTTTTACTGTTACCCAATGCGTAGTTTCAAGTTTTTGTTTGATGTTCATTTTTTCATTCCTGGAATCATTGAGCTTGTTGGATGCGCAGGTTCGTCAATTTCCCTTTCATGCATAATTGGGAATAATAATATATTTTGTAGTATAGGTTTGGAGAATGCTTCTAAGACAGTTACAGTATCTGACCTTTCAGGAATTAGGATATTCTTCTAAGTTTTGATGAGGCAATTTGAAGCTATTTCTATAATAGCTGTATGAGCCACATCGTCCCAGGTTCCATCGTAAATAATGGCAATTTTTGTTTTTTCAGGCGTAATTGCTAACCACGAGTTTGGAGTGTGTAACTGCTTCCATATTATTGATGCTATGGATTACTGTAGGATTTTGCACAAAGTATTCTCTTCTCTTTGCTATATTTATTTGGTCTATTATACAATTAGGACTTATCTATATGCCTCTTGTAGTGGTTGGTAAGCATACGAAAACATTTTCTGCAATGTTTAGACTGTTGCTCAACTCATCTTCAGATATTTGGAATATCCAGGATCCAGTAAAACTCTTTTTCTGTTTTGAATGGAATTGGAGTCGATCTGGATTAGCATACATTCGGCCCAAAGGGCCGGAGTTATACGCGAGGCCGAAGGTCGGGAGTTATACGCGAGCCCGAAGGGCTAGAGTTATTTTAATCACGGGGCCCAGTCTATAATTTTATTAATCAACGGATAATTTGGAGCCAATCAAAAATCGGGAATATTCAAAATGTGATTTTTAGTCGATATTCCGAGTTTCAGTTCTCTCCGATGTACAAAATACCATCGGATAGAGGAGCAAAAAAAAACGTTGAAAAGCTTATGGGACACTGCTTGCTATGACGCATTTTAAGGCCAGGAAAAAATAGAGGGTCCTTATTCTTGAATTGAGAGAAAATTTCACTCCCCAGGGGAGCTCCCTGATTGTTCTACTCTTTCATAATTTCTCTCGATTTTGAAAAGCTGTATTCTTGAAAATAGGAAGTAGGAAGGAGTTATGTCCATTTTCCCAGCAATTGACTTAAGTAAGGAATAGTTAAGGAACACTTATATTTTAAGTAGCCCTTAAGACTTGTTGCGTTGCTGAGCGGCTCTCAGGATCAACCTTTAATAAAGAACGGAGTACCGTCTGGCAACATTGCATTTTTATCAAAAGATCGTCTAAAATAATCCCTCCTAACATTATTTATTTCAGTTTTGGCATTTCGGGCCCGACATAAACACAACACAACACAAAACATAATTATTATTTTTGTTTTTATTTCTAGTTGATGTGAACATTTGTTAACTCTACAGGCTGAAGCAAGTTAATGCTTCAGATGTGGCATCCATTCCTATGAAATCTGCAACGGATAGGTATTCCCCTGTTCGTTGCATAAAACCGTTAAGTTGTGAGTAGCTGGTTCAAGGGACGACTGTATTGTTCCTTCAAAAATAAATTAATAATAAAAGTATGTCCTTGGATGCCCTGGTTTCTTCGTAGTGTTTCTGAATACAAAGTACCTACATACATCAAGATGACAACTTCTAAACTTAATTAATGTATGCTGTATGTGAACCTATATGTTAAATCATTGTAAATTAACATCTATACTTCCAACTTCCAATATTTCGAGACAATGGAAACATTCAGGCGGTGCCAGAGGCTTAGTTCAGCCACTCAGCAGGAACTTTATTCTCGAAACAGGGGAGCAGCGTTCTCATTCGAACGAAGTTCTGTCTTTGTCGTCCGGCATAACACTGACAATTACAGAGTAATCGTTTTTATGAGAACGCTGTTCCTTGGTTTCTAGAATAGAGTTCCTGCTGAGTGGCTGAGCTTAGCCGCTGGGACCGCCTGAATGTACCCAATAATCCAATTTGACTAAAGATTCAAACAAACATGCCAAACCAAAAATGACAAATTGAATTTTGAGGTTAGAAATCTCTACTTTATAAACTTAAGACGCCAAATTTGGCCACTTAAGTTAAGGAGTCCTTAAGGGGCAACTGTAAGGCCACCAAGTGTGGTTTATATATTTCATTGACATAGCAACTAAATCTAGGTCATATGCGTTATTGTAACAATAATATTAAATTGTTATAGTCGTGTCCATCATGTTTATCAAATATAATAAATCAGTCTATTCCGAACCATGAAGAGTTTTGACCACACCGATTCACCGCACTTTCTACACCACTAACGAGCAAAGCAAACGAAAAGCTACCGCTAAGGCTTCCTTACTACTAAGGTATCCTTAAACTATCCTTTACGAGTGCTGGGAAAATGGCCATGAGAGAAATAGCGAACACTGCTGCCAGATTTTTAGTACAAAATTTTGACCAATCACAAATGATGAAAATTATCAGTGTGACAGCTTTTTGACAAATGCACCTTTTGTTGTTGTAAATTATTAAGCTTTTCAAATTTATCTGTAGCTTATCTGATAATTCTTAGGCAGGCCATATACCCGAATAGACCACAAGTGTGCAGTGGGTAGTGGGTGAGAAAACCCTCTCTTTATTTAAATTATTTCAAAGGTGAGTTTATAGTGTTTATGCATTTATAGGTAGGTACTATAGGTACTAATAAATACCAACATTCATTGCTTTTTAGAAAGTAGAAGTTTAGAACAAGAATGGCACACACACATAATATATCGGGTCTTCAAAAAAAAAAACAATCGAAGATTGCTTTGACTACGAAAACGTACGTCGCATTACTGTTTCTTTATTCGTCAGGATTTTTGACAAGACATTTTGACATTAAATTTCATTGACAAAATTAAAGACAAATATTGCTAAGACATACGTTTAAAAAACCATAGCAATCTTTGATTCGTTTTTTTTTTTGAAGACCTGATATAAAACAAGAACAAAAGGAAATCATGTTGGATTTCAGCCAACCAGACCAGAATTATTTGCTGCAAAGTTTTCACCTGATTTTACAATGACACACTCAAGAGCTTTATGGCAAAGGCTTGCGATCATTCTAAATGCTCATCCCAATGGAGCCAAAAAAGAGTGGAATGCTTGGTGCAAGGGTACTTTCCATAAAATATAGTTAAGCTTTGGAACCTTTTCCTCATTTTTTTTTTGTGTTAGACCTGGATCGACAAAAAAAAAATAGCAAAGCAAAATTGGCTAGAAAAAAGAATACCAAAAAGGTACAGGAGGGGGGCCTCCTGAACCAGTTACTACAGATAATTTTGACACTAAAGTTATGGAGCTTACAAGTCCAGTGTGTATTACAGGCAATATGAAGGTACCTGAGCCAGGAATCATTCTTGATAAAGAGGTAATCTTTGATGAGATGTTCCCTGCCAACAACCTATTAGCAATGGTAGGATTGTACAGAATTTAATGGTGAACATTGTTTGAGGAAGGGTTGTAAAATACATAGGTTTGTTTCTGCAGAAATCACAAACCAGTCGCGAATTTTATTGGTTGAAAACAGTCAGAAAACTAGTTTCAACCAATGAAATTCGCTCTGACTGGTCTGTGATTTCTGCAGAAACATATCTAATATATCAGTAACATTTACAAGAACTTAAACTTTTTGCTTGGTTGGTGTCAAAAATTAAGTAATAAACATCTTGTCTGTCTTACAGGAAATGAAAACTCAGATCCCCCCACTGAGCTTGAGAAAAATGAAACTAAAAATACAAGGAAGAACCTTGCTCCTGAAATAAAGAAACATGCTATACCCAGAGGCAAACCCAGAGTGACAAAAGCCATGAGACTGAATGAATCTCTCAAAAACTACAGTAAAATGGTGAACATCTTAGAACATGCTCAAAATGGAACACAAGATACATACCGTTCTGAAAAAATCAACTTTTGAAAGAGAAACGAGATGATCTAAGAAAACAAACCCATATAATGGAGAATATTTCTGTTTCTTTACTTAGCATTGTAGATATCATGAGAGAATCAAGAAGAGTTTATTTAAGTTCTTTTCTTGTTTTTATAATAGTTTATCGGCATTATAATACATTATATTATTAAATCCATTATCCAAAAAAAAACAACCACTTTCACTTTGAAAAAAACCTCTCCGTCGATTTTTTTAACGTTTTGTTGTTTGTTTATCTTTATTTCCATTCCCATTTTAATTTTCTCTCACTTGGGAGCAGTAGAAATTGAAATTCCCTTAAGGAGAAATCTATCTATCAAGTCATGAGAGAATTTTTTTTCAAGAATACAGTATTTTCAATTCTAGGAACACACGCTCACTTCTCTCCCTAAAATTCAAGAATAAGGCGCCAGGTCGAATTTCTCGAAAACGGTGTCCTGTGGCGGGATACTTCTTATAGGCTTTTTTGTAGTACTCGACAAGATCTATAAGTTTTGTATTTGAAGTTTTTCTCCCGAGCTTTTCGTTTTCAAGTTAGGACGTTGAATCTCTGTCCTGCAATTATTCTGACATTAGAGGTCGACCGGAGGCTAGACTGTCACATGCTTCACTGAAATCTAGCATTCAAATGGACCGCGGATCTGAACGTCCAATAGAAATGCCGGAAACATATCGAACCACTACTGGCGTTCAGCGACCCATAGTCTCGAAGAGTGGCTAGCCGCACGCATAGTTGAAAACTGCGATTCTTGCTTTTTTTATCGCTGTTTTATGCATTAATAGTTCCATGTTACTTTTCTAGTCGGAAGTTGTAGAATTATAGTTGATTGATATTTTTTTGCATCAGGTGTATTGTAAATTATTGTGCAATTGTGCATCTTGTTGCAGAAAGTACCTACATAATTATTATCGTAATTAATCATAATTCTCAATTTGTGCCTTCCTTGTATTTTTTATTTTTTATTTTTCGTCAAAATTAACTCTGAAAATATATTCTTACATGAAGAAAAGGAACATTTTCTCGAGTATTTATGGTTTTTATTGAATTTGAGATAAATTATTGAGGGTATGGGCACCACAAAACAAATTTTGCCTGCTGCGCAGTGGTTACCTTACCGTAATTCATTATTTTTTAGCCTCCTCACTTGAAATAGTCACAAAGCGTTACTGTTCAATATTCATAATATGAAAGATTTATATTGTAAATCTCATCGTTTACTCCAAATACTGCGGTTAATAGTTTTCTCAAAACTCCTCTTTTTTTTCACGTTTAGATACCACATTTTTGTATCCATTGAAACTGTTTTGACCGAAAAAGTCTATAGTAGTTGATGTATTGGTTTTTAGCTTGCAGTTCTGGTTCGCTGGTGAGCAAAGGCAAGTTTTCCAACTTATGTCTACGATTCGCTGAAGAATTTGAAACATCTTTGGACGACTGGAAGCCCGATATGACGGACGCTTCCATTATGAACCTGTGCGTTGTTAGCGACGGTACTTATGAAGTTTGTAGTCGTACTGTAGCGGCCAAAGGACCAAACGGTAAATTGCGTTAACAGATTTATAAACTGCGTGTAATAGAGTTTTAAATTTTGCATAAGAAATTCTCAATTATGTGTAGTCGCATACTCTTGATAGATTATTGATGAAAATTTCTGTTATAGAAAACGCCAAATGGTATTTAAACGTCCAATGGCAAATGGAAGGTGTCGACATTCATTTGGATACAAACGTTGGTAAACAATTGTCCGCTTTGGGTCATACCTTAACAATGCTCACAGGCGCTGAAGATGCAGGAATTCCCTTTGATTATGACTCGGACGAAAATGATCCTACCGATGGTACACGAACGTCTCAAGAGAGTATTTTGCCGGCATTTATGTTTGATCCTTCTCTAGACAACAGAATCAGATCGAAACTTATTGAAAAAGAAATGAACGAACAAGCAAAGATAATCACAGATTTGAGGTAACTTTATTATTGATATTTTGCAATTTACAAAAAATGTATTATTTTTAGATCACTTGGAGCCTCTCATGGTACAATAGAGTTGGAAATGAAGCGACTACAGGAACTGGAAACAATGGTTTATAAGGATTTTAGAAGGTAACTTTTTATTTAATATAGAAAAAAGTATATTAAATTTAAAATTTCAGAGACATGATACAAAAGCTACGCAGGCAAAGTATGAGAGCATCGTCGATAAAAGGCAAGTTTGGATTGGGTTCGAAAAGCAGTACCAGTTTTAGATCGAAATCGTTTGTGGTGCCCAGTCCTATGCCTGAGGACAATGGAAGGTACTAAAAAATGATGAGTTTTCCAATAAAAATTATAATTTTACATCTTTTAGCCCTGGAAGTGCTAAATTGGAAACAAACGCAGGCAGTTTTGACAGTTCACCTCGTTCAGGCCCTTCACGCTCGGCATCACTTCGAGTTAAAACCACCGATCAAGGTCCTAGAGTTACTTTTAGTGATACTCAAACTATGAGCAGGTAATAATAATTGTATAGAAACTCATAGCAATTCAAAAAAAAAGATTGTTGAAAAGTGAGCTTATGGGGCCCTTGAGAGCTCTTCATTTTGGCCCATTAACAGCCAACTAATAATGTCTATAATAAATCTTTTCAGACAAAAATCCCTACCTAGTGCCAGTTCAGAAATTAGCTTGCCAGAAACCCAACTAGACTGGGTAGATCAACTCGATATTGACGGCGAAAAAGTAACACTACGTAAAAAACTACCAGCCTCTTATGAATCTGTGGAAGGGTAAAAACTTTACACCAATCAAATAATCATTTAACATAATAATTATTCATAGGTCATTATTATTGGACGATTTTGACATAGATCAAGCCCTAAACTCTAGTCCAATTCAATTGACCAATAATGCAAATTTGTCACAAAGTAGCGGACCTCAAAAATGCCCCGAACCAAATGTCGATCTTGAATTAGACGTCAAAGTTTTCATTAATAGCGGAAAATGCGTTTTGCACACCAAGGACCATGTCAAAGAAGAAGAAATTAAGCTGTAAATTGTTTTTTTTTTTTGTAAAATATTTCAATACATAATTGTATTATTTTCAGAAGTAGAATGCGTAAAGACAGATCTTGCTCAGCAGCAGGCTTACTAGAATATTCCAGTTCTTCAAGCCCAGACGCTATAAGAAAAAACAAAGACAAACTAACATCTCAGAGCAGCTCTTCTAAACTAAGACCCAACCCTCATAATACCCTTGTAGACTTGACAATTTTCCACATACCAGGCATGGAAGTAAAATTACAATACCAATCAAAAGTTATCATAGAAGACGACCAATCATTAGATTTTGACAAAGTATTTTCTTCAGCAACTTCAGCCAAAATCCCTTACAGCGATTCAGAACAATCTCGAATCGACATGGCCTTTAAACGACAAGAAAGCCAATCGGATTTCAAATCGCAGAGTCTCAATTCCGAACTAAAAAGTTCCACTTCAATGCATGGAATTACGAATCCCAATTATGGTCACTCCCCTACTGCTAGCTTGGAAAATTTGCAGTTCGGGACTTATACTACACCTAGTAACGATACATTTAAATCGTTCAATTATATGAATGTGGCTACGTGTAAAAAGCCTGGAATTAAAAAGGCTTCGTTGTTTGCCTGGATGACTTTGCAAAGCGTTCCTGAGGAAACCATCATTAGTCCGCATATTTTGGAGTTTTTGGAACAGACTCTGGAACCGATTCCTGCCAAGACTTTAAACGCGACAGGTACCTCATTACTTTCCTCAGACCAAGACATCAACTATGGGAATTATGTTTACGCCAGTTTTCCTGTGGATGTAATTGTATATTTCCACATGCAACCAAGTACTTTTAGATTCAGTTGTCTTCCCGTATCTAGGGTTGAATGTTTGTTGCAATTACCATCGTTGGATATTGTTTTCAGTTCGAAAAGGGCCGAAGACGAATTGTGGAGGTAATAATCTCTGTGCAATTTTTGGAAATTGATTAATAAATTGTTTATTTAGTGAATTTGGAGATGATGCTCCAAATACCGCCGCCACTGCCGTAGGAGGTCTCAGTGTCACTGGATGCCTATCAGATTTTTCAGTATACATTTTTCATCCTTATGGAGGTAAAAAGTCTGCTTTAAAAGAGGCTCAATGGTCTCCTTTGTCTGACAGGTAATAAATTCAAACTATGGAAATGTTGTTTTAAAAATTTTACATTTTTAGTGAAAGAAAAGATTCCTTATCAGTAAATGTTGAATTTGTTAAAGTTCATTTATCTCGATCAAGAATGTTGAACTTCAAACAAGAACCTACTAAGGGCCTAAAAGGTTCTGAACAAAATAGGGCTGTTATACGTTTTTCAAGTAAGTAACTTGAATCCTCTTAGGGCGGGTATTATGAAACTCTTTTGACAGAATAACTAAAAGTTAACTCCTGGAATGACGTTACTTCTCATGATAATTCCATAAGTTAACTTTTAGTAATCTGTCTGAATAATTTTATAATATCCGTGATTATCCTATCTTTTCTAGCCATTATCGATATTGGTTCTGCGTCCTTCAAATACGACATGAGACGACTTACGGAAATATTAGCGTTTCCTAAGGCTTGGTATAGACGCTCTATTGTCCGGAGGATGTTTTTGGGTGACTTAAGCATGTCTGCAACTTATAGTGAAGAAGATGAAATTATTACTCATCACAAAACATCGCCTGGGACTTCGAATAAATATGATAAGTAAGTTGTCAGAAGGTCAATAATACCTTTGTAACATTGTCCAATTCGTTCAAGATCCACCGCCACTCCTTTACTAGGAAACTCAAAAAGTCGTCACGATGATCACATTTCCCAGAAACATAGCAAAATGCGTGAAATTGGTAAATAATGTTTGCTCAAAAATTAGAAAAATCTACATTGTTATCCCACAGGTAAGGCCTTTAGTGCAGAATCAACGCACACAGATGATACCCCTAGCCCGTCTGAACATAAAAACACTACAGCCTGGGAAACTTTGGTACTTTTCGCTGTCAATTTCAAAAAATTAAACGTGCACATGAATATGGGCAATGTCATGGGCAATGTATCGTAAGTTACTTCAAACTTCAATCCATTTATACCTGTATAAAACAAAATAATTATTTCAGTTGGTTAACCAAAGATTTCAGAAGCGACGGTAGATTGAGTATTGGTTCAACTGGCCACAAAAACCTTTACATAGCTTTTGGCTTAGGTGGTTCAGGCTTGGACGCCAAAGGCGGCATAGTTGGTGGAAACATTGAAATAGCCAATATAGACACTTACGTTCATATTCGAGAAGAACCAGACGTAGAACCGGACCATACTATTGGTTTAAAATTGAGGGCTTTAGAATTGAGACTGGATTACATGGCAACGTCGGTTTTAATGTGTAGAGTAAGCGATTTGAATGTCAATTTAAGAGACGAATGGAAACTTAATCGGCCTACTGTGCGGGAATCTTTTATGCCTACAAGAAGGTGAAGTTTGATTTAATAATTGCAGGCAACAATTAATGAGTTATTTCTAGACCTGCCAGTATCTTTGTCCACGGAGTTCTCAGCTGGGACCAACTTCAGTTGATGATATCAAAATCCACTACTGCAGATCTACTAAAAATGTTCAACAAACTAGAAGAATTCTTTTCGCAGCAATTCAATAGCAGCAAAAGGGCTTTCAGTGGTTTTTCTTCTAGTAGAACTCCTAGGGCGACGCCTCAGAAAAGCAGAGATGCTTCATTGCCTACAGCGCAGGTGCCAATAGTGCCCTCAGATGCAAGACATCATCGTCATTGGCAAAAAGTTCTGAGTCGAATTGCTGGTTTACAGTTGACTACTATGCATGTACCTTTACCAAGTTCTGGTACTTTATTGGGTGGAACAATGGAACTTCATGGCAACAACGTATCATTGGCTTGTTTTCATGGTATCAACTTCAAAAGCAAATCTTGGGCTTTGTTCAGCCTGAGAGAACCTTGTATCAATTTTAATACTGAAGGCCAAGAGATACCTTCTGCTTCAGGTAACACTTTAATTCTAGTAAAAGTTAAGTAATATTTTTACGTAACGTTTCGTTTACTGGTGCAGTAGAAATCTTCAGAAGTGGTAGGGTAGAGGCCGAAGTGTTCTTTTCCGTGTTACTCCGATAACTGAATTCGATGCGTTATTTATATCCAGGGTTGTAGGCGTGGCTTGTATTACGCTATTTTCCTTGTCTTGTTCTCGGAAAGGAAAGGAAGGGTATTTGTTTCTCGGAAGAGAACTGGCAACTAGCTTTTGTTAAAGTTCATGCTCTCTTCTTTTCTGTTGAAGTTGTTGTGGTGTTTCTGTACCTCTATGGCTTCTCTGTGGAGTCTTAACCTAAAAATCTTAAACTATATCCAAAAGTATTTTCTCATCTACCGATACCGAAAGTGATGGAAGCGAAAGCGACCTTAATCAGTCTTGAATCTAGGATGATTTCTTATACAATACTGTATCTCTATGTCCCCAAGTAAGCGTGTACTCTGTACCGGGTATAACGTAGCGTTTGTCGTCCGCGTAAGACAAGGCTACCTTATTTTTAAGTTCGATGTATGTTACATATCATGTTTATCTGGACAGAAAGTATTCATTCGCCGATGGATACCCTAAGGCCTGATTTACTGGTACCTTGGTAAACAACGGGACGACATCAAAACTAACCAGAATGTCGTTTGGTAGTAGAGTAATGTCACTGATCTTCTTGATAAAATGAGTGGATCCTTTAACATAGGAGATAGAGGAGTCTAGCAGTTCGGAAATTTTTGATTCATAGTCAGTCACGTTCATGATTACCATTGTTTTTCCTTTATCCGCAGGCAGGAATAGTATGTTCTTGTCTGTATTCAGGCTGCGAATAGCTTTCCTTTCCTCGTATGTCAGATTACACTTTGGAGATTTCGCTAGTCGTAGTCTTCGTTTTCCGGAGAACTGGCAACCAGCTTTTGTTGAGCTTCGTGCTTGCTTTTTTTCTATTGAATTTGTTATGGTGTTTTTGTACCTCCATGGCTTCTCTGTGGAGTTTTAACCTAAAAATCTTAAACTATAACCAAAAGTATTCTCTCATCTACCGATACCGAAAGTGATTAAAGCGAAAGCGACCTTAACCAGCCTTGACTCTCGGGAATTTCCGATGATTTCTCTTAATATTCTATTTCCCCAAGCAAGCATGTACTCTGTACCGGGTATAACGTATAGCGTTTGTCGTCCGCGTAAGACAAGGCTACCTTATTTTTAAGTTCGATGTACATATCACGTTTATGCGGACGGAAAGTATTCATTTGCCGATGAATACCCTAAGGCCTGATTCACTGGTACCTTCGTAAACAACGGGACGACATCAAAACAAAACTAACCAGAATGTCGTTTTAGTAGAGTGATATCACTGATCTTTTTGATGGAATGAGTGGATTCTTTAAGATAGGAGGTAGAGGAGTCTAGCATTTCGGAAATTTTTGATTCATGGTCAGTCACGTTCATGATTACCGTTGCGATTCCTTTATCCGCAGGCAGGAATAGTATATTCTTGTCTGTATTCAAGCTGCGAATAGTTTTCCTTTCCTCGTATGTCAGATTAAACTTTGGAGGTTTCGCTAGTCGCAGAATCCTAGATGTTTCATTGCATATTTCCTTCGCAGTGGTTTTCCACATTTGCTATGGCAGATCTTTTGGTGTTAAGGCAAAATTGCCCCCTTTTCTTAGAACACTGTTTCCGAATCAGTCAGAACGTGTTGGGCCAGGTTGACAACTGTGCTCAATGGTTTCAAGGACTCATATTGATTTACCAGTTTTGAAATAATTATTACAAAATTCCTAATTTTTGTAGGAAAATCTCCATCTCAAGACGTCCACGTGGTTCAAACTCTAATTTGCAGCCTGGGCCTGCATTCTTTGAGACACCTATCAATGGCCACAGTATGCAAAGTGACCCGAACAGTAATTTTCCCGCCCCAATTTAAAACATTACAAGAATGGTTCCACTATGCTTTTGCCAATAGTCAAATTGATGAAGTCGACAAATTTCCATCGTTGGAACGCGAAAAAGTGGACGGTTCCAATTCCATTGAACGGAGCAATAGGGCACCTGCTCCAAAACTGGCCGATCCTAATCATACTAGAGAAGTGATTTTTGCTTTACCAGGCTTGCAAATTCATTTAAAGACTGAGCATTTGCAAAGCGCCACTATACCGGATCTTAATGGTCAGTATAAATAATTATTGGCAATTAGTTGTTTTTCAAAAATAATTATTTTTTCTAGATGAAAAACCAATGGTAGAATGCAGTTTCATTACAGAATTTGAGGACCACATTTTTGTGACCGTAGATGCAGAATCTTTTTTTTTCTTGCACGATCTTATTACGTCTTATCTTCAAGAAAAAGAACGAGTGGTAAGTTTATTTAAGTTAGATAAATTGAGAATAATTGTTGGATAATTTTAGCTTGGTGGTTACGACAAACGTCCAATTGGTGAACAAGAAAAATCGAGAACTAACCTAGGCGAAACTCTATCGAAAAAAGCATCTATTGATGGTGACATATTTGCCAAAGATTGGAGAAATTATAATTGCAAAACTTGGCACTTGGAACCCACTGTACGCTTGTTGAGCGTTGCAGGAAAGTATATTGAACCTTATGGTAAGTTTGATTTTACTTCAATTGGTCCAATTACATAATATGATTAAATTTAGGCATTGATTATATTCTTCAAAAACTTGGGTTCTCGCATGCCCGTACAACGATTCCGAAATGGCTGCAGCGCGGTTTTATGGATCCAATAGATGCTATTTTGGCTGCGTTAACTCTAAGGGTGGTTCTGATTGTTAGGGGCGATCAAACGAACAAAGATGAGAAGAAAGCTATCGAAAATAAGAAATTGTCTTAGGAAATGTTTAGTAGATGCTTTTAGGCCATATATTTATGGTATTTAGTCGAAACAATATTTAAGCTTTATAAAGGTTGAATAAAACCTTAGGTGTATATTTAGATTTTTTGTGATATCTAGTCCTTTTTTTGAGATTGAATTCATTTTGACTGAAGAGGTCAGTTAGTAGGGTAATTACGGTTGTATATTTTATATTATTTGTTTTTTTTTCTGCCATTCACTTAATTATGAATTTTTGTACACTTTATTTTCGTAGATCAAATATAACTATACTAGAAAATTGATGTCCATAATTTCAAACGCGTAAGCTTGCTCCTACACTTCTAGTCCAGGAGGTGGCGCCAAAAACATGCAAGAGTTTTCGCAAGGCGGATATTTTCAAAATAGGTCGTACTTTAGTGCTAGAATGCTAGTGTACAGTCAGCACTCACAGTTCCGGGACAGCTGGCTCTGGGACGCGGGCAAAGTTGTAATTTTAAGAAGCATCTAAACTGTTTTCTCAAAGCTCAAAATTTATAGAAATTTTGCACATTATCTGTTTGAACACAGATAACGTATGTAAATCGTCAAACGTCTAGTTCGTTGCAAAAAGGGGGTCAGACGTCCTCAAAGTTTTTATTTTATGGCATTTTCTTCAAATATTTGTCAAATACCTGCAAAAATATATTTTGACAGGACACCGAAGAAAAAGCCATAAAATAAAAACTTTGAGGACGTCTGACCCCCTTTTTGCAACGAACTAGACGTCTGACGATTTACAAACGTTATCTGTAACCTTCAAACAGATAATGTGCAAAATTTCTATAAATTTTGAGCTTTGAGAAAACAGTTTAGATGCTTCTTAAAATTACAACTTTGCCCGCGTCCCAGAGCCAGCTGTCCCGGAACTGTGAGTGCTGACTGTACACTAGCATTCTAGCACTAAAGTACGACCTATTTTGAAAATATCCGCCTTGCGAAAACTCTTGCATGTTTTTGACGCCAGCTCCCCAACTATTCGGTTTGTGACACGATAGGAATAACATTGTTTTTGCTTTTCGTGATTTAACAGGTGTTTAATTATTTTTTTCTATTTTGGTGTCATATCGAAGTCTTTTCGACACTGAAAGTAGTTTCGAAAAGAAGCTCTTTGTGACACTCCTTTTTTACTTATCGGAGGTTGGTGACACTGGCTAACTGATGGCCATGTAACTGTCATTCGCAATAAAAAATAATAGAAGATTTCTATATTTGGCATGTAGTGTTGCCAACCTAAACATATGAAGTCAGGAAATATGAGAATAAAATTTCCAAGAAAAGTTTTTTTTTTTTATTAAACAATACCAAAATAGAAAAAATAGTATAAAATATTCGTTTCATAAGACATTTTATCGCACTCGCCCTTTAGAAAACTCGCCTCCGGCTCGTTTTCTAATATAGGGCTCGTGCGATAAAATGACGTCTTATGAAACTTGTATTTTAATGTACTATTATGCACTTCAGAGATTAAAAGTACCCTTTTAATGTGACCATTGGTTAATTTAACAACACTGCTTGTTCTACCATTCCACCACGGTGCCTACACCAGCTGAATTTAGCCACACGCGGAATATGGCGTCCAAACAAAAGGTAAATTGCCTTCAAATTGCCAACGGGATATTTTGAGTGTTGCCAATTTTAATAAACAATTAAATGCTAATAATTTTCTTGAAAATGCCACCAGATTTTTTAAATGTGTTTGACAAATAAAAAAAAAATAGTTATTTATGCAACAAGTGTGTAAAGTGAATCTTTTTTCATGAATGTGAATTTTAATGCACGAGCCGCAGGCGAGTGCGACAATCACATGAGTGAAAAAAGGTGCTTTACGCACGTATTGCATACAAATTTTTTTCTACTACCAATCAAATATGTGTAAAAAAAAAGTTTTGACAAATACTTTACGCACTAGTGCGTGAAGAATTTTCACTTTACGCACTAGTGCGTGAAGTAATTTACCAGAAAAATGCCAAATTGACAGTGTCAACAACTGTCATTGACATTACTTTACGCACTAGTGTGTGAAGTGAATTACTTTACGTACTAGTGCGTGAAGTAAAATTTTACGTCTTCTGAATAGTGCGTAAAGTGAGTACTTTACGCACGGTAATAGAAAAAAGATTTTCTAAATTATTTTTCTGGGGTTCCTTGAAGAGTCCTCCACCACATAGTGAAGAGCTTTTACGATATTTTCCGGACACCCTGTATATAGCTATTTTTGAGACCCCCTGGCTGCGTTCAGGAATGGCTACAGCCAAGCCAAAATTGGCTTTTTGCGTTCGAGTTCGGCTCCAACCTACGTTGTTCGGCATTACAAGTGGAGGGGGAAAAGTAGGTTTTGGCATTAGCATTGCCGTCCTTGAACGCACCCCCTATATAATGAAAACATTATATAGGGGGTCTCAAAAATAGCTCCGCTGCTGTCAACTTTGTTTTTTTAAATGTATCAACCTGTATATTATGACATTTATGGATTCTGCGGGAAATTTTTGACGTATTTCATGTACAATGTCATATACCTATCTTCAATTGTTTCGGAAATATTGACAGTTGACAATTGATTTTTTTGCAACTTTGACAGGCTGTAAAACCTGAACGGTTAATTATAGAGGAGAACCGATTTTTCAGAAACTATCATTTCATTTGACACCAACTTTGAATTCACCCAGAGATTAAATTTAACCGGAATTTTTAATCACGAATTAACTTCAAAGTTGGTGTCAAATGAAATGATAGTTTATGAAAATCTAAGATAGGAATGTAAAATCGGTTTTTCTCTAAAATTAACCGTTTTTGCGCTCCTTATTCAGAGCGCTCAGGCCTGTCCCGGCCTCGAGACACAGATCATTTTTTTAGGCCGGCATACACACACGCGTTATTTCGCGCGGTTTATCATGTCATCTGTGAAAAATCATGTGTGTGAGTGAAGAGGCTTGCACGCAATGATAGCAGCAAAGCCATACACGAAACTACAATAACAACAACTTGCTCCTAAATATTCATAATTTATTTGAGGTAAAATTATCAAAAAAAGTGCCATCATTATTACAAAACAATAATCATTTTAATCCTAAAATCGTCTAAGCTTTAAAAATTCTCCTTAAAAGTGGTGCATTAAAAACAATATACAAAAATATATAAATATTCATTTTGTTAACAATTACAATTTTTTTCTTCAGTTAATTATTAACTTGAAGCACGGTAACACGCACATTAACTTAACTTTAACAATAAATACATGTTTTCAAGTTTTCACAATATTTCCTCAACTAGGCTTGCGGAAAGTTACCTAAAATTTTTTTTAGATCGCTAAGGAAATTTTCTAACTGTGACAGACTTTTAGTTTAGACCTACAAGAATGTGCAAATTGAATTAATTGTTGTATTGTTCTGGCAATACGTAAGAAATATCGTCCCACGGATGTCTGTATAAGCCTTGTTTCAATCTCTTTTGATCCATATAGTGTCCAACAAATCCAATAGTCCTACCTAAAAAATTTTAATGCAAATAAATACAAATTAATCAAGTGATTTTGAGATCTTTACCCAAAACAAATAAGGAGTTAATAGCTCCAATATTGATATATTCTTGTGCTTCTTCTTCAGTAAAACTGCCGCAATTTTTCAGCATGTCTACAAAACAGGTAGCAATGCAACCGTCTACGTTGAGAATGAGGTTGGGCTTTTTGCTGGTGGTGATTTTCTCAACTTCAAGGGCATATTTTAGGAGCGGAGTCGCTGGGAAGTTGGCCAGAACGAATTCTTTAAGGATTTGCACTCTTTGGTCAGGGTTGTTGATGGATTTCACTCTATAGAAATAATGAGGTTTTGTTTTCTATATCATTATAAGATTATTTCTTACCTATGTCCAATACCCATAATAAGGTCTCCTTTATTTCTCATGTGATTTACAAACTCAGCCGGATGCATACCTAGAATATGCAAATAAGTAAATATGTAATTATTATATGGAGAAATATATTGCCTTTATCATAAGCCTCACTAAATTGTTTAGCAGAACTGTCTAAAGCACCACCGAACCTGTCGCCGATGGTCAGCAGACCCGACACCAAACTGGATACTAAATCTTTGCCGGCTCTCGCGCACACTATTGTGTTGTGAGCGCCGGAAACAGCCGGTCCGTGATCAGCTGTGACCATCAGACACATTTCAAAGAATTTGCATACGTAGGGGGGCAAACATCTTTGGAACCACAGTAGGGAAATAACGCCACCGATACCCACGTTCTTTTGGAGAACTTCGGAAATTGGCATACCTGACAAACAAATATTTATACAAGATTTGGACATCAACATTTATAAAATTCTTACCAGCATAAATCAATTCTTGTCCTCTCTCATCACAAATTGAAGTCATAAAACTAGCCGGTTTCCTAATAAGTCCCAATTCTCTGGCCCAATTGTAGTCCATAGGCACCGTGGGGGGTGGTACTTCGGGTGTAGGTACAATGACGTTTTGTTTGACTAGTTTTTCGTACAGGGACTTGATAAGATCGCCCAAGGCGTCAAAGGAATCGGGTACGTGAGCTCCGGCTTCTCTGAGGGCTGCGTTTTTAGCAGTGGCAGTTTCTTGAGCCGAGTTAGCAGATGAGCCAGCGTGTCCGAATTGGACTTCGGTTGTAAACATACTGGCGCAGGTGCCTATGCACCATGCGACTAATGGTTTTGTTACGCCGCCTTTTTTGAGTTCGTCGCAAACTTTGTATTCCTCGGTTCCGCCTACTTCTCCTAGAAGGACGATCATTTTAACGTTGTCGTCAGCCTGCAAGTAAAAAATTTTTCGTAAAATTAATTTGGGACATTCTTGGTGTTGCTACAGTTTCAAGTTGATTGTATGGAAAATGTTGGCTTTTCAATAATTGGAGATTTCGTCAAATTTCGGATATTCGACATACGCTATATCTCTAAGGATTTTGATACATTTATTGGGATTTCGGGATTTCAGAAGGAATATGGATGAGATTTCCGGATATCAGATAGGATTTCGCATTCCGAAAATATACAGCGATTTCGAGAGTAAACCGCCCTTCGGAAATCCCGAAATTCCTTGAAAACTGTCGAAACATCCTGCCATTTTCGAAATCGATGAACAAATTGTGGAGAATGAACGGCCCTTTGGAAAGTCTTATTCCCAGCTTTACTGAAGCCAAAAGTTGATCTTGAAAAGCATAAAAATTCTATTCTCGGCGCTTTTAATATCAAAAATTGAACTGAAAAAGTGTATATGTACAGGGTGGCCCATTTTCGATGTTTTAGTGGCTATATCAAAAACCAGCAGAGATATCAAAAATCTGGGAGCACATTCTCGAACTCTTTTTTTGAGAAAATAACAATGGCGAAGACAAGTCACGGCTAACTTGATGCGTTTAGGAAATACAGGGCACTTTTCAAATTTTGTTCAATTATAAAAGACCTTCTAATTTCCTTATTAATCAAGATACCCAAAAACGAAAAATACTTTCTATAGGCAGTTTTTTAAGTAAAATCCAGTGGCATGACCAATTTTTTTCCAGATGTCACCGATTTTGGAATATTGGCCAAAGTTGTGTTTTTTTAAATGGGACACCCCGTTTATTATTTTTTCATTGAATAGCTCTTTGTGAGCTGATTTCAATGGAAAAATAATATATGAGGTGTCCCATCTAAAAAAACAGGACTTTGGTCAATATTCCAAAATCGGTGGCATCTGGAAAAAAATTGGTCATGCCACTGGATTCTACTTGAAAAACTGCCCACAGAAAGTATTTTTCGTTTTAAGATATCTTAAATAATAAGGAAATTGAAAGGTCTTTCAAAATTGGACCAATTTTGAAAAGTGCCCTGTATTTCCTGAATGCATCAAGTTAGCCGTGATTTGTCTTCGCCATTATTATTTTCTTCAAAAAAGAACTCGAGAATGTGCTCCCAGATTTTTGAGATCTCTGCTGGTTTTCGATATAGCCTATTAAAACATCGGTTTGTTTGTGATAATCCTTTGACTGTAATATGACTTGCTTAATCTGAAAAAAATAACAAAGGTTTAAAAAAATAGTGACATGCCATTTTTTTTCTACTTTTACCAAAAAAACCTGTATATTTTTCTATTTTCTGACTACCCTGTACATGCTATTGCAAGTTTCAATAGTTTAATAGTATTTTTTCAAGAAGCAGAATCTTTTATAAAGAATAACTTTTTTTCGTAAAATTGATAATAAAGAAGTTTCCCATATGCTGGACACCCTGTATAACCTTGATTTTTGACCATTCAAGAGGTAAAATTGGGTTAGAGGTGGTCAGGAAGCTTGTTTGACCCTTTCAGATTGAGAAATTGTAGAAATCTCATCTCCAGCTCTACTAGAGCTAAAATTCAACCAAGAAAGGCATAAAAATTCTATTCTCGGCGCATAATTAGGTTGCCGGATAACTTTTATGACATCATTTAGGGTGCCTAAACATAATGCAAATCTCCATTAGGCACCCTAAATGACGTCATCTGTTTCCAAACCTTGTTCTCGGCGCATATAATGCTAAAATTTGAACTAGAAAAGTGTGTATAACTTTGATTTCTGACCATTCAAGAGGTGAAGTTGAGCTAAAGGTGACCAGAAAGCTTATTTGACCCTCTCTGAGCTAAAGTTCAATTAAAACATTGTGCTTTACTGAAGCTGAAATTCAGACTAGTGAAAAATAATATTCCCATTCTCGGCGCTCCTAATACCAAATACTGAACTAAAGAAAACTAAAACTTAAGATTTTTGACCATTCAAGAAGTACACTTGGACAAAAGCTGGTCAAAAAGCTTGTTTGACAGCTAAAATCCAACTGAAACATTCTCTTGATAAAGCCTGAAAATGAAAACCAAGATAATTCTCACCTGATATCTCTTAATGTGATCCATAAACGTCGTTCCGGGATACCTATCGCCACCAATGGCGACACCCTCGTAAACTCCATCAGTAGTATGTGAAATAATATTGTTCAACTCGTTGGACATGCCTCCCGATTTGGAAACGTAGGCAACACTGCCGGGCCTGTACAATTTCGAATGCAGAATGTTGTCCATCATGCCTCCGGTGTTGCCGATTTTGAAACAACCTGGTTTTACACCGCCAACTGTTGCAGGACCAATTATAACAATCTAGAGAAATCAATTAAAAAATATCCTTCACAGACTTATTATTACTTACTCCTTTTTCGTCAGCCAACTTTATTAGTTTTCTAGTCATGTTTTCAGGTATTCCTTCAGCAATGATAGCAATGGTTCTAATTTGAGGAAATTCCATAGTTTCTACAGCACTTTGGTAGGCGGACCGTAAAGAGGCAAACGAAATCAAGACGTCGGCGTCTGGGTGTTTGGTCATGGCGTCGTTCATTTTTTTGTAGACTGGGATAAGGATTTCTTTGTGTCCCCAATAGAATTTCTATACATATTATTAGTACAATAATAATTACATTTTATATTGCATTCTTACCTGTTTATGATCACCAGTAAATGGATAAATAATAGACACAACGCTGGGCTCTTGTCTTCTACAAACAAAGTCGAAATCTAACATCGATTGGACGGCTCTGTTTTGCATACCCCATACAATAGACTTGGTGCTGCTTGAGAATAAGGGGCTGGATTTTGCATCTCCCTATATAATAACATTGATTAGTTGAACAATTTAGAGGGTGATTTGCATGCAAACTAAAGACATTAACCAAATGGAACAAATAATGAAAAGCCTAAAAATTAAAAATAATAATGAAATAGTGAAGTGACTGACCTGAGATGAGGGATGCGCCTCCATCTGGTTTGGTTCCTTGAACAATTATAAAAACACTTAATTTTGCATTTCTTCATAATCAAAACCTGTTAATAACCAATGACAACTTGATCAAGAAATTTTTTTCAGTACCAAAAGGAAATTATTAGAATAGGAAAATTTGAAGAAAATGACCAGATAGAACAAAACAGAAGGAAGAATAATATAAGGTCTGTTTCACTCTGTATACAAATTTCTGATTCCACACACAAATTTTACGGTTAGTGCAAAATCCTAATGGTGAAATGAACGGTTCCCTGTTCGGTTGGAACAAAGCTATAGAAATTTCTTGATCAAATTAGAAACGAAATGTTAGTTTAAGCATTTTTACATCATATAAAACATGTTAACTGCAAACAAAAAAGAAGAGCAAATTACCTTTAAATAGGTATATACAATAATTATTAAGAACGGCAGCAAATTTTAAGTGACAGTTTTCTTTTGAACATAAACCAAACCATAGAGAGAATAAAGTTTGGGAAAGGATCTGAGGGGTACAGTATAGAATTAGATTAGAGATTATGGCTATCCTTATTGTTAGCATGGAAATACTGTTCCTTAACTCTATTTTCACTTGCCATTCTCATTAAGAATAACCATAAGAGACAGAAAAAAATATCAATAATTACACTCACACTAATAAAAAAGCAAAGTGATACTAAAACACAAGCAAGTAAACTAAAAATGGTTAAAATAAAACGCTTACCAACTACCCAGAGGCCCGATATGAAGATTGTGACATAAAAATTTACTCTACTCTAGATTCTAAGACAAGTAGGTACATACCGATTTCCTGGCAGCCGCATGCGCCGCAGCAACTTTGATGGCGTTTGCCCTGGCAGTCGCAGCAACTTCTTCCGGTTTCTTTTTGATGGGTTGTTTATCGCCGGAGGGCAACAAGAAATTCGCCGTGGTGAATTCGACGTTGTTTTCCTGAGGGATCGGCCTCGTGCCCAGCGCCATGCCGCAAATGGCGGTCATGTGAGTTTCCGGACCGAAAACGTACAGAGGGAGACCTGAATTGGAAAAGAATTTAGTTATTATTGACAGGATCATCAGAGTTGAAAGTCAAATGTAATATGGAAAAGGAAACACAAGTGGTAGGAGGATCAATGAATAAGTCTCTTACTATATTAGGGTTTTCTAATTTGTAAATTGAGTGAAAGTATACTAACTACAGGGATTTGAAACTGAAGAGACTTTTGCAACATTTTTTAGGTGGCAATTTGAATGGTAATCTTTGCCAATATCACTATAGCAGCTTTGGAAGAGACATAGTTCGTTTGAATTTGCACAGAGGTCTAAGTATGTCAAAAATCAACCCATAAGGAATGAAAAGGTAACTGATAAAGATCAGTTGAAGCAATATGGGCATTTGTGTGGGGAATACAAGGTCCAAATAGAACAATTTAGAACAGAAAAATTGGAGAGAGAACGGACTATAAACGCTTTAGAAGGAAAAATTTGCTCTTGCTGAAAAGAAACCATTTTCCATAAAAAAAAACCTGGAGAATGTGATGAAAGCAAAGAAGATATATATTTTTATATCGCTTGCAAAATCTGAATTATTTTTTCCTGTTACACATAATGCTGAAGACAAAGAAAATATTTATTTCCAAGAAACATGTTGCTTTAGTCCTCCATATAAATTAGTCAGACCTAGTTTGCCCAGAACACCAGAAACTCCAACTTCACAACAGGAAAAACAACTTATAAAAAAATCTCTAGAAGGTCACTAACTACGAATACCAATATGGTACTGACTTAGATGATTTCAATAAGAGCTTGTGGATAAATTACCTCAGTACCTACTTTTTGAGAGAAAATACATTATTAGATACTAACTTTATGTAACCCAATAAGGATTTGAGAAGTGGCCCAAAAGTTATAACAACGAAACTTATAGAAGGTAAGTATAAATCCTTCGAAATTGTATTATACAGGTCTGGCAAGTCAACATCTTACGGGCCAATTTTGATGCAATAGAATGAGATTTCTAGAAGAAGTCTAAGGTTAAATAGAGAACGAAAACGATTTCCCCTGTTCCACCTCCAGCATTCCCAGCCCTCCATGCTGGAGATGGAACAGAGGAAATCGTAAATAAAGAACGAAAACAATTTCCTCTGTTTCACCTCCAGCAGGGAGGGCTGGGAAGACCTGTATAGTTGAGTTTGAAGTAGGAATATTGAATCATAAGTTCAATAATTAGGTATTTCTTAAACGGTGAAATGTAATTTCAATCGATGTGAATGTTCATTTGGATGGGTCAATTATTGGTTTATTATGAGGTTGAAATCCAACATATTTTCCCCCGTTTTGTGGTTCTTCAGATATTTCCATGTTGAGATTTTCGGTTTAAAATGATCATTTTCAAATTTATTTCTTATTCCTCAATGGAATTTTATCATTCTTACTATGACTCCCAGTGATCATGTTCCAATTTTCTTGGAACGAATCAAGACCCAATGATGGTTCGAATAGATCAAGACCCAGATAATCACATTTTGAACTATAGCCGGCTCTTGATTCGCTGGAAAATTTTCTGTGAGCCAATCAAGAGCCTGTAATAGGTAGTTAAAATTTGAACTATTACTGGATTTCTTAATTCGCTGGAAAAATTTCCTGGAACCAATCGAGAGCCGGTGATGTTCAAAATACGAACTATTTTGGGATCCGGATTCGCTAGACGATTTTTCCAGGGGCAGTCAAAACTCAAAAGCCGCCAATAATCAAATTTTCGACTTCTTATTGTGAATATTGAGCCAAATTGAATCAACATTTTTACTTCCAGCCTCTTCTTTGGAAAATTATCCAATAGATTATGAACCAGATAATTACATTTTGATTGAACTATTACCAGCTCGTGATCCAATCAAGAGCCGATGATAGTTAAAATTTGAACTTTACTATTATAGGCTCTTGATTCGCTGGAAAATTTTCTTTGAAACAATCAAGAGTCTGTTATAGTCAAAATTTAAACTATTACCGGCTTTTGATTCGCTGGGAAAGTTTCCTGGAACCAATCAAGAGCCAATGATAGTCAAAACATGAACTATTATCGGCTCTGGATTCGCTAGAAAATTTTTTGAAGGACAGTTGTCAGGTGCAAAACTGTTCAAACTGAATTAAAATCTTAATTAACAGACTGAAAAAGGGTTCACAATGTCTTGAAAAACTGGCTATTGAAATGGAGCGGGAACTAGAGGCAAAACTACACTGCCAGACAAGCACCATGCAAGGTTAAACGACGAATTGAATAAACACAAAAAGAAACACCTCGCGCTGATCAACTCCGAGCAGGAAATATCTGTAGTCATTCACTGAAAAATCCTACTATTGAAGGGATGACCGGCCGCATAGCATATCTTGGTTTAGTGATGCTCTACGTAAAATGAGGGATCACTTACATGTTCTGAGGGAAGTGTGCAAACGATATAATACCCTGGGAAACAGAAAGCAATATAGAGGTTTCAAAAGGGTTTACAATAGGGCCATTAAACTAACAAAAAAACAAGCTAACGATAACTTAATAGCAACTTCAAAAAGTGTTATCAAGACAATGTGGAACATCATTAACAGTCATAGAGGAAATTTCAATAAATCTGAGTTGCTACCTAGCATAAACCCTGAAAATTTCAATTCTTTTTTCTTGAACATCCCGGATAATATAAAAATAAAATTCCAAAAACACAACGAAATCCCCTTGAGGGGTTAGAAAAGCTAGCTTTCCTAAAGGAAGAATTTTCATTTGGGAAAGTTAGTTATGATTTTGTGAGGGATGTTATAGACCGCTTGAAAAATAAAAAAAGTGGGGATATATATCGTCTCAATGTACAGCTTATCACGAACATAAAAAATATTATCTTGGTACCATTGACAAAGATGATAAACCTATGGTCCCATCTCCTTGTCGCCAATTTTGTTGAAGCTAATTGAAAGGTGCATGGCATGCAGGATTACTGACTTCTTTGAGAGCAACAGCTTATTTACTGATAGCCCGTTTGGGTTCAGAGGGGGAAAAGGCACAGTTCTTGCAGTCCTCAATCTTCTCTCGAACATATTGAGAAACGTGAATACCTCTTAGAACATTTCTATGACCTGAGCAAGGCTTTTGATTTTGTCTCGTATGATGTCCTACTGAAGAAATTAAAGTTCTACAATTTCTCAGAGGGCGCCATATAACTACTGGAATCGTATCTGAGTGAACGCACGCAAATGGTAAGGGTGGGGGGAGTGTCGTCTTCTGAGGGTTTCTTAAGGGTAGGTGTACCACAGGGCTCCGTTTTAGGATCTATTCTTTTCCTCATCTTTATAAATGACCTACCAATGAGTGAACTAGCCAGATACATACTTTTTGCAAATGACACTACTCTCACTGTCTTGGAGTGAAGGTCGCGTGAGGCACGATTTGAGACCGAAAGTTGGTTTAACGCCAACAGGCTTATGCTAAATGGGGATAAAACTCAAACAATGCTGTTTTCAATGCGAGATACTTAGGATTTCACAAATCCACATGAAGTGAAGTTTTTGGGATTATATCTCGATCTAAAACGCACATGGGATGTGCATACAGATAATGTCAGGAAGGACTGTGTATCTCAGGACACAGTTCTGAGTGCTTATTATGGATGGCATGTTTCACTCTGTCATGACATATAGGATTCTAGCATGGGGTGGAGCCCCTTCTGCAGCCTGAATTTTTGGGCTGCAACGTAAGGCTGTTAAAATTTGGGGGGTGTGGGGTTTAGGGATGACTGTAGGCCTGTGTTTGTGGAACTCAACATACCGACTCTTCCATCAGCTTATATTATGGAATGCGTGCTGTATGTCAAAAAGTTTGAACACACATTCTTGACTCATAGTGATATCCACGGCTATAAAACCAGACACTGCAGGAATATTGTGCCATCTCATTGCCAATTGTCAAAGTGCCAGGGTCGCCCGGAGTTTATGGCGGTCAAGCTATTTAATAAATTACCGATTAACCTAACCTAAAGAGACAGTTAAGGAACTAGTATGCTTCAAGGCTTTTTACAGTAAACAGGAGTTCCTCCAACACTAGTCATTTTGTTTGAAATGTGTTGTATGTGTATTGTATATGTCTCAATTTAAAACTGTTTATAAGTATCTGAATTTTAGACTATCTATATGAATTTCAATCTGTATTTGTTTATTCCCTTGTTTTCTGTTTCAATTTGATAGATGAACAAAATGGCTAGTTCAGCTACTGACCTATGCTATAGCCTAAAGATTATTATTTTATTATATTGTTGACTTGTGTAAATGCGTTGTGTATATTTACATCAATAAATTACTTTACTTCACTTTACTTAACTTTACTTTACCTTCTGAAATTCTTAAGGGAAATAAGTACCCTACTAGGTTTGATTCCAACTTGCGAAAGTTAATAGCAAAGAAAAACAAAGCATACAAAAAATATAAGAATAACAGAAATCAGCAAAACTATGAATATTTTCCGTTTCTACACAGAGAGCGCAAGCTTCAGATTGATCTGGGAATTTCGTGACAAAATACACAGTACTCCTGGTGCGACTGCCGATGCTTTTGCTGATCATGTTTTGCAGACCATTCAAACCTTGATAATAGGGATGCCAATGCCTAAGGGGTTGAATTTATCACTAACTTAAGCAACCATATCTTTACCGCAAGCGAGATCATCAGAAAGATTCAAAGTATTGATGCCAACAAAAAAGCTGGTTTTGATGGATGTTTTCCTCAAAATATGTTGTCGGCTTAGTTGTCAGTCTCTTGCAACACCACCATATTTTTCAACTTTCTTCCAACACTGGCACTTTTCCTACTCTTTGGAAACAATCATCACTTATACCTATTTTCAAGTCTGGCGATAGATTTGACATTACTAATTACAGAGGCATATCAATTATTTCTGCACTCCCTAAATTATTTGAGTCCATCATTACCAAAAAACTTTTCAATACTTTTAGAAAAAAAATAGTCAAGCAACAACATGGTTCTTATAAGGGAAGATCAACAGTAACAAACCACACTGTCATTCATGACTTTGTGGTAAAAGCAGTCGAGAATAAACAGCAAGTTGACGTGATCTACAAGGACTTTAGTAGAGCCTTTGAAAGTGTGTGTCATTCCTTGCTGCTCAAGAAAATAGGAATCTTCAGTGTCTATCTCTCTTGTCTTAGGTCGTACTTAGGTGGTCATCATAGGTGGTAGTACTTTAAAGAAAATGATGGTACTCTCGGGAATACCCCAAGCAAGGGTCCTCTTTGACCCAGTTTACTTTTTATTAGACATTAAAAACTGTTCCTTCCAAATTTTCTCATTTTCTTCTATATGCTGACGACTTGAAATTCTATAACAAATTGTGGATAGTTCGTTCGATTTACAATGAGATCTGAACAGGGTAGTTTCTTGGTGCAATGACAATTTGTTAAATGATTTTTTAAGATTATCAATTCTCATTTGCACCAGTATACTGTAGTTGTAGGTATTGTTTGTCGATTTTCAACTGATACTTTCCGTATGAGGAGCGAGGGGGTGAAATATATGGCAAAAACAGGTGTGACGTCAGGTGACCATTGGAGTTCTAATGTAGGGTGCCACCAGCTCACATTTCTGTTGAGTATCAGATTAAAATCGACGTATTTACTTTACTGTAGGTTTTTTTTTAAAGAGAAGGAGTGAATTTCATTGGTTGAAGCTAGTTTCCTGACTGTTTCCCACCAATGAAATTCGCTCTGACTGGTTTGTGATTTCTGTGCGAACAGACCTTAAATCAACTTGTGATATCTTTAATTTGACACATCATTCAGTGCAATAAGCTGCCCTGCCGCCTTTTCCGGGAAGTTCTCACGAGGCAAGATCGTTTCAGATAGAGGGCATCGAGACCTTTAATCTGATACCCTACTTAGAGTATAACTCGATGGGGGTTGTGTTAAGTTTTTCTCAATTTGTTAATAATTTGTTGAAAGATATTTCCGGCAACATTTGCTCTCAGGCAGGAATACCGGTTAATAGATGCACATAATACTATATATTGATAATAGTGTCGACACATAACTCGATCGGGGTAGAAAAAACGCGGTTGTCTCCCAGAAAATGTTGGAATTGGAAAATAATTGCTCATCAATCCAACACTAAAACCACATTTTTTCCTGTATTGCATAATATCTGAAATTTATGTAAAAATGTTTAAAAACTTTCACTGAATCAATATTTTATTGAAATTAGAACCTAATTCAATAGGTGAATTTTTGAATTTTAAATTTTAGTATGATGTAGTAATTTGCCTATTGGTTTTTTTTTTTTTCAATGTTTGTACGATTTTTTTCTTTTGGATTTTAATTTGAAAATTACTACTCACCAAGTGTCTGTCCTACTTCGCGCATCCTCCTCAAACCCTCTTGATAATTTGGCCCTGCCCTTCTCACGAAAATCTTAATATTATGTTCAATCATTCTGTCCTTGAATTCTACAAAGGCTGTAATAATACCCCTAAAAGTGCGTGTAATAATGTTAGTTGAGATTATTTTTTTTTATGAGGCTAAATTTACCTGAAAGTTGATGCAACATTTGTAAAGTTTGCAATACCACCTCCAATAATCAAAACTTTGCCCTGAGGATGTTTATCGTGCGTCATCAAAGAAAAAATCGTTTTGGCGTATTCGTAGGTTTGTTGTTCTGAGGGTGCTCCGGAGTATTCTCCGTAGTTTGCCAGTTCGGATGTACCACCGAGATCGCAAATAGTGTCACTAAAAATCAGCAAGATAATAGGAATACATATTACGAACATCTTCAAATTTACCTGTAAATAACTGAAGCACCACCACCTGCAACCATAGTCCAAATTCTACCATTCCTATTTAAAATTGTTAGTTTCAAAGAAGCTCCAGACTTAGAATCTAGATCAGCAATGTAAGCTTCCTCTGCAAATCAATCATTTTAAACAATTTGTTGTAAGAGATAATTTGAGTTAAATTACCAGGGTAAGCATCTCTACCAAAAGGCGTCGGATAATCGATCTCGCCCCATTTGGGTTTGCAAATAAAATCGGCGGTTGCGTCAAGTTTCGCTGCCAAATCCAAAATGTAGATTTCCTTGTCGGTGACGACCAGCGGGTTGATTTCCAAATAGGTGAAGTATAAGTCGACATATAACTTGTACAAGTTGAATATGAATTTGGAGATGACGTCTTTTTTGTTAGGAGACACTTGGGCGAGCAAAACTTTGGCGATGTCGGATTCTTTGAGGTCTTCGCCTACCGGAACGTCTAGTTTGACTGCTTTACTGTCGACGTCACCAATATCTACTCCACCTGAAATTATTGAGAATTTTTTAAAGTTTCTTCTATTACCTACTATCTACACCTTATTCCACTCTATACAGGGTGTTACAAATCCATGAGTAAGTATTTTTTTTGTGACAACGTTGAGAAAAGGTGGCCCAAAGACAAAACGTCGCATTTCAAATTTGATAATGCCATATTGTATTCAAAATGAAAATTCTTACCTTGATGATAAAACAAAATAGTATCGGCATGTCTATGAGAATAAATGCACACGTAAGTCTCTTCTTCTTCCTTGTGTGGCACAAATGGTTCGATGATGAAGTTGCGCAACTTTCCGCTGGCCTGTCCAATTTTCTGGTCCTTGTTCATACGATCGCCCACCCATTTTTGGACTTCGTCGAGGTTCTTGTTCACAGCGATGAGGCCTACAAACGACGTTTATAGATGATTGAAACCAAAAATTCAATAAATCATTTAACAATACACGCTTTGCACGTTTCAAATACGCATTTTTAATGATTTCTCATTAATTAATAATGAACACATTCCAATAGTCATTTTATTACGTGACTTTTCGAAAATGTGATGTGAGGAAATAATTTCTTTGATTTTTGTCAAGTTTGAATATTATACCTAGTGGTTTTAAATTATTACCCTGTACAAAATACGCATTTGAAATTCGTAAAAACCCACATTGTAATTAATTAACGACAAACATCTTTATCGGCAACCGTAATTAAATAGGTACAAAGTATTATTTGCCAGTAAATATTGTCTTAGTTCAATAATTAACAATTTGTATGCCTACTGTAAAAAGTTTCAAATTCCAGTAGCGTGTTTTCCTTTACAAATTCATAATTTGTTCAAACATTTTAATGCCATTGCATTAATTATCAATTTTCAATTTTTAATACCTACATTGACATTAAAATTCCGGTTTATTGACATTAAATCTCATATAATCCAAATCTTAATGCAAAAAATACTCACAAACCAAAATTCTAATGTCACAGTGGGATTAAAACTTTAAGTCAAAATCAACAACTTTGAATTATTTATCTACTGATTACACCTTCTTATCAATCAAAACAAGATTTATTAGTGTATCTACCTAATTTTCCTCGTCTCTTGATCAACTGGTCGGGTTTGACGACCAATTTTTCGGTTTTCAACCACGGATTGTTGGCAACCAATTCGGAAAATTTGGTGTCGGGATCCACGCTGGCGAAACGGCATTGGGCGGCTTTTGTATCGCCCGACAAGTATTTGTTGATCAGATCTTTTCCTGTCGCTTCTCGGATGGCTTTTGCCGACATTGTGAATCAGAAGAAGATACCTGGAAGAAGATAAAAACAATTCAAATATCAAAATATTCATGCAATCATTATGTTTTAAACAAATAAATCTAAGAGCAAATACACACAAGTGTATAGGTATTATTTATAAATGTTGTATAATCATGTCAATCATGGATTGTTTCTTGGGTTCAGATTACGAAAATTGGAAGAATTATTTTCACTTTCATAATGAAGATTTATTTATTCGACTACGTTCAATATGTGAAAAACAAACTGCGCCTGTAAAAGATCAAATCGATAATTTCAATGAAGAAATATATGAAACTTTGGCAAGGTTATTTGTCGGATAAATGTTATTTAATCAATTTGTTTTGATTGGTGTAATTCAATTTCTTTATGTTGACATTGGTCAATAAGTCTCTTGTTTTTATTACACTTTGGTAAACTTCAGGATTCCATTTATTGATACAGTTATGATCATGCATAAGGCAGGAATATAATTCTTAGATAATCGTCATCAATGGAAGAAATTCCACTATCTTCCATATTGTACACATTTAACTCCCTTTTTGGATAGTTTTTGTGTATAGTTTCTATAGTTTTATTTTATATTTGTTGTAATTTATATAAGGACAAAATTTGTCATTATCTTTATTCTTTTATTTAGATTTGTATTTTCATAGACCTTCTCTAGCTTTATCCGTGAAGTGGGCTTGAATTAATTACATGGGAAATAGAAAATATTTTAATTGGGTATGGGTAGGTATTATAGGTCTGCTATCACAGAAATCACAAACCAGTCAGAGCGTTTTTGATTGGTCTAAATCGCCAACAACCAGTTTTGTGACTATTTCCAACCAATGAAATTCGCTCTGACTAGTTTGTGATTTCTGTGAGAAGAGACCTTATATCAATTTTTCCAAAAGATCTTCTGCCATTTTCAAATTTAGTATAGGTAGATCGTCCACACCAAAGTCGGCTTTATCGATCGGTAGCTGACTTCTTTCAACAGTTATGGACGTACCAGATAAGCTGTCAGTGTATACGCGGCTTTAGAAATATAAATGAGGTCGCTTATTGAAAAATTAAACCAACGAAAGCTACATTTTGAATGTATGCATATTGAATCATAATTTATCTACCCTGTCTTAATATTACTTTCCTTACGAGCATGCGGTAAAATACACTTTGCCGCACTTATTTGCAAGTGGAAAGTAGCACTTTACCGCACAGTATGTGGTAAAGTAGACTGCAAAGTGTGCGGTAAAGTGATATTTATAATCAAAAATCCCTCCTCTTTCAGAACTTTCAATAAGGCATTTTTTTGGAGATGTAATGCCTGGCCAACGAATCTGAAACTATGGGGCATGCAGTTTTAAAAAAAAACGGTTGATTTCTTTCATGAAATACCCAACTGCGTGCGGAATTTTTTGAAAGCAATTCGCACACATGAAAATCGACAATAACCACCAAAGGACCCGCCACTGGATATTTCAAGATGGGAGGATAAAATTATGGGAGTCCTGGTCAACAGCGAGAGGGTTTTTTTATTATTGATATTTTGTTACTGAAACATGGATTTTCATTTTCAAATTAACTATATTTCATTTCTCTCGTAGCTTCAGATCCAGTGGCCAGACTATAGCTAGAACCATTCATGCACGCAGCTGGGTATTTTATGAATGAAATCAGACATCTTCTCTTATAACTATATGCCCCGTCGTAGCTTCAGATCACCTGACCAAACAATAAGTAGACTTTTGTGCCTAACACATGCGGAAAGTGCCTTTACTACCCTTAACGGCTGCCGATGCGTGCGGTAAAGTGTCACTTTTCGCATTTTTTAGGTAAACTATTTAAGTTTCCAGGGTCAAACAATGAAATTGGCGCCAAGGATTTCATTTACCTTCAGGCAACCATGACGTAGGTTGTCTAATAATGGGTAACTTGATGACGTATCTGGGGTACCTTATTATGGAGATTTCCAATATGCTGAGGCACCCCAGATGATGTCATATAGTTTTCAGGCAACCTGATAAAATTGTTCTCTGTGTAATTTGTGGAGTATTTGAGGAGATTTTCTATTGCTTGAGAAGGATAATTCTCGTATTTTAGTAGTGTATAAACAGAAAACAGTCACACGTCACAGGATGTTGGACCGTTGTCCTCATATTGAATTTATGTTTTGAAAGGTCGTTGAATTGCAAGGATATTACACACTACTACTACTACTAATTACTCGTCGGCCTGTGGTGTAAACACTCTACGTCAAAGCGGAAAACGACACGCTAACTACGCCATCAATGCTACTTTGGCATGGTGGGGGCTTGAGTTTTCACTCACTGGTTGTATTGTCCTATTATAGAGCCGTTTGATGCAAGGATAATACAAACTACTATTACAGGATAGCCTATCCTCATAAGGCCTGTTTAGAACAAATCTGAAACCCCTCACCACGCCAAATCACCAGTTGTGACGTAGGCAGCATGTCGTTTCTTGCCTTGACGTAGGCTGTTTGCACCACAGGTTATGATTCCATTTTTGCTTTATGCATACTCGGTTTTACTACATTAGTTAACATTCTGAAACAACTTTTTTTCAGATCTCGTTTGCATCTATTTGCCTATTATGTTAATCAAATAATATTTTTTATCATAAATTTAAATTATAAACTACGACCGCTAGCGCAAACAGCTTACGTCGCTGACGACTTAGTTAATGACGTCCGCAATGGTGATACACCAATATGACAGCGATTACCAAAAACGAGGCCGATGGAGCAATCCTTGGTAGTGTGTATTATTCTTGCATTTGACATTCTCTTAATTCAATATGGCGTCGTGGGAATTACAAGGCGAGTTCAATTAATCCTCTGCGAGTTAAAAGATGATGACACTGTTGACAGAAGCTCACGTGATCTTTCATTTGAAGTAATAGAACTGATCACGTGGGGCCAGTCATTAAGGGTTAACCGAACTCGCCTACACACCTGACAACCGTTAAGGCACGTTTACATTCAATATTAATTCAAATAGCAATCAATTAAAATAAAATGTAAACCTTCACGGTCGTCAAGTTTGTCATGTCCACGTCGCCATTTTGAATTATGAGCTGACTCGAATCAAGGATAATACACACTACTACTACTACTACATGATAAGGATAGTTTATCCTCATAAGGCCTGTGTAGATCAAACCTTAAGCCCCCCCACCACAAGAAACCAGTAATGACTTAGGCAGCGTGTCGTTTCGTTTCTCGCCATATGACCTTGATACCAAAAATCGACGCCGATGAGCAATTCTGTAGACGTGTGTAATATCAGTGCCTTATTATTATTGGAATATTTGCGACTTGAACATAAACATAACCTAAAAACTAATTAGGCAATCCAAACCACGTGACTTTCAAGATGGCGTGGCGGCCACACAAAGCCAAAACACCCAAAAAAATATCTAGTTTCTGCCAGATTTCAGAGTTTACGTACCTAGTCAACAAATATTTTATTAAATATTCAAAATTAAAGTAACAAGCAAAACTCGAAACAAAATAATTAAAATACGCATAAAAACACATATTCAAAACAAGCTTGTTTGGCCGCCACGCCATATTGAATTTTTGTTTTGACAGATGGATTGGATTGGGCAATAGGCAATAGACTTATCTATTTTATCAGACAAAGAGATGATACGAAAACTTCATTAGATAAAAAAGACGCAGAATGCTTATTGCGCAAGACCAAGGTCCCTGAATTTAATAGATTGTCTGGTAATGGGTAAGGTAGAGGCACCCCAAATGACGTCATAAAGTTATCAGGCAACCTACCTCTCTCAAACAACTTTGAGACTTACACAAACAATTTCTGAAGGTTTCATAACTATGATGCGTTCTTGAAAATTGATCACTTTTGTCAAACTACGTTGTCAACTTGTTGAATATTGACCCTATTTTGATCCTTGTCAGACTACGGGCAATGAATAAAGACAAGGAGATGCCCAGCGTGCAAAAGGAACGCCTCACACCTGTACTAGTTAGCCAAAAAAAAAGGCATAAGTAAAAATAGATAGGTCTATTGATCGGTCTATCCGTCTATGGTCTATCCATTAAGGCCGGATTTTCATGCATCCGTTTTCCGACGAAATATGTCCGAAAAATCTTCTATTTTGACATATTTTTATACGATTATGTCAGAATAGAATGTTTTTCGGACATCTTTCGTCGGACAAACGGATGCGTGAAAATCCACCCTAAGGGTCTATCAGGTTTGGCAGTCCAACGACCTGTCAAAACCTAAATTCAATATGGCATCAACGGTCAAACATATGTGTGTTTGTTATTTCCACTGTTCCCACTGGTTATTCCTCGGTGCCAATATGGCATGTAATATTGACATTTGAGTTGAAGAGAGCGCTTCTGTTCTTGGAGCTCTTTAAATTTTGGCGCGTGAGTAATCGAATGTTATTTTAACCTCAAAAGTCAAGTTTGATATGTGGTTTCAACACAAGCTGACGCTGACACTTATATATTCTCAATGAACTATAACCAAAAACTGGAATGCGAACACATAAGGACGAACCTGAGGCCTAGTGCGGCTGCTGCGGAGGGGATACCTGTTTTTGTCGCACTCATTATGTTAAATGGCGAAAATTGCTTCCAACACGTATTCCAATTGATGAAACCTGTGAAGGTAAAGGGTAAATATGACAAAACTTTCCAAAACGTCATATGTCAGCGAGCAACAGAAAAAAGCAACATTCCCCTTTGTGGCATCTGTCTTTCATGGCTACATTTTTTTGGCAGATATGGCAATGTGTGCGCATTCCAGTTTTTGACTATAGTTCATTGTATATTCTTTAAGGGGCACTGAACGTTTTGGAAGATATTTCAACTTATTCATTGTTTATTGTTCATATGTAGTAATATTTCCTCCTACTTATTAAAACGATTTAAAACTATTGACATTTACCGCCAAAATTCAAAGCACTCCAAGTTCACTCGCACCCTCTACAAAATTTTGGGGAACTTAACTGGATATTTGCTGCCATCGTTTGACCGTGACATATATGGGATTGGATTGCCATATAAAAACCAAGTAGGCCTTGTAATTTTTTTTTTAATTTTTGACATTTAGAGCAGTTGGTACTATTGACAGTACACAATATGGCGCCAAACAAAATGTTTTGATTATATTTTCTAAATTTGCGTTTTTTAAGTGATTTAAATGCGGAAAAGTGTCAATTAAAGGACCTGTCAGTTACCCTTGTGAAGGTACCTAAGAGCGTTTTTTTGAATTTTCATCAAAAATCCCCAAATAGTCCGTAAACCCCCCCCCCCCCCCCTTAAACTTTTGAAATTGCTTTTTTAAGACCTGCAATAATTAATATTTGATTATTTATTGCTAATTTCGATCTCTATTATTATAAATTATCCATAAATGTAGCAATAATAATAAACAATAGGACAATCCAGCGATTTGATTAAATATGGAAGCAACGGTTTCGACCGTCAATTTCATTGTTTGACCGTGGCCGCCATATGGATTGGATTACTATACAAAATTCAAGTAGGCCTTGTATTTTTTTTCAATTTTTGACATTTAAAGCAGTTGGTACTATTGACAGTGACAGTACACAATATGGCGTCGAAAAAAATGTTTTGTTTATATTTTCTAGTTGCTGGCAAAATTGGTTTTTTGGCCCGATTTAAATGCTGAAAAATGACAAGTAAAGTGCCTGGCAGTTGGCCTTGTAAAGGTGAGAACGATTTTTTGTTTTTTCATCAAAAATTTCCAAGTAATCCGTATAAATCGCCTCAAACCTTTGAAATTGGTTTTTTAAAGCTTGTATCAATTATTAATTGGTAATTTCGATCTGTATCATTATAGATTATCGATAAATCTAGCAATAAACAATAGAAGAGTCCAGCGATTTGATTAAATATGGCGGCAACGGTCAAACATCTGTGTATTTGTACCATGGCCGTCATAAGGATTGGATTGTCCTATTAGGAATACAATTCTTTCAGTGTGTTATATTTACACGTCTCTCTCTATCTCATAAGGATAAAGCAAGAGAAACATAACACTCCAAACGGCCTACTTGAATATTATTATATGAAGTGAACTTAACCAAGCAAATGAAAACGAGAGAGAAAGGTGTCGTTTCGTCGAATAACAAATAATTTGTATTATAGGGAATCATTGTTGCCAAAACTACAGAAAAATCCTCAGAAAAATCTATAAAACACAGAACCGTATAATGAGGGGTAATTTCAGAAAATTATACTTATTTGATAATGGATTTATCTCTGCTATAATTTAACTGACCTCTTTTCTCTCTTACCAAAGCAACTAACAAGTAGACACCCTCTTAGGCCTGGTCAATTTACCTTCTGATAAACTGTCAAGTAATGCAGTCTGATAGATTAGCATGCAATCTATAATCCCATTGGCCAGCCAGTAATTCTCTGACCAACAGGATTACAGATTGGTACATTTATCTTGCAAACAGTTACCAGTAAGTTTATCTGAAGATGAAAAAACGGAGTGAAAAGTGGTGACCAGACTTTTTAATAGTGAAATCACTAGAAATAATTAAAAATTAAAACTCACAAAATCCACGAATGAATAGAAAACATATTAATAAAAAACCAAAATAAGAATTTATCATATTAATACAGAAACAAATTATTATACAAGCGATGTGGAAGGTGTGCTTTATTCTTACAGAAAAATTCCATGCAGGAAAGTTGTTTTCTCACCGACCTTGCTGGCTTTTGCAGTGCAGTCAATTAAAGTAAAATTATGCATTTGAAAACACGTACACGGGTTGATTCAATAATAAAAGCACCATCTATTGCGTTTGAAAGCTAATTATTACATACAAATAATTATTTTCCATCAAGTACAGTGGTACACCATACTAAAACATTGTTGACTTGTTTGTTTATGAGACTTTTGAAATTTGGTAAGATTTTGTATCATACCAAAAGGAATAGTTGGCATTTTGTGATTGTCTTTGCTCCTATTCTCTATTATTTAGTATTTCCTCTATGAATATTCCTTGTCTTGCTTTTTTCTTCATCTTTTTCTCTTCTCGTTTACTTATCTGGCTTCTAGTGGGATCAGGTGTTCTACATTTGGTTTATTTAAAAATTTTCTTCCCTTTTTTTTGCAATTAATTTTTGATAGGTGATTAGTACCATTCGTCTCAACATTGTGTCCAATTGGTTTCAAAATCCGTACAGGTTTAGGGGTTCAAAATATGAAAAAATCAGCTTCGCTTCAAATTCACACACAAAAACACCCTGTTCAACATTAATCGATGTACTAAAATGTCTAATAAACAACTTTACTTGAACTTGACTCCATAAAGCAATGACATTGGTAACTGAGAAGGTCGCAAATTTAGAGAACATGTAATGTAATTGTTAAACAAAAATTTAGCTGATAAATGGATTCATTTTTACTAGGAAAACATCCAGATTCAGCTAGCAAAACAAATACAGAGTAATAGTAAAGAATGGAAAATTTTTCTATGCCAGAGGTTTGATGTTATGCGAGTTAAGGTCATCAAACACTAGTTTCTTAAACTCAGCCACTATGAAACAATAAATAACTGCAATAACTCATCACTGCTTTCTATTGCTTTTATATATGTCAAAATATTCCTTCAACTTACAATAATTATTTACAATCCAAAATCCCAACTATTCAGTGACACATAAGCCACTTTCACTTAAAATATCACAGAATGAAGAAACCAAAATTTCAAGTTCGGAAAAGAAATGCGCGAAAGTTTAAAGACCCAACCGGTCTCCGTTCGTTAACAGCGACAGCTTTCACTCGACTGACTCGGTACTCTCTAGTCGGAGGCATATTATTGGCCGATAAAACGACCCGTACTACATACGTGTTATGATGCTGACGATAGCGTGGTTTGATAAAAAGCGGCGCTCGTTAAATGGTTAATTTTTTTTTTTCGGTTTGCCAATAATAATTTAAGTATGTAGGTATGTTGAAATTTTCAATTTTTGCTTGAGTAACGAAAATGGGAAATTTGTTACAATAATTGTATTTTGAAGTACCTTATAGTTACATAATTAGCATGCAATTTTTTTTAATCATCTTAGGGAAGTTTCACTTCCACACTCAGTGCAAGAAAGTTTTCGAAAAGTTTCATTTACAAGCAATTTCAAATGATAGATGTTGCTCAAGCAAAATAATGTGACATAAAACCTAAAAGATTTTAAAATTTGATTCAACTATCATGAATTCTGGAGAAGTTCAAAGAACCTTAGACTGGAAATAATAGAGTTTTAAGCAAATTTCTTAGCAAAATTCATGAGATTGCATGTTTTCCCCTTTGGGTTTTCATGTTCTTAAACTTTTTCTTCAATTATTGTCATGAAACATGTGCCATGAATGACTAAAAACCTGTTGAATAATCACAGTACAGTCAAAATTGCATCAACCTGGCTAAAAATATATTGAACAAATTGAAACAAGTCTTTATCTAACTCTAAAATGCACCAAATCATGTGATCAAGTCTAATGTTAATATTAAACTGATAAGACCCATATTGAAACAATAATTTGGTAATCAAACAAAAACACAATGTTTATAATATCATTGCAATGAACCATTTGACATTGGATCGGGCGCCCTAACAAAATCTGAAAGAGAAAATTCATTCATCGTGATAAAATATATGTTGTGCGGTCATTAGGGAATTATGTAACGTGACACGACTTTCAAACAACCTCTTCGCGTGACTTTACGGACGAAATGTAGGCACGATTAGGAAATAGTTCAATAATGGATTAATTAGAGAAGAAATTATTGGAAAAGGTTGAAATGGAATCAACCTGAAAGGCTAGATAGGTATGAACATTTTGTGTGTAATTTTTATAACTTTTTTGGTAAAAATTTGCTTAATATAAACCAGGCACATAATTATTGCTGCTTTCACTATTTCAACTATATTTATGGTATGAAGAATTATTAACCAATATTAATTATTGGTCATTAATATAGATGAAGATTATTTAGACTAGATTTTCAATTAGAATGAAACTGTGTGTAGGTACTGTTATTGCTAAACTTAAACTTTGATCAATGTGCGACTTTTATTTTAGTAGTACATAATTGGATATGTCGGTAAATTCTAACAAAATGGGTACTACTTTCCATTTATAATGGTTAGGTATTTGGGTACGTCAATTTGCCTCGTTTTGTTGAAATCAAATATCAAGGTCCTTTCGATGAAATTATGTCAACTATTTTTTGAAATTTGAATATTAAAATTACATTGGTAGGTATTTGGAATACCGAAAAATGTCTAGTTGAAGTGAAGGTAAAGCTTGACCCTTGACATATATTCATACACATTTTATAATAGTGATCTTTATAAAATTAATAATAAAAAATTAAGTCCATATGTGAGTTCATTCATAAAACATTTTATTTTGAGAATAATACGTGTAGGGTACTAATATTACACAATAAGTTAAGTGTATGAAAATGTATTCTAAAATTCGTTGGAGCATTTGTAGGGGTCAAAGATTTTCGCTATTTTAGTTTTAAATAAATAACTGAAAGCCAAATTGGCTTTAATGAGTCGAAATCTACATAAATTCTTGAAAGAAAAATTAAGTTTAGGTTTTATTTTTCCGATATTCCTTAATTTTTCCCACAAAAATAAGTAAGCGAAATTGTGTAAAATATAACAAATCAGTATGATGATGAAAGAATTTAATGTGGTTAACTTTGAAGGAAAAGCATCAAGTTTGCACTGAGGGAGTAGTCACTATAAGAATCTTCTGTCCTACAGGATGGAGATTCATGATGATCTCTGGAAGTTCATGGATATCCGTGGAGATACATGGATGTCCAATGGAGATACATAGAGCTTCGGTAGAAATATGTGGAGATCCAAGAATTTGGGCTGCAGTTGTGTAGAATCGAAAAATGCGCAAGTTATTGGTGAATGGTGCGCAATCATTTTATAACTGGTACGGTACTTATTAATGTATATGAAAGTCTGGAGGAGACATAGACATACAGATTCACATGAAAATCCAAATTATTACTATTATTATTATAAGTTGGAGCAGCAGTAAGTGGCAACGCCTATTAGACTACTGCTGCATTGTTATATCCGTGTTTCCACTGTAATGAGTCACATGTAAATTTAATGCACAAAATTCAGTCTGGCTCTCTCCAGATCCCGGTCAAGTCTGTTTTTGAATGCGTTCTTTGAAGGAGCACTGACTGTGCTTTCCTGAAGAGCGTTCCATTGATAGATAACCCTATTCGTCAGAAAATTCTTTTTAATCAGCTTCGAGCATCTCTCCTTATCCAGCTTCTTAGTATGTCCTCAGAGTTTCTGGTTAGTATTTAGACTGAAAATGTCCAGTTGCAAATCTGGAGAATAATGGTGATTTAAGATTTTGTAGGTCTCAATCAAGTCTTCTCTCTCTCTCTCTTTTAGATTTTAGGGTTGTTATGTCGTATCTCAGTAGTCTTTCTTCATATGAGAGATTTCTGATTTCAGGGGGAAGTTTTGTCCCTCTACGCTGGACTCTTTCCAAGATCTCAATGTTCTTAACTAGGTATGAGCACCAAAACCAAATGTGCGAATTCCAATTTAGGTCTGATGTTTTATATATTTTGCTAATCATGGGGATGGATCTGTCAGTAAAAGCTTTCTGTATTAGGTTATACAAAAGAGTTTGTCCTTTTTACAACTGAAGAAATATGGGCTTTCTATTTTAGGTGATTTAAGATAGTGACACCTAGCTCTTTCTGCTTAGTGACAGCCTTCACGGTAGTGCCGTTTAAGCTGTAAGGTATGTTTGGATCATTAGGGCCAATATGCAGTACAATGTACTTGTCGGAGTTGAGTGTTAGCTGCCATTTGCTGATCAATTTCTCAAGTGCTTTCAGGTCGTCTAAAAGGTTGTGATGGTCCAAGCACGAATTGCAGTATATTTTTGTGTCATCAGCATGAAAAAATATGTTTGTCTTTATAAAAGAATGAAGATTGCTGTACAGCAGTGGCCCCAACACCGATCCCTATGGCACCCCACTAAGGACCTTGTATTTATCAGAGTAATGCTCATTTGCTCTCACTTGAAAGGTTAGGTTTTGTAGCCTGCCTATCAATCCAAGGAGTTCATCCCTGTTTTCAAAGTGTTGCAGTTTAAATAATAAGCTCTTGAATGCCACTTTGTCAAATGCTCATAGTTTAGGTATACGTACATCCATTGGATGGCCACTGTCCATTTCTTTCGTCCATGAGTTTATGCAGGTGAGTAGGCTGGTTGTGGTAGATCGTTGGGGGAGAAATCTGTGTTGTGTGGGTGGGATGGTCCTGTTTTCAACAAGGAAAGATGTCATTTCCTGAACTAATATTTTTTCCATGATCTTGCAGAAGTTACAGGTAAAGCCAATTGGTCTGTAATTTCCAGGGTTGAGCTTGTCTCCTTTTTTGTAGATTAACACTACATATGCTCAAGACCACCCCTGTGGCACAGTTTGCTGAGTGACTGCAATGACTGCAAAAGGCCAGTTATCACTGGAACCAAGGTCCTTTGGCAATTTATCAAAAATATTGCCAGTATTTCATGAGGGCCTGGACTAGATTCTCTTTTCAGAGTAGAAATTGCTTGAATAACTTTTTCCTCAGTGACTAGTATTCTGCAATAGCGATGGAAAATTTACTAGGTTTTCTCTGATGTATACCTTCACAAAGTGATCCGCGAAAGTGTTAGCTGTCTTCTGAGGATCAGAGATAATCACTTTTGTGACTGGTTCTCTGAGCACAAGAGACCAAAATGATCTCCATGAAGATCGAAGGATATTTCAGGAGATACAAGGGTATTCCTGGAGATCTAAGGATATCCATGGAGATCGATGCAGTTCCAAGAAGACATTTCTACAAATGGAGATTTTCTGTTTTAAAAAATCGCACGTGACTACTCCCTTCGTTTCCACCTGTTCAAAAAAAAGCTCCAGTTTTTCAAAGGAAGGTGTGCAATTTGTCCAAAATAATGAAATATTTTTAGATAAAATAAGAGCAGCATGGGATGGGAACAAACTTTCCTAACCCTTAATTTGGATATTTCTTCAATAAGGATACTGATACTACAGGGTAGGTACTTAGGGCCCAGTTACAGTATATTTGCATCTGCAAATTTGCAGTTCTGCAAATATGGCCGACTTGCATATGTGCTCTAGTTGCAGGAACAAGCAAATTACAGAAAAAATCTACCTACAATTCCATCATATTTATCGAAAACAAGTGTTTGGGCGCTACTGATTCACCAGTTTTAAATGTCAAAGTGATTACAAGGACTTACAGGACCGCAAATTTGCAGGCGACTTGCAAATGCATTCTGTTTCTGTAATACGAAAAGTCAGACTTGCAGGTCATGCATTTGTATCTTGGTGGTGCAGAGCTTCTATAATTCCAGGCTTATGGCGTTTCCGATTGGTAGATCTAGTGCGGAACTAGTGCAGTTTTTTATATTTCTGTCTTTTTCTTCTACAGGTCGGTTAAAGGGATGCAAATACACTCAGTGCGCACTGAATCTACCAATCAGAAACGCCATTAGTCTTGAAACGCAGGAATCAGTGTTTTAATGAGAATAGTTGCTCTGTGTTCCTGAATATGATAATATGGTCACAAAGATAGAACACTTGTTCTCATGGAAACGCTGCTCCCCTGTTTCAAGAATAAAAACCCTGGTACTGAAATTGTGTCATTCATTGGTGTCATTATTCTGGAAATATGGGACTAGCATTCTCGTGAGATTCGTGAGAACGGTGGTTCTGTCTAGGTCGCCCATATTTATATTTCCATAATACTGATAAAGATAGAAGACACAGTAGAGCAATCGTTCTCATGAGAACGCATGTTTTAAGAATAGTCATCCAGTGATCCAGTGTTTAAATCCAAAGATATTTTATATTTCAACCTATCTATCAAGAGTTGGCTAAACCCACCTTTAGGCGCTAAATATAATTTAATTTGCAATAAATGTGCAGTCAATGACCTTTATATATAAGAAATAGGAAATGCTAATCTAGGAAGGAAACAGCCAATATTTCACAATATTGCAGGTTTCCGATGATCAAGCCTCCTTAGCCTGGAAAACCAAAGGTCTTCTAATTAAAGTTTTACCTACGAGCGTGCGTAAAGTGCACTTTATCGCACTTATTTGGAAGTTGAAAAGAGCACTTTATCGTATAGTGTGAGGTAAATTAGACTTCCTACTTCCTGTTTCCTACATTTTCCATTCATTCATTTTTGTTATTATTTATTTTAATGACAATCAGCTGATCCACTGATCTCCACTATTTTCATCTCTATCCTTGTCGACCTTGTCAATGTAAACGACAAAGATAGGAAGGACTCGAGAGTAAAAAAAGTAGGTACAGTTTTCATAAGGCCCTTAAAGTTGGCAATTTTTTTAATCGATTTTTCAATATCCTCAGCCCAAAAGGAATAGTTTTTCAATTAAAAATGTCGACTTACCTTCTGTTCTACACGATTTTTCACTTTAAATGAATTAACAACAGGTAATTGCAGAAGAAATCGTACAATATTTGAGACCCAAAAAAAATGTATTTACTTTTTTGACTTTGACACTAGGACGAACTCCATGACGAACTCTACCTCTAATAGGGGTTTTCGTTTATTCATAGTTCCGGTGCATGAGGAGCAAGGACTGTCATTTGTTTTCAGAACACAAAAATGCTGTTTTAACTTGCTCCATTGTCCAAAAAAAAGTCTGATTTAACATAAAAAACTAATTTTTATTCCTAGGATCAGGCTCATTTCTACAAATTACACTAATTCGTCTATCTTTAAATACTTTTTCTCCTTTGAAAACGCTGTGCTCGTTACTCAATATTTCGTGCGTGTAGTCGTATCTGGCGCAACCTTTCATAACGTACAGGGACCTCTTTTTCAGTAAAATATCCGCTTGGAGGTGTTTGTCTTTGTCGTGCACCAGCCGCATTATACTATCGGTTAGCAAGCTCAGACCAGTTATGGTATCTCCACAAAACTGAAAAGAAAAACAGAAATGATTGTTCGTGTAATAATAACCGTTCTAGAACTGTCTGAAAGATGTGCAATAACCGTTCGAAAATGAAAATTTGGAAATCGAGATTCTCAACACGTTTCAAGAACTATCAAATCGGTTCTGGGAACTATTAGAGCCGTTTGAAACGGCCGGGTTCTTATTTCAGGACTGTTCTAAAGTAGCTACAAGCGTTGTGTTTTTGATGCACCCATAAAATTGAAGGTGCTTGAGAGAACAGGAAAGAGGAAAAACGAACAGTTCAGTTGTGTGAAACTCTGAAGCACTGGAACGCCTATAAACAGCCCGAGGCGCTCTAGAGCAGTTTAGGAATTCTTTAAGTGCGTCATTAGAAAACGACTTTGAACATGCAATCTATGGCAAATTAGTTCTGGACCGGTTTGGAATCGGTTCAAAATATAATCCGGAAACAAAGCTAGGTTCGTCTAATTACTGTTCTAGAACTGTCTGAAATATGTTGGAACACACGCTCCATTCTAATCCGAACTTGTGAATCCGTTTCGGATCACTTTTTGTTCAATTGGGTGCAGTTTTGAAGCAGAAATCGCAAGCGCTATAATCTTCGCGGTTCAACCCGAACCTGTTCCCAATCGATTCTGAACTGGATCTAGGAAAACAGTTCCGAGTGTTCGTTACTTGTTCTGAACCAAATTTTTTCGAGGTCATGTCAAGACCAAAATCATGGGTTATGTTTCTCACTGACATGTTTTTTTCTTGATATTTTCGAAAGAAAATCATGGCAAGTTTAGGTATAAAACGTAAACGGGTATCGAAAAAGAATAAGTTGGCATGGAGAAAGCACTCGAAAGTAGCCGACGTCGAACAATTCTTGGACGAACAATGGGAAGAAGAAAGACTGGGAGCCATAGAAGCCCTACCGGACGACCAGCTGTTCGTATTGGATTCAAAACCGGACAAGGCCACAATAACGACGAGGCAAAGTAAGAAATTGAGAGCCACGAGACCGCTTAAAGGGTTTGCAGCATTGCAACCTCATACTAGTGTACCGGATCCGATTAAAAAAAGGAACAGAGTGCAAACTAAAGAGGAAAGAAAAAGCGATTTGGTTAAGAAAAAAGAATTGGATGATAGACGAAATGGGGTTTTGAAGCTTAAGGAAATCAATGCAATAGCTGAAAGAAGATTGTATGAGCTTAAGCGAGACAAAAAGGAAAAACGTGGGGAGTTTAATAAAGATGTTTGGTCTGAAGAGGCAGATTCTGTCTTGCAAAATGATCCATGGGCTGAAAAAGTTACAAAAGTGCATAATTTAAGAAACACAGGTAAATAATTATTACAAAATTTATATGTAGTTGCATAAATATTTACAACTATTCTAGGTGTTCCAGTTAAGAATCGGCCTATAAAATCCAAGAGCCTTCTACAAGTAATTGAACCACCACATCCAGGAACTTCATACAACCCCTCATTCAAAGACCATCAAGATTTATTAAGAACAGTGGCTCAAGAGGAAACAAAAATAATCAAAGAAGAAAAACATTTGGATAGAGTAACTAGACAAATGTTTAGAAGAGTAACCAGCAATAAAAAAGACTCCGAATGGATGGTGGAAATGTCTCAAGGCATGACAAACAAAGAAGAAAAGGAAATAAAAGAAGAACCGGAAGATTTGGACAAAATAAGCATCAATCCTCCAGTGCAAAACAAAAAGAAAAGCGTGCAACAGCGCAGAAAGCAACGTGAACAACTTACCCTAGAAAACCAACTAAGAGCTAAAAAGTTGGACAAAAAGAAAATTGGAGACATTCACACAATTAAAGTTTTAGAAAAGGATTTGCAAAAACTTGCAAAAAAGCAGGAAAAATTGCGAGAAGTAAGAAAAATAAGGGCAGAAAAAAACAAGCTAAAACCAAAAGTACTAAGCTCCACAAAATTTGAAGATTACGGGCCAGATTTTCAAATGGGCCAAGACATTGCAGGAAATTTAAGAAGCATGAAAAAGGAGGGCAATTTATTAAGTGACAGGTAAATGTTTGATTCTACATTGATTGAAAAAACTCTTATTTAATCATTTTTTTTTTAGATTCAAGAGCCTTCAAAAACGCAACATCTTGGAACCGTCCAAGAGAGCTCACTATAAAAAGCCCAAAGTTAAAAAGTACACTAAACCAGGACATAAGGACGATTGGGAAACAACTGTTGCTAGAAGGAAAATTACTTCTAAGTAAATGGATTATTTTGTAACAAAATACACTTATTGAATTAGAATCTTGTTTTAATACTTACTCTTACTGCATCAATGTGAGGCTTTATCCAACCTTTTTGGTTCAAATCAAGTATGTGGACAAACTTAATTTGCGATACCCCAGGTGGAAAAGCTAAATCTCGAACTCTATTCAAGATTTTTGTGTTTGCCTCATTCCATTTTAGTCTTTCTGTTTCTCTATATCCATGAATAGCCTAAATTAAGTAGATTATTTATTGAAGACTATCTTCATTGCCCCTTACATTATCCCAATGGTCATATTCGTATTTTAGCTTTGTCATATAGGGGTCCAGTTCATTCATAAGACTGTTTTCTTCTTCTTCAGTTAAGAAGTCTGTGTGAACCGTCATAGAATTGACTAGATTCTCAGCTAGCTTGGGTTCATTGGAAAATTGATCACAGAGGGAAAAATAGGCAGGAACTTGGAAGGAAACTATAAGGAATAAAGTTATTAAGAGTTGGGTGAAAATTAGAGCTAAATACTTACCATCTTTTGCAGGTTTTGCTGCTATAGAACTCAAACTACGTTTGCATTGAACCTTTTTAACTATTTCTAATAAACGTTTGATGGTGCACATAATGTTGAGTTTATTTTTATTATAGAACAATCATTTTTTTGTCATGTGCCTACTTTAAAAATAAATAAATAAATATCAAATGTTTATGAACTTTTGACATTTTGGATTTTTGAATTTTATAGGCGTTTTCAATTGGATGATACAAAGCTCACGAGTGTTATTTCATCTCTTTCTTACACAGTGGTAAAGAAAGAGATAGTATGTTCTTTACACTAGTTCTCCAACCAACTACACCTATTCGATTTCCGACAGGTTTGTTCACACAACATTCAGAAAACATTTAGGTTTGTTCCAACGCGCAAAAAAAGCTGACGATTGTGCGAAACTTTTATTTGAAATTTCTGGTCTGAATAAGCAGCAAGGTTCCTACTTCCTCGTAAGTTGGAACAAAGTTGCTAGGTTTAGGCTTTAATCCAAAATTACGGGAAAATGCAGTAGTATGCTCATTGTAGTTTGCTCCATTTTCAATGGTTACAGGCTTAAGGCCCGGTTTATTCATCTGTAAACCTACTGGTAACTGTCTACAAGAAAAATTTACCATTCTTTAATCCTTGGTCTACCGATAACTGGCCGACCAATATAAGATCATTGATTACGTGTTTATCCGTATTGCATTACCTGGAAGTTTATCAGCAGGTGAATCAACCGGACCAAGGCCCAATTTTTTATTCATCTTTAGATTAACTTGCTGGTAACTATCTGCAAAGAAATTAAAAATTACGGAAAAATGCAGTAGTATGCTGCATTTTCAATGGAAGCAGGGTAAACAAGCTTAAGGTCCGGTTTATTCATTCTCAAATAAAATTATGTACTGGTAACTGTCTACAAGATATATTTACCAATCTATAATCTTCCTATTGGTCTGTGGATAACTGGCGAACCAATAGGATCATTAATTGCGTGTTTATCCGTTAGATTGCATTGCCTGACAGTTTATTAGAAGGTGGAAAGCAGCCCAAGGTCCAGTTTTTTATTATGTTCAAATAAACTTACTGGTAACTGTCTACAAGATAAATCTATCAATCTCTAATCATATTGCGTGTTTTTCCGTCAGATTGCATCACCTGACAGTTTATCAGCAGGTGAATAAAAAAGTTTTTTATTCATCTTCAGATAAACTTGCTGGTAACTATCCGCAAGATAAATTCACCGTTCTATAATTCTATTGGTTGGCGGATAACTAACCGACCAATGGGATTACAGATTGCGTTCTAATCCGTCAGATTCCACACATGACAAATTATCAGAGGTTAATGAACCGACCCTAAGGCACAGTTCATTTATCTTCAGATAAACTTACCTACTGGTCACTGTTTAAGATTTATTCACCAATCTCTAATCCTATTGGTCTGCGGATAACTGGTCGACCAATAGAACTATAGATTGCGTGTTTTCCATCAGATTGCATTACCTAACAAACAGCTTATCAGAAGGTTCATAAACCGACCCAAGGCCCGGTTTTTTATTCATCCTCAGATAAACTTGCTGATAACTATTTGCAAGATAAATTCACCATTCTATAATTCTATTGGTCGGCAGATAACTGGCTCCCCAATGGGATTACAAATTGAGTTTTTATGTCATTGGTTTTTATCCGTCAGATTGCATATCTGACAGTTTATCAGAAGTTGAATAAACCGGCCCTTAGGATCTTGCAGATTGTCGGCAGAATTATAGACACATTCTGGTAAATTATAAAAAAAAAATAGGCATTGACAACATTGTCTGTCTTTGTCAATGCCCTTGTTCGATGACGTCATTCTAAATATAACATAAAAAACCTATAGCAAGTTTATCTGAAGATGAATAAACCGAGCCTAAGTGCCAATTTATTCACCTTCTGATAAACTGTCAGGTATGGAATCTGACAGATGAAAACTAATAAAAATGCAATCTGTAATCCCATTTGGTTGGTTAGTAATCCGTCGATTGTCGATCAATGGTAAATTTATCTTGCAGATTGTTATCAGCAAGTTTACCTGAAGATTAATAAAATGGGCCAAGCAAGGTAAATTTATTTTGCAGATACATAGTTACTGCAGTGACTCAATAAACATTTTTCTACGACCACATAAGAAAATGACAAAATACGCACTAGCTGGTTCTTTGGAAAGCGCTATATATCACACGCGTGCTGAAAGTACTTTCAATACGGGTGCTAAAAGTACTTTCAGCACACGTGTTGAAAGTGAATAGAAATAAAATAAAAGAAAATTGATGTAAATCGGTTTCTGGTCGTAGGAAAAATGGTGTACATCACTCGTAAGAAAGCGTCTTTCATACACTCGTGTGATTTTCGCACTCGGCTACCGCCTCGCGCGAAAAAACACTCGTGTGAAATTTGTCACTTTCTACACTCGTAATGTAATATACTATTTCATACAGTGCTAATTTCAGAAGCCAAATTATGGACCGTTATAAGTAAATTTACTCTGCTAGTAAAATTAAAAATTGTATTTAATTACCAGTCGGTCCATTAATAATTTGGCCCTAAATAGGAATCCAGAAGTAAGCCACGTCCCCGCCGCCATATTTTTGCACATTTTCAATATAAATATTGACGCCAATGTGGTTTATTGTGTCTCTATAATAGTTACCAACAAGTTTATCTAAAGATGAATAAACCAGACTTAAAAGTCTTATGAAAAATTCCCTGTGAACTCTAGTTTCCCACTTTGGCCACTTAGAAACAAATACGTACTTATTTCTGTATCAGTTTGAATATCACGCTAAGATTCTTACCACAATAACAATGACAATCTACAAGGACAAAGGTGTAAATTGTTAAAAAGTTTGTCTGATTACTCTTACATTATTAGATCGTTTATTTACTATTATCGAAAAGTAAAATAAACCTATAGAGTATATAAATAATAATACATTATAATATTTACAAATTAGCTTTGGTTCTTTAAAATTAAGTACACTATAATACGAATTATATCAAAATAGATGGACACTTATCGTTAGGCCGTTATTGCTTACTAAGTTTGATTAAAAAGGTTTTTCTTATCACAATAAATTTGTGTCCATAATGGACACGAAATGTTCTCTTACTTGGACGGGTTAGATTCATAAGACATCATTATTTAAGTACAATAAAGGAAGTTTAAACATGTATTAATAATATCAGTCAGAGTAAAATTATGTAGGTATATGTAAATAGAGAGTGCAAACAAAGATTAACTAACCAGAAGAATGTCGATAATTTCTCTAGAAATGCCACACATTTGAGCAACTGAATCTTACAATTATTGCCAATTGAGTATAGAGTGCTATTCAAATTTAGTTTAAATTTTAAGTACTATAAACAATGATTGAGAACATATACACAGCAGAAAAATAACTATAAACTAACAAAAAAAGAGAGTTATCAATAGAGAAAAATGGGGAAATAAGATAAAAAAAATAAAACTATAATAAATATCTACAGAAAAATTAACACATTGTTTCTTTACATATTTTCTCTCAAGCAGTACCTTAGTTTACCAAAAAAAAATCAGTGTCAATACATTTTGCACAATTTCCCAAGGCTTACAGCCTGTTCATGGTGAGGGGTTTGAAATTTTCCTAATACTTGACTGGCTCCTTATCAAAAAATTATAATTTCATAAAACGAGATTCTGTTAATTAAGTACAAAAAAATGGTCAAAACACCAATGACCAATCAAATCAGTCTTTCTTCAGGTGGCGGTTTCAAAACGTGATCCAATTCCACACGTGGATTGCAAAATTCTTGAGCCGAAGGACTATAAGTGCCCCTAGTAGCTCTTTTACTTCTAGCTACATTGACCAAAATAATCATTCCAATAAGGAATGCTATAAGAAGTACTAAAACCACTGGTATGATTATGTAGAGGATGTTGATTCCACTTTCTGCTCTACTCACTGCAGCCTAAAAATAAAACCAATTAGAAACTGGCTAAAAAATTTAAAAAAAATTGTACCTTTAAATGTGTACAATTCTGTCCAGTCCAATCTTCCTCACAACTACAAGTATAATCAGGCTTATCAGTACAATGAGATTTGCAAGTTCCGTGCATGCAAGTCTCTTCAAAAATACACGGATCGTCCAATGCGCAATGATGCCCACATTTCCCACTATCACCGCAAGTACATCTATAAGACCCCGGCAAATTTTCACAAGTCCCACTACCGCAAGGCGACGCATTATCTTTACACTCATTTATATCATTTTCACAAAGCAACCCTGTATAACCAGTGCCGGTACAATTGCAATCGTATCTCGATATTCCATCCAAGCAAACGCCGCCGTTTTGACAAGGACTTCTGCCTGTAGGCGTCAGACATTCGTCGATGTTTATTTCGCAAAATTTGCCTTCAAAACCTGGATTGCAAGCGCAAAATGGAATTATGGTGGTATTGCAAAATCCGAATTTACATCTTTCTACGTTACAAAATGGCGTATCGCAGAGCGCACCTTGCATGCCTTCGGTGCAGAAACATGTAAAATTATTTCCAGTTTCTAGATCTGTAATAAAATAAAAGATTTATTTACACTTGTACCAAATTGACATAGAAGGTTATAGAATGGAATCTGAATAATGTCAGCAGAGGTAGGATAAGGGGATGAAAATTAAGGATTAAAATCTTTAATTTCAAAGATTTCTATAGTGTTCCAGCTTTATGAATCCAAGGGTAGAATAGGGATAATTTTGATTCTATATGTACTTACTCGGTGCAGTTTTACAAGTAGCTCCATCCTTGCAAGGTTTATTTTCACAAGTAATCAAAAGTGGGGCCTCGCATTGTTTGCCAACAAAGTCCTCAGGGCATTCGCATTTAAATGTCCCTATTAGATCATTGCAAGTACCTCCGTGTTTGCACGGGTTGCTTACGCATTCATCAATGTCTATTTGGCAACTGAAAAAAAGAAATGTTAAAAACGATTTTTATTGAATTTTTAATACTTACTGGTCTCCTTCGTATCCTACAGCACACTGACACTCGTATCTCCCGACCAAATCGATGCAAGTAGCTCCGTTTTCGCAAGGATTATTTTCGCATTCGTTTATATCTATTGAACAATCGTCTGCTGCATAACCTACAATTGAAATTCATAGAAAGTTAGTATCAATAATTGAGAGAATGAATTAACATTACCTTCATTACAATCACACTTGTAAGTCTCAGTCGTATTTATGCACTGTCCCTGATTATTACAGTCAGTATCATAACACAAAATACAACCCAAATCTACTTTGGTAGAAGGTTCCAGCTCGAAAAATTCTTCAGTGTAATAAGTTTCGTTGCGATAGATTTCTTTTTGGGTGAAAAACGGAAGCAAAAGTCCTGCAATGCGAATTTCGCTCAGGCAACCTTTAAACCTGTCAGTTTTCTTGTTTTGATCTATTTTGTACAAAAATCCATCGTCAATTTCTCCACTCTCTATTGAATTGGTTATAATTAAAGGGTCTATTGTCGTTGTTTCAAAGTTGCCAATGTAATTTGTTGTATTGAGCTCAGTAGTTTCAATAACTAAAAATTATACTATAAATAATTATGAAAATTTTTATTTGAAAACAATACCAGTCATAAAATCAAAAGTACTGTTATCGCTTCCAGCTAAATAAATATATCCTTCCTTAAACAATTCCGTCAGAGAAACTACATCAAACTGAGGACTTTCCATATTAGGCGACATATCTAGGACGTTTTCTTTAAAACCCCCTAAAACAAACATCTAATTAATATCAATATAACATTACAAAAAACAGTTTTCTACCTTTGAAAGTTTGATCTTTGAAATGCAAAAGCAACGTTAGCCATTGCCCGTCAAATTTTTCTTTTTTGAAACGTTGGGTTATTATTCCTGAGCCCAAATTCCATTGAATTACAACCTCGTTGTGATAAATAAATACTGTGAAGTAGTCGGCGTTGTTTTTCGCAAATAATAGTGTTCCCCAAGATCTAAAAATATTGTTGAATTACTGAAAAGTTTCCGTATTATTAGTAAGCAATCTTACCGTGTTCTGTAAGTCAATTCAATCTCCTCAACATTAAAATCTCGACTGGAATTTGGCAAAATGCTCAATTGATACAGCAGAGGCTCAGTTTTTCCAGTGAATGTGGAATTTGCGATACATTCGTAACCGCCTTCGATGTTATTGCATTTGGCCCCTTCGGGGCAACCTTCTATTTCGCAGAATTCGAGTTCGTTGCACGTTTTACCTTTGAAACCTAGACAATGGCACAATAATTGAATGAAATATCGAGATAATAATGATTTTAACTACATTATATTCTAGCTTAGTTATATAGGAAAATATACTAATGATAAAGGCTAAATTCAATAATCCAAGCATTAACAGAGGCTTCCAACTTCATACCTTCATCTAGTTTTTCTGTTTTATATAAAGTCACGTTTAAACAAATTAGAAATTCTATCAGATTTTGTATATAAATTCAAATCTACCTCTTTCACAAATACACTTGTAATCGTTCCAAGTATTTTCACAAGAACCACGATTACACGGATTTTCTCTGCATAAATTGTCAGAAATTATGCCTTCCATGACTAGAGAACGGTCGAAAGAAACGTTGCCAAAAGCGGGTGGAATTAGTAGATCGGGTCCAGATATAGGGAAAAATTCAACTACCATCACACTGGAACCATTGGAAATCTGGAAAGAAAAATCAATTATTTAAAAATGTAATTTCAGAAATAATATTTGATGATTGTTCAGGCTGTGTGCCTGAAGATTACACTCGCTTAACTACGGTTTGAGTTAAGCAGCGTATTTCAACTCTTTCAGGTTGTCAGTTAGTCTGAAAACTGACCCGAAGGGTAGATTCTGATGGTGCTTTATGCTGACTGTACTATTCATTACTATAGGGACTTTTTTGGAGTAGCTGCCCAGTACTGCATCCATGTGTTGGATGCGCAGAGCTCTTTCCATATGATGCTTTGAATGATTGTTCCATTCCTGTAGTTAGTTACTTCATGTCAAAACCTAGTTTTAAGTTTACAATAGCATTTATCTAGTCTTTAATTTGAAATTATTATAATTTTCTTGTTATTGGGTTTATCCTGTTAGACAATAAATAAATGATGCTTTGACTGGTCGTTCATAAAGGACATCGAACACATCTTATGGGTTTTCGGGGACCGGTCGATTTTTTAAAAAATTGGTATGTTGTAGTTCTTGCAAAAATAAGCATTTTTCATCATTGCACCAAATCTCTAACTATACAGGGTGGCCCAGTAAAGTGGGTCCGAAAATCATAAAACAAGCCTTTCAATTATCGATGCTGCAAGGTACAGGGTTATTGGTTATAAATGTCACCCCCCTCTATCTTTTTTATTTGACATTTTAGAAAAAAGTGTCCCAAATAAAAGTTTTATGGTTGAAATAATTTTTTTTGAAAAACACCCTTTCGCATATACAGGATGTTTCAGAAATGCTGGTTGTGCTCCAACTTTCTTATTTTGAATGGAACACCCTGTATATTATTGAATATTCGGATTCTACGTAAAATTCTGTGAAGATTTCATGTGATATACCCTATACCTAAGTTCAACTATTTTGGAAATATTGACAGTTGAAAATTGACTTTTTTGCAACTTTGACAGGCTGTGAAACCTAAACGGTTAATCTTAGAGCAAAACGGAACTTACATTTTTTTCTTAGATTTTCATAAGCTATGATTTGACACCAACTTTAAATTTAACCGGAGATTAAATTTAATTTGAATTTTTAATCATGGATTAAATTCAAAGTTGGTATGTCAAATATCAGTGTCAACTGATAGTTTATGAAAATCCAAGATAAAAACATACGATCGGTTTTGCTCTAAAATTAACCGTTTAGGTTTTACAGCCTGTCAAAGTTGCAAAAAGTCAATTTTCAACCATCAATATTTCCAAAACAGTTAAACTTAGGTAAAGGGTATATCACATGAAATCTGCTCAAAATTTTATGTAGAATCCGAATATTCAATAATATACAGGGTATTCCATTTAAAATAAGAAAGTTGGAGCGCGACCAGCTTTTCTAAAACACCCTGTATATGTGAAAGTGAGTTTTTCAAAAAATTTAATTTCAACCATAAAACTTTTCACAATTCCACAGGGTGTTCCATTAAAAAGAGAAGTGGGATGGCGCCACCCGCAGGTAACTAGCACACCTGGTTTAAAAGTTATAGATAAGCATGTAAAATGGGTCACTTTCGGCTGGGACACCCTGTATAATAATTAATAAGTTGGTGCTATAACTTTGGGCATGTGCTCCTAGATTCCTAGAGTTGTTTGGTACTTGGGCTAAGCTCGACATGAAAACAATGTGAAGTACCCATCAAATATGTTCCTTAGGTGTCTTCAAGGCAGTGCAAATAGGCACTAGGTACAATAGGTAGGTACCATTTCCAGACTCTAAAGATACTGGTGTGGCTCGAATTCGGTAACATCTGCAATAGAGAAATATCCGAATATCTGAATGTGTCTTATTGGCAGTCAACTTTGTCTTTGTGATTGAGAATGCGACAATCTTCAGATTACTTGAAAAGTTCTGACTGCTGACCTTCATGTAGAATGTAGTTTTGAATCGTGGTGTAATATAAGTATCTATTGATTGACCATTTTGAGATCTTAAGCTCTCCATCCCCTACGCCACATACCTCAGCTCTAATATCACATCTTGGAAGCCTTAAGCGTTGTGCTGCTTCATTGGCGACAAAGGATGATTGTGAAAAATTGAGTTTAAATTTTTTGACTAAATTTTGACAAAAATTCAGTTTTGAGGCTCAACTGCTCAAAAAGTATTTGACCTATACACCCTAATTTAGCACAGATTTATAGAGAATTTAATGCTCTTTCTAATAATGTATAATTTATTATTATTTTTATTAAATATCATCAATTAAATTAGAATTCTTACCTGTACGTCTTGGATAATCCCCTTAAAATGATTAGGCGTTGGTTGCTGTTGACCACCCAGATACAAAACTTGGGCATTAAGAATACCATTTGCTGATATTGTTTTCCTACAAAGCAATTTCTTATTGAATATTTCCAAATAATATCCAACTTCTCACCTAAAATACTCAGTCCCATTCAATTTAACTTGAACCAAAGTAACATTCCTAATCACTTCAATAAGATGAACATAACCGTTGTCTAGTTTCACTCCCGAGACAGGATAAGCTTCCCCTGAACCGTTAAACTGAATTCTAACGAAAAGTTCACCATTTTCTAATTGGGCAGCAATATATGTTTCATCGTTGGCATTTTGAGGACTGGCAAACGAACCGAGATAAAATATTTGGCCCTTGCTTTGCCTGGTTCTGATAAACATTGAAATGTCTACTATTGTTCTGACAGCTCTGCGGGCCAAATCAAATACATCAACCTAAGAAAAGACACTGTGAATAAGGCTACAAATAAAAATAATCTACTTACAGTTACTAATGAGTCCATAATATCTTCATTGCCAAAAGTAGCAGCGGTATAGTTATATTGGCAAGTATTTCCCAAAAAAGGCCTGGTACAAGAGCAACTAAAATCCCTCCATTTATCAGTACAATATCCTCCAGAATGGCAAGGATTTGGATTACATTGTGGCTCCCTTACACAACCGATTTCCGTATTTTGGAATGTTAAATGAGAAGTGTTTCTTGGTTGAGGAATTACCCATTCGGAATTTATTTGAATATCTTCTGCACATCCTAAAATTATAAGAAATAGTGAGTAATTTTGTATTATAAGCAAAAAAAGCTGCTTACCAACTAAAAATGGTTGCCCTCTAGTTAGTTTTCGTAAATTTGATGGTATGCCACCAATATAGGTAACTGGAAAGCTAAAATTCATTTATAGCAAACTTGTTATATGTAATTTATTGTTGAAAATATTACCTTGTAGAGGAAACATTATAATTTTCATTAAACGTAATAGGATAAATTGTTTGCTCGTCATTAGCGCTCAACACAAGATGGGTGGAGTTAATAGCAACAAAAACCTTCTGCCATTTACTATCATTCAAATTAGACCCAATAAATACTCCTTCCCATTTGTTGAGCAAGCTAGACTGAAGATTCAGCCGTCCTCTTGCCAATTCCAAAATATAATAAGTCAAGCCTTTGCCCAATGCCAAAAGCCCATCTCCTAAAGTTGTTTTGAACCTAAACTGTATATCGTATCCTTCATCTCTGCTTGTATTAACTGTAACCAAAGATTGTCCAGAAAAGGACATTGTAGTTTTGTTTTGGCAAGTGTGTCCGTGGAACCCATTAGGACAAGAACAATTAAACCTGTGCTCAACTTCATTTATTAAATACGGCTTACATACACCCTTGTTTTCACATGGTTCCTCTTCACAACCTGTAAGTTTAACGGAGCAATTTTTGCCGCCGAAATCAGGATCGCAAGCGCAAAAGTAGTTGGCCACTCGGTCAATGCAAGTTCCCTGAACGCAAGGTTCGTATTTCTGACATTCGTCTGTGTCTATTTCGCAATGGGTTCCTTCATAGCCGTCGTCACATTCGCAAAGGTAGCCACCGATTTTATCGGTGCAAGTACCGAACCGGCAAGGACTCGAGTCGCATTCGTTTATGTTGATTTCACAATTTTCGCCTGTTACGCCTTCGACACAGAGGCATTCATAACTAGAAAATGTGTTACCAGTTCAGTCAGTAATATTTCAAAATTTAATTATTACCAGCTCTTGATTCAGTGTAAATTTTTTCATAGTGACAATCAAGAGCTGGTAAAAGTTTAAATATTGTTTCAACATGCAAATTTTCCTTATCACTAGAAGCAAATAAAACCACTTGTCAAACTATTTCTTACCCATCAGCATCCTCAAAGGAGAATGGTTTCTGGAAAGCCTCAGGTAGTTCGATGCCCATTTTGGCGATAATCTCTGGACTATAGAGAGTCATGTTGGACTTTTCCAGGCAAACTCCATTGTACTGACATGGATTACTCTCACATTCGTTTATATCGATTTCACAGTTTTTTCCTTCGTAACCCTAGAAATATATCATAACATAAGTTGGCCAAAATTATTATTTATGGTAGCTTACTCTATGGCATTTGCAGTCATAATCTTTAACCTTATCCAGACATTCAGCCCCGTTCATGCAAGGCAGCCCATTACAATCGTCAATATTGATTTCGCAATGCAATCCTTCGTATCCAGTGTCAGTGCAATTGCAGGTATATTCGTTCAAACCATCTATACATTCCGCATTGTGTTGACATGGATTGGACTGAAAATTAAGTCAGTAAATTATATAATATGAAACTATCTGCTTATTTACTTACCTCACAATCATCTATATTAATGTCACAAGTCTTCCCAGTCAAACCGGGAGGACAGATACAAGTAAAATCATTTATTTCGTCTTTGCAAGTTGCACCTCCCATGCAAGGATTTGGTTCGCATTCGTTGATTTCTTCACTGCAATTTCTGCCTTTGTACCTGAAAAAGGCATTTTGAATCATTATAACTTCATTATAGTAAACATACATACCCTGGTAGGCAAATGCAAGTGAAGTTGTTAATTAAATCCATACAGGTTGCTTGGTTTAAGCATGGTTGGGGTAAACATTCATCAATATCGATTTCACATCTGGAATTTTTACAATAATAAAGTACTATTAGAAAATTTACAAAAAAACTACCTCAATCCAGTGTATCCAGGCTCACAATAACACTTAAAACTGCCAACAGTATTAACGCACAATCCAGTTTTGCAAATTTGTGTGTTGGGTATGTTGCATTCGTCAATGTCCATATCACAAAAAGGTCCAGTGAATCCAGTATTACATTTACAAGCCCATTCGTTACTAGTTTTATCGACAATGCAAGTACCATTGACGCAAGGATCTTTGGAACAAGGATCCATATCTCTACTACAATCTTCGCCATCGTAACCAAAAGGACAGCGGCATTCGTAATTGTTAATTAAGTCGATACAAATCTGGAAATATTTAAGTTATGACAAAATAATCAATTATTAAGTAACTTACTTTGCCATTAGGGCAAACAATTCCTTTACAATCATCTTTATTCGTTTCACAGGTTGGTCCTTCAAATCCTGGCAAACATCTGCAAGTATAATCGTGTCCGTTTGGAGAAATACAAGTTGCATTGTTCTAGAAACATTAAGGATTAAAATTTATATAGGAAAAATTCAAATGATTACCTTGCAAGGCTGCAATTCACAAACATCATAAGGTTTTTCACATAAGGCACCCATCCAATCTTCAGTGCAATTGCAGGAAAATGAATTTATTTTATCTATACAAATACCGCCGTTTCTACAAGGATTGGACTGGCATTCGTCAACATTGGTTTGACAAAGAGTACCTAGAAATACAATACGAGTTAGAAAAGGCCAACATTTGCTGAAACAAAACAGACAGCAAGCGGAAAACAAAAAAACAAAAAAAAGGCGGCCGGCAAAACGTTGATCTAACCTTTGAACCCAGTTCTACAGTGACAGACAAACCCAGATAAACCAATTTCGACGCAAATTCCATAATTTCGACATGGTTTAGTAGAACAAGGGCCAATCTTAACTTCGCAATTGATGCCGGTCCATCCCGATGCGCAGGTGCAGTAATAGCCACCCAGCTGTGAAGATAGTGAATATTTTAGTTAAAAATTTTCTACTGTAAGCAATTATGTTAGCAATACACCCAATATTCTACTGAGGTTTCACTTACATAGTTTAGACAAGCAGATGCATGCAAACAAGGCCCATGCTCGCAATGAAGCTTTTTATTGCAATATTTTCCGGTCCAAGTGCGATCGCAAACGCAATAGGAGCCTCTGGCTTGGTTCACGCAAGTGCCACCGTTTTGGCAAATGCGAGGTCTACACATTGTTACTGTTTCACATTGATTACCTTTGTTTAGTGTGCGCATGCAAAAATAAAATCATGCAAATAATTTTGATGATTATTCCCAAGCTTGAACATTTAACATTTAGATGATATGCTTGATTTTTGATAATAATAATGGTGTGTCATTGAGGAAGAATACTAGTTATAATGGAATGTTTTTCCAAGCAAATGAAACAAGATCTGAGAAGCGAGTTGTGAAACTCTGCGAGACGAGCGAAGCGAGTTCCGCAGCAGTTTCTTCATTATCTTGTTGTCAAGATGAAATACTGACACAAAAATAACTGAGCGAGTTTTTCTCATAAATGTGAAAATTTGAACAAAGTATTGATGAATAAATTGTATTTAGAACTTCGTTCATCCCGCAGCAATTTCCTCATTATCTTGTTGTTCAGATCAAATACTGAACTGAGAAAATGAAAAGTTGATTAACAAGAAAAAGGGTTTACTGTTTTTTCCCAATCTACTAACACAATTGTTAAATAAAATAACTGTAACAGGTTATGGGCCCAGATCACCAAAAGATTGGATAAGTATAAGAACACAATAAAACTGACTAGTGCAGTGTTAAATTTTCCCCAGCTGACCAGTGTAACAAATTTCAACAATTGGAAATTTAATGTAATCACATTACCCACTATGTAGAAGAGAGGCAGATAGTATAAGGATTGGTAAAAACCGAGACTGATTTCAGTACCGAGAAGTCAGAGTTCAAAGCTAATGATGCAAGAGAAAAAGCATTATAGTCCAGTGTTTATCTGATAAATACTTAGACCTAATAAAGGATGCAAAGACAGCAAAAGAAATGATGAAAACCCTGGAAGACATAATATTTGAGAGAAAAAGTATATTCACAAAGTTAACTTTGAAGCGTAAACTACTTACTTTACCTAAAGATAAAGAGAGGTAAAAAATTAGAAGATCACTTTTTGGTATTCAACAACCTGATAAGAGATTTGGAAAATGCAAGTTCCATCTGGATAAAGAAGACAAATTTTGTTGCGCAAAAATTAACAACCCTTAAACTGTTTGAAAACTAAATTTGAATAAATAAACCCTAATAGGTCTAGGTACAGTAAGACACCCTTAAGGAATGCGGCCAGCGCAACAAAGTGCTCGCGGCTACTCAAACAGTGTGGGAGTATGTTCATTATATAGATTTAGCTTTATAGGGCGCTACTGGTTTATGAAATAAAATCCGCGGATTTAAACTAGAAAGTCCCTGATCTCCAAAGTTCCTCCAAGATGTTCCCACCTGATGTACCTATCCTCTAAAAACAACTTTATCTTAGTTTGATTGAGGTCAGCAGGGGGAAAATAAATAACCGGGAAAATGTAAATATTAGTGAAAATAAGGGTGAAACAATGATTTAAAGGGTGTGAAAGTGATTTGTGGTGTTGTGGAATTTTTAATAACTGGAAAATAGGTATCGCTACTAGGAATAGTTGTTTCACTCCCAGTCCGGTCCAATTTCTGATGTTTTGTAGCCATGACAGTTTTATGCTTTTGCTGCCCTCAACTTTTTCCTGGACGATAAGGCGAGGAATGTGGTATTTGGTGCCTTGTATTAGATGTCCGAAATAACTTAACTTTCCTATTTTCATGTTCATAAGTTCTCGGCCCTCATTCACCTGTCTTAGTACCTCTTTATTGCTGGTATGTGCGGTTCAAGGGATTTTGAGGATTCTCCGATAGCACCACATTTCAAACGCTTCTATTTTGTTCATGGTGTCAGCTTTAAGCGTCCATGTCTCACATCCGTACAAGAGAATGCTCCATACATTAGAGTTGAGTGTTCTTAACCGCGTCTGGACTGTGAGGTTTCTATTGGTGAGAGTTGGTTCCCAATAATTATTAAATGCCATGTGCCATTTTAATCCTCGCTTTTACCTCTTCGTCGCACCTAGCTTCACTGTTCAGCCAGCTGCCCAAGTATTGTGTCTGTTGATTGTAATCGGAGTTGGTTCGATGTTTATTTTACCTACAGTCATTCATTTCGTTCTCTTGATTTTTATATTAATACCCAATCTTTGGCTAGCCTCATGCACTCTATCCAGCAGTATTTGCACGAAATATGTCCTCTGAATAGAGCTTGAACAACAGGGGTGACAGAACACATCCTTGTTTTACGCCGCTTTTTATTGATATTTCACCTGTAACGCTGCCATCCTGTAACGCAAACTTCAGCTGTTTGACTATGATACAGGTTTATCAAAAGGCGCATATCATTGTATGATTTTAGACATTGAAAAAGTTTGGTGTGTTTGACTCGATCGAATGCTTTTTCGAAGTCAATAGAACATATATAGGTAGATGTTTTTTTGAAACTCACAGCTTTTCTGCAATAATGTTCTCATGCAGAATCTAATGTATTGTACTTAAGGATTTATTAGAGTACAAATCTGACTGCTTTAGACTGTTTTTTTTTGTGCTGATATTTGTTCAGTATTCGTCGGATAAAGAATGTTTATAGCTTGAGCGGGTGTGCGCTATTGTCATACGTCACGAGTGTACCATAAAACGGAGGAAGAAGTCCTTGCTGGAGCTGATTAAAGCTGTGTGACAATCACCTATAATGTCTGAGCAAGGATGAGCTACGGAACCCTTTAGTTTCGAGGAGAATAATGTAACAAACAAATGGAAATTCAGGAAACAAAAATTCGAGTTATATCTGCTAATTAGTGGAAAAGCGAGTAAGGATGATAAAGTCAAAATTGCCATCTTTTAAAATCTGCTTGGAGATGAAGGAATCCAGATATTTAACACGTTTGAGTATGATGCTGAGGGCGATGAGAAAAATTATTCGCAAGTTGTGAAAAAATTTGATGAATATTGTGCCCCATTAAAAAATTTGGTCTATGAGCATTTTGAGTTTTTCAAAAGAGACCAACTACCCACAGAAGGTATAGATCAATTTGTGACGTCATTGGAGCAGTTGGCAGTTTCGTGCGAGTTCAATGATATGAAAAACATGTTATTTCTTGTAAGAATTGTTTTGGAGTCCGTGATATTAAAATCCAGAAAAAACTGCTGCATTAGATTTATGCAGATCGATGAAAAGAGGTGCTTTAACTGAAAAAGAAATATTTGAAGAAGTGAGTGCTGTCAGTAGGTGGGGTCTTAGTGCAAGGCCTAGTAGCAAGCGACAAAACCCCGAAAAGGCGAGAGGTAAAAGTGGACCAATTGGGGTGAGCGAAAATTAATCGTACCTTTCACCGAGCCCACGGACTGGCAGAATCCAATAGTGGTGGTACCAAAAAATCAGGGTGCTGACATTCGTACATATCTGCATGGACCCTCTGTTTTTGAATCGAGCAATCAAACACCCTAGGTACCCTATACCGACTCAGGATGGTCTATTTTCGAGGTTATCGGGCGCAAAATATCGTTTTCGGTACTTGAGGCTACCATATGGACTTAGCTGTGTACCAGAGATGTTCCAGAGATTTATGAATGAGCTTTTAGAAAACTTACCTAGTCAAATTGTATATTTTGATGATATATTGGTATTTGGCAGTACTATCGAGTCACATAACAATAATTTGCGTGCAGTTTTGGAAACGATACAAGAAAGTGGACTTACTTTGAATCTAGAAAAGTCAAAATTTTGTGCTACACAGATACAATTTTTGAGCCACTATGTCAACGAATTTGGGATATCACCAGACTCGGAAAAAACAAAAGCTGTGATGAATATGAATTCACCAAAATGCAAGAAAGATTTACAAAGATTTTTGGGTACCTATTTGGCTAAATTTGTACCAAATTTGTCCAATGAGACTGCAATTTTAAGGCAGCTTTTGAGTGAAAAAAAATGAGTGCCAATGGACTCCCACACAGCAAAATTGTTTTGATAAAATAAAGCGACTCATTACTTCAGCAACAACTGTGCATTTTTTTTGACTCAAAAAAGAAAACAGTTCTGTCAGTGGATGCCAGCCCCTATGGTCTTGGAGCCACAATTTCTCAGGATGGATATCCCATCGAATTTGCATCCGTCTCGTTCACAGAAACACAACGCCGCTACAATCACATGGAAAAGGAATTATTGGCCCTAGTCTTTGGCTGTGAACGTTTTTCTTTTTATCTATATGGCAACACTTTTGAAGCCGTAACGGACTATAGGCCACTTTTGAGACTACTAAAAAAACCCTTGGATGAAATGTCGCCAAGAATCCAGCGTTTGGCCATCAGACTATTGAGATTTCAGTTTACGTTGAGTTATATACCGGGAAAAAACTTACAAGTACCTGATACCTTCTTAATTTGACTTTGAATACTGATTTTTTGGAAGATGACCTAAAAGTGTACTGTTTGGTAACTACAAGCAAAGCAAATGAAAAAAAACTCCAAAAAGAGATTGATCTTGATCCATGCCTTCAAAAAGTTAAATACTACGTGCTCAATGGTTGGCCAAGACATAAATTATCAATACCAAGTTCTGTTAAAAGTTATTGGCCCTAGGACCGAATTATGGACTGACTGGTAAGCGTCTGGTTGTTACCTAGCAGGTACTTTCTATGCTCTAGATAATAGAAAGTACCTGGTAGGGTTTATTTGAAATGTGCAATTCAAATTCGTCTAAGTCTCATTTTTTAGCATTGATGTACCGTCAAAAATTGCGACTAAGTCAGACGTATTTGAATTTCAAATAAACCCCCCCAGACTAGGTAACAACCAGACACTTACCAGTTGGTCCATAATTTGACCCTTATAAAAATGATATTTATCTTCACAAAGATGTATTATTTTTTAACAAAAGACTCGTGATTCCAGAAATATTGAAGAATGAATTTTTGAATATTATACACCAGTCACATCAAGGTGTAGTTTCGTCCAAAAAAAGAGCCCAAAAGTCAATAGGGGCATAGACCTGAATAATGTTTACATATACAGGTCTCATCGCCAGCTGTAGTAGCATTACTCGGTCTGACAAGGGTACAAAGTTTCGTACTGATCTGCTGGAGGATTTATTTAGTACTAAAACTGTGGTTGTGGTACTATAGTCACTCCTATTCTAAAATCGGATCTTCTTATCCGTCGATTTCTCTCACGAGTTTCACTCTACGAATACAAGCATCAAAATGGATTTCGTGAAATCAAGGTTATTAGATAAGGACATGAAACTTAAAAGTGAACAATTAAAACCTGATAATACTAGTGAAATGAAATTCCATAGTACTTGATTATTTGTTATATATAACAACAGGCATAAACTTCAAGTATTCCATCATTTATTTTGGACTATGGATGCACACAACATATGGTGATAAGTCAAGACGTATTCCTCATTGTTAAAAGTATTGCACATAATCTTCTGCCGGCCATATTTTGCTTGTCAAAGTTAAGTGGCTAATATTCGCCTATCCAAAACACGTGATTTTGACAAGCAAAAAATATGCCGAGCAAGGGGATCACAAACAACTATTTACATACACTATTTGTAACATTAATAAAAACAACAGTTTTGGGTATAACAACGCAAATAATTCACAATTAACACTATTTTAAACTCATAACACCATTTGATAACACATAAACAAAGGTTTTGTTCGCCTCTTGGCGGAAATTTTAATATAAGTTTGACAGCATCTTGGATAGTCTATACTATTACTTCGGACATTTCAAATCGAGGAGGAGTGTTAAGTTATGTTGTACTGTATTCTCAATATACTTCCACAATTGTTAAATTAAATAACTGTAACATAAATTGCTGCGTCAGTCTTGTAAAATGGAAGAGAATTTTGAATGGTTAAATGGAGAAGTTTAACAAATCACATTATACAACATTATTAGAACTTTTGCATAACATCCACTATTTGAAGAGAAGTAAAAATCTGATATCACTATAGATGTACTCTTCTGAACTTTGAACCAAAAACGAATCTGGTCTAATTTAATGCAAAAATTCTTAAAAACCTCACCTGTATATCCAGGCGGACAAGAGCAATTAATATTCCCATTCACCGCATTGCACAATCCCCCATTCTTGCAAGGATTATTAGCACAAATAGGCTTGCAATTTGGATAATCTCCGGAAAATTCTTGCTTGCAAACACAAGTGGCACCATTAATAGGATCTAAAACACACAAACCTTAAATCTAGAAAACCCCAAAAAATTATATAATACCTTGAGAACATTCACCATTTCTACCGCAATTAATCATATCGCAATGCTTTTGCTGTCTGTTTTCGAGTTCGCAATTTTCTCCAAAAAATCCCGCAGGACATTTGCAATGATAGCCCATTTGGTAGCTGACGCAAACGCCGTTATTGACGCACGGCTGTGAAGCGCATTCATCAACACTCTTAAATAAAACACAAATTAAACAAAAAATCTATCAGAGAAAATATTCACTTACAATTTGACAATGTTTTCCTCCAAAACCCACAGGACATTGGCACAAATATGCACCATAAGTATCAAAACAGACACCATCATTCTGACAAGGATTTGTTGCACATTCATTTATGTTAATTTCACACAAACGTCCTGTGTACCCTGTACGATTGCAATCGCAATTGAAGTTGTTCAAGTCATCAGTACAAATACCACCGTTTTGACATGGCTTACTAGCGCAATCGTCAATATCTTTTTCACAAGTAATTCCAGTGAAACCTGGCTTGCAAGTACACCAAACTTCATCGGTGTCTTTGTCAGTATCACAAATACCACCATTCAAACACGGATTAGTCTTGCATCTAGGGTGAGTTCTCAGTTCAGTCTCGCAATGTTTTCCAGTAAATCCCGGCTCGCAAACACAATCATAATCGCCTCTTTGATCCGAAACACAAGTTGCCCCATTTTTACAATAATAAGGCCTCCTTTCGCAAGGATTTCCTTGATCGATTTCGCAATTTTTGCCTGTATATCTCGGCAGGCAAGCGCAAGTGTATGTGTTGTGATTGTGGTCGTTTATACAGGTTCCGTGTATCATACAGGGCTCGTTTAGGCAATAGTCCATGCCTGTCATTTTTTCAGTGGGCATACAGCTGTCCATAGGTATGGGACAAGTTTCAAATTCCACGTTGTGGTTGTAGTAAATTAAGTGATCGTCGAAAACGACGTTGGGGCCTTCTAGAAGGCAACCGTTGAAGTTTTTTCCTATGAGAAGTACTGAACCTTTCATGTCGTCATAGAGTTTGCTGCTGGTTAATAGAGGATTGTTATAGGTTGAATTAGCTATAATCTAGAAATGTAATAATAGTTATTAGCACTACTAACATTTTTTGATTTGATGTATAATTACTTTTGATTCTCCATCGACATTCATTGTTAAATTTCCTTGACTGTAAAGCATAAAAACAGTGTGCCATCGATTATTCAAAAATGTTCCGTAAATCTCTTCTTCATAAGAATCTCCATCTACTTGCGCTCTAAAGTAGATTGCCTTTTTGTTCACTAGAAGCTCAACGGATTCTTCGCTTTGTTTTTGGGATAACAAACTGCCACCTATAGAATTTTCAATAATTGAAAACTTGTTGGTAATATTGCTATGTATACTTTACCAAAACATGTTCTAAAGCTTATTCCTGTGGGTTGTTTCAAAGAAAAGCTGTTTTGTAGTCTCAAATACGAGGAACCGTTGAAGTATGCTTCTGGTTGGCTGCTAGGAGCTACTGCTGTGATTTCGCTCAGTGTATTGATCTGATACGTGTGAAAAGCTGGAATAAAATAATACAGAATTAACCCAAAGTGCTTTTTGCATTTGTTGGTATTAATGAAATAAAATAATCAGTGTAAATTTGGCTGGAACTCAGGCAGATGAATATTATCTATTATAGATTAACTAGGTCTTGGTTGAAATTTTTATTCAATGTACTAGGATTTATAGGTCTTATGACATACTATATTCAATTATCATTGTACTCAAAAGTCAATGTGAATTTTACTAAAAATTTCTAAATGTTTCAATTTTCAAATGGGAAAGATTCAAATTCTGCAAATTGAAATGAATATGTATTTGATGGAAATCCCAAGAAACCCTAATGTTTGCAAGGCATAATGCTATGTCCAAAGTATAGCTGAAGAAATTGGGCCTATTTGGGTTTGGAAAAAGGACGGTTCTGGAATGATTCAAAAGAATCGCACAGTTTATTATTGAAATTCGTGATAGCCGAGTTGTTGTCATTTTGTTGATTGATAATCTGTCCGATTGTTTTGAACCGTTCTAGAACCGTCCTTGTTCCAAACCCGAATAGGCCTAATATATACAGGGTGTCCCAGGGAAAACAGTCCAGCAAGGTTTATGGCTTTGGACGAAAAGATAAAAAAAAACCTCGGACCTGTAAAATTTTGTTTTCAGGGACACATTTTATTGGTATTTCCACCCCTCACTTGTCAACCCCTAAGCCAGAGTGATAGGTACCCCCAAAATTTCAAATAGAAGAGGGGGGTCGAGTGATACGTCATTCGATAGCTATTTTCATTGAAATTATATTCCCGAAGTTTAAAGTTGCTACCCTGCCGGAATGGCGGCTTATCAAAGTTAGGGAAAATGCTGTGTGGTTTTTACCTGGTACTTCTGCATAGGTGTGACAGGTGAAAACTATACAGTTTAGGTAATCGAAAAAAAAGCATTTTTCCTACGAGCGTGCGCAAAGTAGTACTTTTCCGCACGCATTTCCGGGCTCAAAGTTACACTTTTCCGCACTCAGTGCGGATACAGGCCTTATCCGCACTGAGTGCCGAAAAGTAATTATAATTGTCAAGCAACAATAAGTGCACCTGTCGACTTTGACACATGATGACAAATTTTTCCTCTGTTTCTATATCAGCCAACATCTATACAAACACCAAATATAAATTAACTTTGACACATTGTCAGATTTGTTCTCTACACAAAACTTCTCTATTTATATGCAAAAATCTAGAAACTTTCTCATCAAATTTAAACGCTTTAAAATGAACAGCTCTGACGAGGATTTTCTGTTTTTTTTTGTAATTTTTTGATAAATGCATTGGTTCCCTTCAAGTTAATTAAAAATAATTAAACAAATTATCGTTTTTTTTTTTTAATTTTTGTTATTACCTACCTGATATGAAGCTCGTAGGAAAAATTTTGTTCCTAACACGTGCGCAAAGTGCCTTTTCCGCACGCAAACACGTATCCGAACTCCGCTTTGCGTCGTTCGTATAACTGTGCTTGCGTGCGGAAAAGTAACACTTTGCGCACTTGTTAGGAAAATAACTATATCCTGACTCTAACTTTGACAAGCCGCCATTTCGGCAGGGTAAATAGTAGCAACGTGAAACTTCGGGGATGTTTACGTAATAGTATTCGAAATGTAGTAAACTGGACTGCGACTGGAAAATCGCGCAAACACATAGAAATAGAAATGAAAATCATACCATAGGGTTGTCGAAACATACAAAAGATATTTCCACTCACCTGGTTTTTTTTATAAGCTGTGTGTATATACGGAGATCCCCTGGAAAACGGTTCTCCACAACCATCAACGTATCAGCATCGACTTAAGGCACTCAAGATCCCTTTTTAACGGCACAAGACATAGACTTATGGAGCGTAAAACACGGAACCGGTAAAATTGCAACGTACATATGAACCACCATTTATCTAGTGTGTAAATTTGTAAATCCAAATCTTCAACGGCTGTCTCGGTCGACGCAGGGTCGTAGAAAATACACTCCTGTGTGTTTTACGCGAAATTGTCATTAAGGTTAATAAGAATGAGAAGAAACCAAATTTATAAATAATGTTGCGTTAACAGGGGATATAATCTTAATGAAAATAGCTATCGAATAACGTATCACTCGACCCCCCCCTCTTCATTTGAAATTTTAGGGGTACCTATCATCCCGGCTTAGGGATTGAGAAGTGAGGGGTGAAAATATCAATAAAATGTGTCCCCCTGAAAATAACATTTCACGTGTCCGATGTTTTTTTTTATCTTTTCGTCAAAAGCCTTAAACCTTGCTAGACTGTTTTCCCTGGGACACCCTGTATATGTATTTTTAAATCAACATTGCTTTTTGCCTCAAAAAATGAAGTTGACAAGTATCTTGATTCCTTGTGTAATATGGAAAGAGGAAACTTGAGAAAAAATGAGTAGACACAGTGGTAGACATATTTTTTCTATTCCAGGCTCTTGAATACAAGGAAATTTCATATTCAAATATTTCAAAGGGACATATTTTGGAAACCAGAAAAGCTATCAGCATGGAATTTTGTCCAATTGTAGATCCCGATTGGAGATTTAAAAAAGCTTATTTGGGTCACTGAGCATTAGGGGTTCGTTTTCGAGATAATGGGCTTTGAAGGTTTTCCAAAATTTGAGACAAAGTTTCAACTTTGAGGTTCAATATCTCGAAAACCATTTGAGATAAATGATTCAATTTTGTTTTATCTGGAAGAGCATTTAATTCTGATTAAGAATATATAAATATGCATTAGAATTTGTCAAATATTAATAAAGTTATGAGCGATTTTGTGAGGTAATGAATGGGCATACATATTTTATCTATTCCAGGCTCTTGAAGAAAACTCAAGAGCCTGGAATAAACAAAAATTGGCAATAAAAACAATTTAGGACATGAAGAGAGACTTTCCATCACCATAATAAATGGGCGTCAACTTTTCACAAGTCCCAAAAACCCATATACCATATTTGATGATTGACCTATATCCACATAAAAATTACTTATAATGCTTTTCAAATTTTTATTCATAAAACAATATAAGAATATTACAAAAATATAACAATAAAAACACCAAAGGAGGCATATCAATCTCCTGTTAGCTAACAGTGACTTGATCACATGGCCCTAAGACAAAAAAAATATATATATATATATAGTTTTTTTACATATTAAAAAAATATTTCTTGGTATAAATATGCATTTCAATTAAATCCAGATTTTTTCCCACTAACCAGCGTGTAATTGTTCAATTAAAAAAGATTACAACTTTGATTTGAGCCCGTGTTTAGCCCTCAACAATTCAATTTTGTCAGCCGCAGTTCTCTGCAATTCAGTTAGTTTCATGGCCAAACCAATGTTGCCTTGAATTTTAATTTTGCCTTGGAAAAAGGCCCTTTGCGGTTGAATTTTCCCAGTCAAAAGATCAACAATGTCGGCATCTTTTACTATAAACGTCACATCAGGTTTGTCTTTTCCGTTGAATATTATTTTGCCTTTGCCTTCTTTGGCGTTTATTATCCACGTACCTTCTTCACCATCACTTTTTTGAACCTAGAAACCACCAATTATTAGACAATAAAGCAGACATAATATATATAAAATACCTTTAAACTGTAAATAGCTCTATGCTTGGCAATCAAATTATCTTGATCTTCATTCATAGCTTCTTGCAAAACATACAAAAAGGGTGTAACAATAAAACCATCTTCACTAGAAGCAATGGCGGCAGTTTTTCTAGCCGTTACACGTCGGTTTTTATACTCTGGGAAGCCCAATTGGTATAAACCAACAATTACGGCTCCTCCTAAACCAATGTTGTGTTGTAGGGCCAATTTGGCATTAGGGACTTGTCTAGGCCCGGCTTCACCTCTCAATTGCCAAGTCAATTCTGCGCATTGCGCTAAACCAGTAGCTCCCAACGGATGGCCTTTGGATATTAGTCCTCCAGAAGGATTTATCTAAGTATATTAATTGTATATTAATTGAGTATTGGGTGTGTTGTGTCAAGTCTTACCACATATTTTCCACCGTAAGTATTATCGCCTCTATCAATGAGAGTTCCAGCGCCACCTGGAGGGCAAAGCCCTAGGGCTTCATAAGTTATAAGTTCATTTGCTGAGAAACAATCGTGCAATTCAACTACTTGAACATCTGTGGGGCGTTTGCCTGTTTTCTTGAACAATCTTTGAGCTGCTAAGTTTACCATGTCGTAGCCAATGATTTTGATGCAACTTTTGTCACTAAAATTAATCATTATTTATTTTCTGTATTGAAAAATAATTATTAGTCTTTACGTAAAGGTTGATTTTAAATCAGTAGCCATTTCCATGCCAAGAATTTCGACAGCCCGATCCTCTAAGCCGTGCTTCCTGACAAAATCTTCAGAAGCTACAATAGCGGCTGCTGCACCATCACTTGTAGGGCAACATTGTAGTTTGGTCAAAGGACCAAAGATTTTAGGAGATTTTTGTACTTGCTCTAAAGAATATTCGTCTCTGAATTGGGAGTTTGGATTATTCACAGAATGCTTGTGGTTTTTCCAGGCGATTTTGGCAAAATGTTCAGGTTTGGTGCCATATTTTTTCATATGTTCCAACGCGGCGTTTCCAAACATTTGAGCAGTAATTGGAGAAGCATCTGGAAAACATTATTACATAAATTGTTTTCGTGTTTAGATTCATTTTACCCATATCTGCTAGTTCGGACATAACTTCAATGTGTTTTTCCATGGGGTTGGCTCTGTCCATGAAGGTGGCGCCCAAACTGCCCTTCTGCATTTTTTCGAAACCAACTGCTAAGGCGCATTGGGCTTTACCGCATTCGACCATTTCTTTGGCCAGCATTAGGGCGGTGGAGCCGGTCGAACAGTTATTGTTTACATTGAAGATGGGGATACCTCTCATACCAACTTCGTAGATTACCTAAAAAGAATATGGCTCATCTCAAAATAGTAAATGGATTCAGAAACAACCAAAGAATATTATTAGTTAATCAATATCAAACCAATTATTATCTTATCAAAAATTCAAAATACTTACTCTCTGTCCGCTGGTAGAATCTCCATAAACGAAACCGGCAGTGGCCAATTCGATTTCGTCCATTTTAACGTTGGCATCTTGCAGGGCTCCTAAAATAGCCTCCTTGCCCCAATCCGGATAGTCGCCCTCTTTGGTACCGGGCTTATCGAATTTGGTCATTGCCACACCAATTACGAATACACGAACCATATTTATTGAGTTTTGGGACCTGAAAAGGGCATTATTGAAAAAAGAAAAACTTAAGCAATGAAGAGAGGAAACTTGAGTGGAAATATTCTTTCTATTCCAGGCGCTTGAATTTTGTTTACTCTGAGAAATTTGGAGAAAACTCAAGAGCCTGCTTGGAATACAGAAAAATGGAGACAGCAAAATTGAGAAAAAACTACTAGACAAATGGATAGACATATTTTTCCTATTCCTGGCACACTTCTCATGGGATTTCTGACTGCGGTCAAATTTAACCAAATTTTAGTATGTTATAGATCCCACCTTTCTGATTAATAATTACCCGAGTAATTACCATATAGGCACAACTTATGACTAGTTTATGAGATACAGGTAGTTTAATGTCCAAGAAATGTACACATTTTATATGCATTTACATCTACTTGTCACCTAATAATATACCAGGATGGACAGGTATCCTCACACTCAAGTGACAGGTAGATGTAAATGCAAGAGGCAAACCACCTAGGAATTCTTTGCCAAAAATGTTGGGAATCTAGAGGAATTTGTGGGAAATTTAGAGGAATTTGAAGGAACTGATCCGAATTTATGAGAATTTGGGGAATTTATAGGGAATTTGGAGGAAATTATGGGGAATTTGGGAGAATTTGTGAGGAATTTATGAGGAATTTATTTCAATTATCAAATTTAAAAAATTCAAAAGAATAATGAATACAGTTTTTGTAAGCTGATTTCTATGGAAGCGCTGGAGGATCAAGGTAATAAATTTTTTTCAAGTCGACTTATTTAAGTCGACTTATTTAAGTCGACTTATTTATGTTGACTTATTTATGTTGACTTATTTATGTCGACTTATTTATATCGACTTATTTAAGTCATAAGCCAATCTGCAGTTAAGGTATATTTTCCGGCCGCTGCAAAAGAAAAGTGAATTTTCCATATGCCTAGCAGAAGTCCGGTCGCTAAATTTTCATTTTTGCAGCTTAGCACTGACATAATTTTCAGTGGTTCGAATCCCCGAAGAGAGAAAATCGGGCAGCAAAATCTGTCATTAGCTGACAGTCTATAAAGTTAGGAGTGGGAGAGTCACTACGGGGGGAAGTGGATAATTTGTTTGAAAATACTTGAAAAATTAATAATGCACTGTAGGGATTTTTTGTTATTTCAAGGAGAAAGAATTGACCCCTCATCACATCCGAGAATACTTTCTCTAGTCAAGTTAGTTTTGGGAAAGTCACTAGGGGACTAAAAAGGTCAAATATCGCATAAGTTTTTCCCCTCTCTGATATTTTCTCTGTTTGCCCATCAGTTGAAGGGCCTGATCGATAGTTCATAAATATAGATCTATCCCTCCAAATTCCTAAAATTCTCTTAACTTCACGCATAAATAGTCACTTATTTAAGTCGACTTAAATAAGTCGACTTAAATAAGTCGACATAAATAAGTCGACTTAATAAGTCGACCGGTCGACTTGAAAAAAATTTATTACCTTGATCCTCCAGCGCTTCCGTAGATTTCCAAGATTTTTCATGTTGTTATTTTTCACTGGACAAATTTGAAACTTTGGGAAAATGAGTTTCTCACCTTCCTCTTTACATGCAAAAAGTTTCAAAATTTTCCCTTTTCTCGTTTTCCAGGCAAACTTTGAAATGTGTGAGACTGTATTTTCAACTTATTCAGTTTTTGTAGGTTGATTTCCAAGATTTTTCATGTTGCTGTTTTCTACTGGAAAAATTTGAAATTTTGGGAAAATGAGCTTCTCACTTTCCTCTTTACATGCAAAAAGTTTCGCAATTTTTCTCTTCACTTGTTTTCCAGGAAATCTTTGAAATATGTGAGACTGTATTTTCAATTAATTCAGATATTGTAGGTTAATTTCCAAGATTTTTCATGTTGCTGTTTTCCACTGGAAAAGTTTGAAATTTTGGGAAAATGAGCTTCTTACCTTCTTATTTACATGCAAAAAGTTTCAAAATTTTCCCTTCACTAGTTTTCCAGGAAAACTTTGAAATGTGTGAGACTGTATTTTCAACTAATTCAGTTTCTGTAGGTTGATTTCCAAGATTTTTCATGTTGTTATTTTCCACTGGAAAAATTTGAAATTTTAAGAAAATGAGCTTCTCACCTTCCTCTTTACATGCAAAAAGTTTCAAAATTTTCCCTTCACTGGTTTTCCAGGAAAACTTTGAAATATGTGAGACCGTATTTTCAATTAATTCAGTTTTTGTAGTTGATTTCCAAGATTTTTCATGTTCCTGTTTTCTACTGGAAAAATTTGAAACTTTGAGAAAATGAGCTTCTCACCTTCTTCTTCACATGCAAAAAGTTTCAAAATTGTCCCTTCACTGGTTTTCCAGGAAATCTTTGAAATGTGTGAGACTGTATTTTCAATTAATTCAGTTATTGTACGTTGACTTCCAAGATTTTTCATGTTGGTGTTTTCCACTGGAAAAATTTGAAATTTTGGGAAAATGAGCTCCTCACCTTCCTCTTAACATACAAAAAGTTTCAAAATTTTCCTTTTTTTTACAGGAATTTGTGGGGTATTTAGAAATTCGTGGTGTGGTATTTGGAGGAATATGTGATGGGATATCTGGAGGAATTTGTAGGAATTTTGAGGAATTATGCGTAACAAATTCCCCTTTGACTCCTTTGAGGAATTGTTTGCACCAATTCTAGGATGGTGGTTTACCCCTTGTGTAAATGCATATAAAATGTATACATTTCTTGGATATTAAACTACCTGTATCTCAAAAACTACTTATAGGATTGAGTTGTGCCCATGGTAGTTATTGATCAGAACACATACTAAAATTTGTTTAAATTTGACTGCGGTCAAAAATCCCATAAAAAGTGTGCGGGGTCCATTTGAAGAAATCTCAAGAGCCTGGAATAAACAAAAATCGAGACAGAAAACTTGGGTGATGGAAAAAGGAAACTTGAGAGAAAATCATCAGACAATTCTTTCCTATTCCAGGATTTTGAGTTCTGTTCAGTCAGAGAAACTTGAAGAAAACTCAAGCGCCTGGAATAAGGAGGAATTGAGAAAGAAAACTTAAGTAATAAAGAGAGGAAACTTGAGTGGACAAGGGACAAATGGGTAGACATATTTTTTCTATTCCAGGCACTTGAATTTTCCTCACTCTTAGAAATTTGAAAAAACCCCAAGATCCTGGAATAAACAAAAATTAAGACAGAAAACTTGGGTGATGGAGAAAGAAAACTTGAGAGAAAATGATTAGACAATTCTTTTCTATTCCAGGATCTTGAGTTTTGTTTACTGTGAGAAACTTGAAAAAAACTTAAGCGCCTGCAATAAAGAGAAATTGAGGAAGAAAACTCATCTTGACACTTGAATTTTCTTGATTCTAAGAAATTTGTAGAAGAAAACTCAAGAGCCTGGAATAGAGTAAAATTGAAAAAGAAAACTTAAGCAATGAAGAGTAGTAATATGAGAAAAAAAAAAATGAATAGGCACTTGAACTCTGATCAATCTAAGAATTGGCAACATTGCACCGACATAAGTAAATACTCTCTGCAATTTTTAATAGGTAATTAATTTTTGCTGGTAGAGAAAGTTGCAGTAAAAATTATTACTTAATGTGATTAAATGAAATTTGAACAATATTGCATCGATTTAAATAGAAAAATAGAGATAATTTTATTTTGACAATCAGCTGACTCCCGACCTCTCCTAATAAATAACTTCTAATATTTAAGAGGTAGTCCCTCCCTAACTTCTAATGCCTCATAAACTACTTAAATTAAACTTTTCTGTTATATTTAAGTAATTAAAACTTAAAGTAGGTAAACGCTATTAACCAGAATAAATGTACTTACCGTTAAATGAAGAAATACACCACTATACGAAATAACAGTAAAAAGCCTGGCTGTGGACACTTTTTAACTGATAATGATGTTTTCGGGCTTTTACTTGTTCGAAACTCACTTTATAAGCTTAAAATGATGATTGTTGAACCTCGCACTCTGCTGTTGTCGTGACGTAGCCCCAACTCGATTATAAAAACATGGGATGGCGACGACGGTGTTGCGCGATTTCGTAGACAATTTTTCCTTGAAAACTTGTCCGAAGTTTGTATGTAAGGATTTCAATGATTGGTAACTTAACTTGTGTCACTCCTATTTGTAAGGAAGAACAAGTCCTCCTTTATTTTGTAAAGCATTCGAATCTGATTTAATATAGGTAATCAATTACAAATTAAAATATGTGGAATATTAACTAGAGTTATAAAGGATTTTGTGAAATTATATCATATAATCTGAGACTGTATACAGACCTCGAGAAAAGTTGCAAAAATGGTTTTCCATTAAATTTGAACTTTTCCATCAAAATCTAAAATTTTGATAAAGGAACCAAAGAAAATTGAAAGGAATTTGAAGAGAATTTAGGGATTTCTACAAAATTGTGAGAATTCTAATTCTATATTATATTATTATTCATTGAATTTACATAGAAAACTATTGTAAAGTAAGATGATACCCAAGAGATAAACAAAAGGATAGAATTCGTCTGACAATAAAAATCCAATCTCGAAACAACAATGATTTCATTATTCTTCTTTGATCGGTTCGAGGTCGCATAATATTTCGATAACTCAGCAGTCTATGCGACTTGAATATTAGAAGATGGATTAATATTAATATGACAACAGCGCAAACATGTTTTAATTAAGTTTAATAAATATAATCATTATTCTGCAGTAATTATGACAATATTATTTTTGTAAAAGACTATAGGGTCAGAGTTTATTTATATACTAATGTGATACGAATGATTTTTCAAGGAATTTCTTATTGGTTTAATTTGCATCTACTATATCTGCCTATTTGGTTAATTATAGAGGACTTATTGAATGCTCACTTCTACCTAGACCTCCAAATTAATTGGTACAATTCCTGAAAATTTTGATTGAATATCTCTCACGCCTTTCAAGATATTGAAGCTCAAGATTTTTAAATAAGAATCCATAAGTTTATACAATCCACAAGAGAAAATTCACCACTTTACAAATCACACTTTACAACTAATTTCATTAAGCCAATCTTAACTGTAGAAAAACTGTTAAAAGTCGTTAAACAAACTATTTAAACTTAAAAATCTCCTATCTGTGTAATACTTAAAAGATAATGGTATGTATTATTGCGTTATAGTGCCTGAGAAAATGTTAAAATTATTAGTCATGAACGTAAAATGCACAAGAAAGAAACAAAAGAGTCATAAAAGTTGAATTTCTAAAAACTGAAAAATCTTATCTGCAAATGTATCATTCATTAGATAGAAATCTGAAATTTTCCTAAAGTAAACCTTATATCAGTCAGTTCAGAACGTTTATCATCTCCGTTCCCTAAAAATGATTCTAATCGTTCCCTTCCCCAAAATTCTGAACAATCTCGCAATGAAAATCCTCCAGCTTTATCTACAGTGAAACCTACTGATGAATCCGGTCGTGCTATGGTAAAGGGAAATCATAGGTTACCTTTATATCTTCAAGATTATGTCAGAAACTGAGCGAGGAAGAAGTTTGTATATCTCATTATCTGTGTTTCCTATTTATTTACCTGTTATGTTTCAGAATAATCTGTACTGAATTTTAGCTTATTCAAGCCTTAATTTAATGCTGAAGATTTTCTACTACAACACCCTGTATAATAAGCAATAGCCAATAAGTCATTTGAATTGTTGGAATAATAGTTCGAAAATTCTTGTCGTGCCCCATACAAACTAGAAAAAATATCCGCCTATTAACTGAATTAATCTGCATACGATTTTATATATGGAAAAATGCTTTCACCATCAGCTATGTAAGATTTTAGCCCGTTAGATTTTAATTGAGAATAAACTAGATTTGGGTAAAGCTGGTGTGTACCTAATATTTTTTTTTGAAAACGGTAAATCTGATGTTTGACTTGCATACCGTTTTAGTCTTTTTAAAGAGGCATTCAATATTATGTTATCCGTTAGAGATTGCTCAAGACAAAGAATTCAATAATACATAATTATTAGAAACAGCTATTTTAATATTAGTTGGAAATTGATTGTATTTTCCTTGCATCAAATTTTCACTTATTATGAGCTCCTGTAAATTTATGTGTCTCAGTTATGGCACTTGAAGAAGCAATTGTAGTAACTTTAGTAGTACCAGGTAGGCCACAATCTATAAGCTTAAACCTGAGTTCCTCCGCATCTTTTTTCTTCTGCTCAGCTAAATCGTCAAGGAAATTATTGAAATTAGACAGATTTATGGTTTTCGATTTGAACTTGTTGAAAGCGACTCCTGTATCCGTGGGCGTGAATTTTCTGTCAAAAATTTGGGCTTGCTTGAACCATTTGTCCACCTGGGTCAGGGTTATTGTTTTACCATCCGATTTGGGGTCCCCAAATTTTGAAAAAAGAATGAATTGCTGGTCTAATTTAGTAGACATGATTTTTATCACAGCACTAAGAATTTGGACTTGATAATTATTTTGACAGTAGTTTTATTAGTACACATGTCATTGTTAAAATATGCTCATTCTTTATTTTTTATCATAAGTATCCTTTCCCTTATATCCTCCCACATATCCTGAAGTATCAGCAATATCCTCGCGACCTTCCAAACCTTTTCCTTTGCCACTCTCATCAAATCTTTCCTTATGAGCTCCTGTATATTTAGAAGTATCAGTTAATCTTTCTACACCTCCTGTAGCAACCGCTTTAGTAGTTTTCGTAGTACCCGGAGTTCCACAATCAATTAATTTCTGCCTTATTTCTTCTCCGCTCATTTTCTTCTGACCAGCCAAATCGTCTATAAACTTTTCAAAGTTTTCCAACGTTATAATTTTGGCTTTGAACTTGCCGAAAGCAATCCCGGTGTCCGTTGTTGTGAGTTTTTTATCGAAAACTTGGGCTTGTTTAAACCATTTGTCGATTTGAGTCAGGGTTATTGTTTTACCGTCAGCTTTAGTGTCTCCGAATTTTGCAAAGCTAACAAATTGTTCTTTTAATGCCATGATAAAGTACTTAGAATTTTTTAATAATTATTTAATGGAAAATGACAATGACATTGTCACCTAACTTCTTAGCAAGCACCAAGAAACAGCAGGTCCTTATAAATGACTCACACGATGGACACGGTCTAAAAGCAACACAACCGGAAACACCCAAGATTCAATGGAATTATACAGGATGTTGTTTAATTGTTTGAGAAAAAAGTATATTGGATTTCGCAATATAATCCTGTTGGCCGAAAGTGTAATATTTATTCAAAGAAGCCGCACAAGTGAAGAAAAGCCTTTAATTGATTGGATTATTATTATAGGATGTCAAAGGTTTTAACAAAGTTGTAAAAATTCTTAATTGAGAACACGAACAGTAAACACTTGTGGGTATTTCTGTGTTCAGTGACCATGAACCGTAACCTTTGGGCCTTATACATTAATTTTCTAAGAAATTCAACCATAGTTTTAAGAGCGGTCTGGTTTTGTATCTTAACGGCACATAAATTAAACTACCTACAAGCATCAGGCATGGGCTCCGAGAAGAAACCACAACATTGCAATTAAAATCTTAATAACAATAATAATTAGGATAGAGTCACTTTTTGCACATAATCATAATTTTTTTATAATACTTTGAGGTCAACAAGCCCAGTATAAAAAATACTCATTGTACTAATCAAGGCTCATTCATTCACAACTTGTAGGCAGGCATTTTTGTCACACACATGCTTTTATTACGAGTGCGTGTTCGTGTGCCTAAATTATTACGAAATATGTTGTTCAACCGAGAACTGGTTTCTTTATATTGCATTTGGTTAGTTTTTAGCATTCCTTCATAATACCAGTAAATGGTTCATTAAACTAGCAAATTAAGAATTTGGTTTATAGTGTGAAAACAATGGAGATTCTGAAGAACAAACCTTAGAGCAAATATTACAAATTGAATTTGCATAATAAGCTTTATGATTGTTACAGTTTAGATTTAAGCGACATACAAATATTAATCGGTAAAGCAAAAGAGAATTGGAGGTTTGCTTTAAATAAAGGCTCATCAACCCTGTAGTAGGCAGATTCAATATCTCTTTGCAAATGGAACAGTCGATTGTACAAGAGACAATAAAGACAGCATTGGTATGGGTATGGAGTATGGACACAATAATAGACCAAATGTCTTTGGAGCTTTAAAGTCAAGACAGATCAATGTGAATAAATATTCAAATTCAATTAGACGTTTTTTTATTTATCTTGGTTCGCAATTACCTGCTCATGTTTCAAGTTATTTTCCTAAGTATCAGGTTTGTTTTTGTCATTATGCACATGAATGTAAATTGAATCACAAACATGTCATAACCTTGGGTAAGGCCATTAAAATAATAGTGGCCTCTATTTTCAGTGTTTATGTTTTTCCTTACCTACAGAAAAATATATAAATTTCAGTCACCTACTGAGATGAGTTGCATAAGAGTTTTATTTTCTTCAAAGAGAGGCACATACCTATATAATACAGTATTTCTAAGACAATCTAGGTAGAAAAAACCTCGAATAAAACAATAACCAGACAGATTTAATTTTACCTATAGAACTTTCCAATGCAACGTTGCAAAGATTTATCGCAGCATTTGCCAGTCCTCAAAATCTAGTTAGCAGAATTATACCTATAGTTAGTACGATGATACTGTATGCATGTGAAATAGTCTATTACATATTTATTATTTCCGAGATTATTTCTTATGCCATGGTACATTAAAACCAACCAAAAATAAGAGCTGAGCTAACTGGATCATATTGTTCACCAGTTTAAACTCAATATACAGGACCTGATGATCTCTCCTTTGAGATAGAGTTTGCATGTTGAAAAGCTTTAAAATATCATCTGATCATTATTAATAGTCATAATTATTATTTAGTTTGTACGCAACACATTTCAAAAATCCTCCTTGAACCTTCTTCAATTGTAATAGTGTTTTTCATAAAAGGGGAAACTCACATACTTCAGGATTTGGAGAACTATAGCTGAATAAGCATTTCTTAAAATGTAAATGTAATTAAAATGTGTTAAGTTATGCATTATAAATCCCATTTATCATATGGCGTAGAAAGAAAGCAGTGATTCTTATGCTAGTAGACTTTTTCTGAGGTCCTTTTTCCATCTATTTCGAGTTCAAATGAGACAATAAATCACTATATGAAGTTTTTGGGGTCCCAAACGATTATCTGGAGTCGAAATCTCCACACAAAAAAAATTGAAATTTGACCATTTTGGAAGGAAGACCCCTTGGAATTGAATTTTTGAAAACTTTGAATAATCATAACTTTTTTTGTATCATAGATAAAAAGCTGAAATTTTCAGCGTTTTTTATCCTTGTAGATGACTATAAACCCTGAGAATATCAGCTCATTTGGATTAATAATTCCAGAAATAAAATGGAGTTAAACAATTTGGGGTAAGTGTGCCAATCTTTCAATTTTCTGACGTCTTTTTTTCATAGAAAAAAAAAAGATTATCAAACTAATGTTGACCATAGTATTTCTCGAGACCCAAATAGCTTTTGGACATTTATTGATAGCAGGAGGCAGACCAGAGGCTTTTCATCTGAAATGGTTTTGAATGAGGACACATACAGTGGCTGTCAGAGTATTGCCAACGCTTTCTCGCAGTTCTTTAGCTCAGTTTACCAGATGTCTTCCGTGTATGATGGTATGTCCCATTCAAAGGGATCTTTCCACTTTTCTACAGTAAGTGAGGAAGATATGAAATTAAGTATCAACAAACTGAAGCCTAAGAAGGCCACAAGGGGGGATAACATTTCTGCCTATATTTTCAAGGGTTGCTCTCAAATGTTTTTAAACCACTGCTTAATCTTTCACACACATTTCCGAACAAACTAAAGGAATCCATTATCACTCCAGTATTTAAGACGGGTGATACTGGCAATGTGCAGAATTATCGACCTATTGGTATCCTGAACACTTTGGCTAAAGATTTTTGAAACTATTTTGTACAATGATATAATGAAAAGTTTTGAGAATAAATTTGCTCCAGAACAACATGGTTTCCTGCTAGGCGTGTCCAATGCTAGTAATTTATGCGTTTTGTCTAGTTTTGCTAGTGATAAAATTGATATTAAGTTGCAGTTGGACCTGATAATGACAGACTGCGCAAAGGCGTTTGACATGGTTGACCATGGTATCTGTGTCTCATTGTTGGGCGGGTTTGGCTTTTCAGGTGATGCTTGCAACTTCATCAAATCATACCTTCAATCAAGGTTTCAACGGGTCAAAATTGGTACATGTGTTTCGGATTGGTTTCAGGCAACTTCTGGTGTCCCTCAAGGAAGTGATTTGGGGCCCCTTCTTAGTTCTATTTTTGTAAACTCACTACCAGGCTGTCTGACTCACTCCTCCTGCTTAAATTTTGTAGATGACTTTAAACTTTTTAAAATTGTACGTACTCTTGATGATTGTCAGCATTTACAGGAGGAACTTGACTCAGTTGTGAAATGGTTCAGGGACCACAATATGGTATTAAATATAGAGAAGTGTGGTGTTATGTCCCTAACACGTAAAATTAACTTTATTGAAAATGGTTATACAATAAATAATCAGACTTTAATCAGGAAAACCAAATGTGAAGACCTGGGGGTGCACCTGCAGGATAATATGAAGTTTAATGAGCATTACTTACAATAATATTGTTAACATCTTATCGAGAAAGTGCAAAAAAGATTTCTTAGACATTATTTCTATTTTAAGAAGTATGGAATATATCCCTACCTAGTGCCTACCAGTAACTAGCTAGACATTTTCAATATGCAGTCTTTACAACGGAGGAGGAATATGCATAGTGTTCTATTTCTGTATAATATCTTAAATAATATCAAATACAAAACATGTAATTTAGTTAACTTTGTACAGTTTCACGTGTCAAAGATTGATTTAAGACATAACAAGAGTGACCTATTTTCTGCTAGCTCTTCTAGTACTTCTCCTATAAGTCACATGCAGGGCCAGTGCAACATTTTAATTAAGAACAATAATATAGATTTTTTAATTGTAGTGTTAAGGATATAAAAAAATTATTTACGAGAAATTAATTAAAGTTGAAATCTGATAAAGGCTTCTCTCCTAAGGAAATGTGCTTAATTAAAAGTCTGATGCTGTTTGTTTGTTTTTAGATTAGTTTAGTGTTCACGTAGTTTTAGGTTTCGCTTAGTGTAGGATTTGTAGGCTAGTAACAAGCACTCTCACATGTCATTACTGCTCCGGCGTTGTTTGTAAGATGTACCTTTTAAATAAATAAATAAATAAATAAATAAATCTATAATAGAAAAAAAGTTATGATTTTTTAAAGATTTTAGAAATCTGAATCAAAAGGTAGCTACCTTAGTACCTACTAAAATGATGAAATTTTAGATTATTTTTATTTACAGTGACTTGAAACTTTCAGGATTTATGATTTGAGCTAATTTGAAGTTTCTTCTTTATGAAAAAGGTAATTTTAAGTTGATTTGAAGCTCCAAACTAAATTTGGAAGTTTTTTCTCAAGTTAATGCATGTAAAAATGATCAAGATCTGCAAAAAACACTTGTGCAAAGTACTTCTGATGAAGGTCTATAAACCTAGCAGTCCCAAGGTGGAAAAAAACTTCGGGAACTATATAATAATTAGGTGCTTTTTAGGTGCTAATTAGGGCCTCTAATTAATAATTAGGTGCTCCTTTAGTTTTTGAAAAAATCAAAAAAAACTAAGAGAGTGCTAGGTTTATAAAAGCTAGCAGTCCCCTATAGTAATAAATATTTTTTCAAATTTTTTCTTTGTATCAGAATTAGGTGCTTTTTAGGTGCTCCTAAAAAAGCAAATTTGAAATCTGAAGGCACCTTCAAGTTTGATTTCAGGAGGGGAGACTATTATCAGTTATATTCCTTGTTACAGGACCAGGACTGGTTGATGCTGTCAAACTGTGATGATGTAGATCATTGCCTAAGTCTTTTCTATCAGACATTAAATACCAT